AATGATCAGAAAGCTGCAGGCTACTCAACCTCTTTTATATCCTCAAATGAATTTAAATTCCCTGAGGAGCAGTACTTGTATGCAGTTGAACTTTCAAATTCCGCCAAGACACAGTTTTCTCACCAAAAAAGATGGTCTTGGTGCAGTTTTGAGGAAATTTTTATTTCCCTCCGCTACTGCTCCTCAGATAATTTAAATTCAGTTAAGAATTCAATAGAAGTCAAGCAGTCTACAGCTTTTCCGAATATGCTATGAAGCTATCCTATTTTTAATTGTGGTGCTGGTGCTGGAATAAGTGCGTGAAAATGGACATTTTTGGTGTAAAATCCCACGCGTCCACTCACTTTTTCGGTGGCACTAGTAAAACACCGCTGGATTTCATACGGCAAACTGAAGTATCAGGACACTCGAGTGCCAAAACACACCAAAAGCGCAGACCCTTGGCGCCAAGGTGTCCGGTAGCGGCAATCGGCACTGGTGCGGTATGTAAGATACCCATACTGGACGGTATGATACGGTACCGGTAACTGCACGGAAGAAGGTGCTCTAGATTTAGCTTAGGAAGTGTCCTGACAACAACGCATCCATTGGTCTGACAAAAAGCTGCTACGCTAACTTACTGTGCTCCTGTTCGTACAGTACAACCATTTCCAAGCGCCCAATCTAACCCACACCCACCACCTCCACCTCAATCGAATGTGAATCACACGATACCGGTAATTCAACTCCCCCCAACCGAGGTGTCGCCCTTCTTCAAACACGCCAAACGGGCAAATGGATGCAGAGAATTGAACGAGAGCTAGTATCACTCAGGTATCATAATAAGATAGGAATATCACCCTACGCCACCGCATCCGGGTACTAGTACGGTACCGGCACATCCATACGGCCCCGGACAGACCGGAAGCCTAAGTTTGACGGGCTCCATCCACCCCGTCCATCCAGCACAGCACAGCTCACCAATTCTATGCTCCCTGGGTACAGCTAACCCGCAGCTTGGTTGGGCTCAACACGAAAACCTTTCCCAACATATAAACCCGGCGTCAACCAGACCATCTCATCCCCCCCCCCGCCACTTGTCTCCAGTTTCGACACAACAGAAAAAGGTTCCCGCCTTGCGAAACCGCAAAACGAAGATCCCCGCCCCATTAGACGACCCGGCCAAAGCGCCACAAACCCTGCAAAATGTCGACAATATCCTCAGCACTAACCTGGACCCTCCAACGCCTCTCCAATAGCTCCCCACCGCCTCCAAACGGACCACCGCTCTCCGAGAAACCACCGACAAGAACCCCAACGCCCCTCCTCCCCCTCCAGCCCCCACCGCTCTCGCCGGTAACCCTAACCGGGTACTCCCCGAGCACAAGCACACAACTAATGAGCCCGGCCCTGGCTGAGGAAATCCGCCTGCTGCTACCGCCGCTCCTGCAACTGCACGAGACCTGGTCGCTACGTTACTCGCTGGAGCAGCACGGGGTCAGTCTATCCACCCTCTATGACAGGACAGGTACGGCCACGGCGGGTGCGGCGGCCGGAGGGGGCCACGTGCTCGTCGTCCGGGATTCAGCCGGCGGGGTAAGTTCTCGCGCCCGCGGGGCAAACTGGTGGCTAACGCGCGGGGGGAATAGATTTTTGGCGCCTTCCTGAATGAGCCTCCTAAGCCAACTGGTCGATACATCGGCACGGGGGAGTGCTTCCTGTGGAAGTCCTCTCAAGCACCGCTCAGGTTCTGGGCTTTTCCGTACAGTGGGATTAATGAGTACTTGATTCTTGCTGACGGGAATTACTTGTCTATTGGCGGCGGGTACGTTTACTTCCGGCCGTGCGGGAGAGGGGAAAGAAGACTGATTTTATTTGTTGTCCGCGGACGGAACAGGGACGGTAAATATGGCCTCTGGCTAAACGATACGTTCGACAAGGGTCTTAGTCAACCTTGCGAGACATTCGGTAATGAACCGCTTAGTGAGGAAGGCGAGAAGTTTGAAGTTATCGGGGTGGAGGTTTGGAAGGTTGGGTGATGCTATGTTTCCGGTTTATCTGATGTGAAAATGGCGTTATGGTTTTTATTTTTACTTTATTTTTTTACTATTGCTATTGTTCCATGTTGTCCATCTTGCCTGTTCGCCCTTACAAGTGTCATACGATACGGGGAAAACCATGCTGTAAGGGAGCGAGCCAAGAAATACAAAAAAAAATAGACCACAATTTATAATACCGGCACAAGCACTGTACCGGTACTCAATCCCCCTCGACCCAATCCGGCAACTCCACCCCAAGGACCCCTACGATACCCTACGATACCCCGACCGCAGACACCTCACAGGCTTACACAACACCCAAAAGCCATAACGACATCCAAAACTCACGATATTCGCCAACCACCTACCCTACCCCTCCTTCCTCAGATCCGGTTCCCGGGCCGCATGTATCGTACGAGCACGTGAACTAGTACTGCGAGTTCAGGACTGATACTTGTACGAGTAAATCTTTGTCTATGTTGCTGTGCATTGACACCGCCGGATGGGGCGTTGGAATTTGGTTTCCCGTGGGGTTATGCAGTGCGAGCACTGTGCAGTACGATTGCCGGCACGATGCTTGAGGGGGGTGGGAGGTAAGGGGTGGACGGCGATCACAGCACTCGTATGATACAGTAGGAGGTTGGTATTGGGGGTGGGGTTAGGCTTGGTTGGTCGCAGCCAGCTCGTGTGCACAGATCATCACTCGAATCAAGGGCCGCAGGCCCGCCACCTTTTGCGCGCTCCCTTTCTTTTCGCCTCTTTTTTCTTCTCTTTTTTCTTTTTAATTTTTTTCCCTCTTCCTTTCCCGTCCTATGGCACCGAATAATGGGATCGCATGATGGTTCGCATCATCGTGGTCTACTGGTGGTGGACTGTGAAGATTTCGCATACCACCACTAGAGTTGCGGACCGCTATATAGGTTATGTTGAAGTTATCTACTGCCCCCAGCGCCCACATGGTACGGTGGGGATGCGCAGATGCCGGGGGCACCAATGACGAACCTAAACCGACCACTGTGGTTGTTGCTGGCAGGTTCCAACACTCCCCGGATAGAGAAAGCACAAACTGTGGGGATATCAGTTAGTTTTTTTTTTTTTTTTTTTCTAGAAAAGAAAACGCAACCCAACCGAATCAACAAAACAAATTCCCGTTTACCAGTGGCCAGTATTAGAAGCAGAGTTTTCCCCGTTACGGGTCCCTTCATCGATAGGCGGGGAGCCCCGTCTCCCTAGAAGAATTGGATCCAGTAGGCCACCCTTGTCCCCCTCACGGCCAGTCCAATCCAAACGCCTGAGCTCCTTGGGGAGATACTCCACAGCAACCTGAACTGGGGGAAACACGCACCAATTCCGGACTCCACCAAGCTTCTCCCTAAATACTTTGAGATCCACGGATCTCTCCTGGTCAGGGTAGAATCCTTTCATCAATATTCCGGGAGGCCAGACCTCCTCCTTGCCGAGGGGCTCTTTTGGCTTCCCGGGCCGAGTGGATCGTTTTCTACAGTCCTTTGAGGCAGGGGCAGCGAAAGGTGGGGCACGAGGATCGAAGGTACCTTCCGGTAGATCCGTCCAATCAGCTCCCTGCGGCGAAGACTTTGTCTCGGGACTCCCCGCACAACCCTCTTCTCTCCTGCCGTCCTTGTTGAGGATTGAGATTTGTTCACCTGAAGAAAACACGCTAGGATAAAGGGATATTACCTCCTCCGCTTGTGCGAAAGGGCTTGAGTTAGAATGTTGGAGCGCGGCGAAGCTATTTGTTAGAGCACTCAGTCCAAGACTCCCGGTGGGGGTATTTTGGTCCCTGGAGATTTCATTACTACCAACACATGTGGTTATACAGTTTCCATTTGAGGGTTTAGCTGTACATTGTTTATCATCGGGTGCATCGCATACTCCAGCATTCAGTATGGCGCGAATAGCTGACTGCCTAGAAAACGGATTCAAGGCATTAGTATTTTTCATAGAGATGACAAGAGAGTGATGTACTAGCCTGCCATTGGGGTCGCTACCACTGGTATTAGAACCCTGGTGGGGTGCAAGAGAATTACTTCCATAGAATGGAATATTCTCCTTACTTGCGGAGGCCATCCCTAGGAGAAGGGGAATAGCCTCATCCCTTGAGGCATCGAACTCATCCTCGGACCCAAACCCATTTGTACCCATCAAACGATCGATGAACAAATCAGCCCGGTAACACCCAGGGCTCACGACCACCAGCCCCGGCTTCTCGAGTCCAGTAAAATCGTCCAGAGGTTCTCCCAAACTGGTAAAGGTAAGTCCGGCAACGATAGGGTCACCCGGAGCCAGCCTCTCCACCTTCCCATCTCCATGGCACAAGTACGCGACAGAATCCCTGGCCATAGTCCCCCAATCAAACTTGAAGGTTATAGGCTCCGCTTGATGGCGGAAGACCAAACAAGATCTGGGAACATAGCGGATAGCGGGAAGACCGCTCCAATAAAGGTACCTCTTGGCGGGGACGTTGCTGAGAAGGTACCACCTGAAGCCCAGGTTACGCTCGTTACCAACATCCGCCCCGCGGCTGTAGACGTGATGATGCAGGCAGGAATCCGTTCCTTCCTCCGAGCTGGCACGCGGTTCGCCATTCGCTGACCCAGAGTCCGAGTTCGGCAGGGAGTTGATCTCAGGGTTTGCTATTTTGGCCCCTGCAAGACAGATGGGGGAATCAGAGGCCGATATTCTGAGGTTTTCGGGCCCAGTGACGATGATGCAGTGGATAATGTCGGCCCTCGATCCGTCGGAAAGGGACTTGGTCACGTTCGTGGATGCGTAATCGAAGGTAGGCATTGTGTAAGGATTTATGAGGTCCAACGCCGGATGGAGAATCTCTTTTGGAAAAAATGGGAAAGTGAGGGAACAGGGAAGCGGGAGAGGAGTGTTTACCGTCGTATTCTGTGCAAGGTGAGAGGTGTAACGAGACAGGAACCCCCCCGGAATTGCGGTTTGGAGGGGCGACAGTATGAGGGGGCTTTCACCCGGTAGATTCTCCTTGAAAGTCGATGCAGAAGCACAGGGCAGGTGTGAAGGTGCTCGGGAGGGAAATGATGATGTTTGTGGAAGGCCACGACGCCAGGAGGAATGACCATGGAAACCCTCCCCAAGCATTTCGGTCACGGAGGGAGGTCTCGGGCTAGAATATTATCATTTCACAGGGCTTTTCATAAGATTTGGCAGCGCTACCTGTGGTACAACGTCTCGTATTGTTCACCAGTACATCAGAACCTTGCCATCCCAACCAGTGGTGGTGGTGGTGGTGGTGGTGGTGGTTTTGTAAAAACCCGTGGGCGCTATCCTTTCCCCAGCCCACTTGCCAGTACTGTAGCAGCCCATTCGAGATGTATGGATGGGGATTAGACTCCCAATTTAGCCCAGCACAACCAAGGCCGATAGGAGAAGGCAAGGCGGATAGCACAGCTTCCACACTACCTGTCGGAGTGGATAAGCCCAAGGGAAGAGCTCAGTGGAATGCTGTACTCACATCGTACTATTGTACAATACAGCAGCAAAACATGCTACTGTGCTATGGTTAACCTCTATAATCGCCGAGATCTGCAGTAGATCAACGGTGCTAGTGCATCATAAATCTGAACGACACCTTGATTCGCATTGGCACCTACCTCTTTCATACGATACGATACATACACGTACATACTCGAGTGATACTGCATAATGCTGAAGGTTTATACACCAGCGATCTGTGACAAGCTGATAAGAAACCAGCCAACTCCCCCACCCGTACCCGATAGACATCATAAAGTATGATATATAGAGAAAAGAATAAAAAAAGAAAAAAAGAATGAAAGAATGAAAGAAAAAACTCAACTACTGTACTCGAGTACCGTACTCGTAAATTTACAAACAGATACAGCTTTGCCCAGCGGCTGGGATATCAGAACCCAGCAGCGCTAATTTTGACCCAAGGAAAAACTGCCTCGCTAGCCCCGGACCTGGACCCACAGTCTACCATAAGGAACTCGAACGAAATTACACGGCGACCGTGGTGTTTGTGCAGCGCCCTAGCGGCGGATACAGTCACGCTCCATTGTCCTGGATTTCGACAATAGGGATACCTCGCCGCCTCGTATGAATCTCTGTGAGCTCTGAATCCCTTTACGCCAAAAACCTGGCCTGCCACTCCGAGCCAATCGCTGTACCGGAAAGATTCTGCGGGTTTTGATCGTCCGGGATAACGGGGCGTGACTGTACTTGTAGTAGGGGAAACACGGCAGTAGACTAAGGAAAGGAAAGACTACTCGAGACGCACAGGTTCCAGAGAAAGCAGCCACCATTGAAGGCCCCTTCCCCGATTACGGAATAGCCAAATCCGTACTGTACTAGTACACCCTCATGCAAGTCCGAGGAAGGGTGGAGGGGAAAAGAGAAGGGAGGGGGGGAGGGAAAACCCTACTCGAGTACCGTAAAGGATGAAATAAATCTTCCGTTGGTCTGTGCTCGTTCACGTCTCTCTCCCTTTCTCTCTTTCTTTCAGCTTCTCAGCCTCGAGCGTTTTCGAATGCTCGTGCTTGTCCCTCCTGCCTGTTTATTGTATCTAGCTGCCCCTACGGTACCCAATTGCTCCGTAATCTCCGTAGTTTACTGCGTATTTTTGCGTAATCCTCCTGTTCTCTGCAGGCATCATGGTGCAGTCCCCGTACCGTGCTGACAGCCCGTTCTTCGCGGCCGTAACCGCTATAAAAGTACCGCCGCGGGCTGCTAGCCCGGACGGCCGAGATCCAAGAAACTATCCGCTACAGCGGGCGATCCGGGGCAACAGATCAGGTTTTGGCCCAGAAAGATTTGGGACCCGGAGAGGTCCATTACGGTATAGCGAGATATCCGGATTATCGAGATCCCCCGGGGGGGGGGGGGGTACGACATAAGCAAGAGAGTCGTACTACGGTACGGACATCGTAACGATAATCAGACCTTTTCAGGAAGACTACGGCTGCATGCCGGGCTGTACTCGTAAGAAGCTGCGCCAGTGTGCCCACGACATTTTACGGGAGATACAAAATCTTTCCCCTGAGCTTCCTCCCTCTTCCCGCCTCCCACTGTTTTTTTTTTTCGCCCTTCCTACCCGATCCCCTTTATGGCCACACAGTACTAGCGCAGCACTGTAGGGTGCAGATGCGATGCAGTAAGGAGGTCCGTTCCGCCTAGGCGAGAAGTTGTATTTATTGCTTCGGCACCCTGCTTTATGTATGTTCCGCACCGGCAATGTAGTGTAAGAGCGCTGCACAGCGATACTAACATTTGGATTGATCGAGTCCAAGGTGGGTACGGTGGAGGGTTGTACTCGTACTGTAGGTCTGATACCGCATCGTTGATATGGTATGAACCTATCGATAGAGATGCGGTTAGATGTGTGATACGGTACAAGTATGGTATGATGGCCAGTTCTTCCACCTTGACCCTCGCCGCGTGTTTAAGGGGTTCCGGGCGGAGGGGATAAGGGGATTCTCCCTCCCTAAAAAAGGACTCGACCGGGACCGGGACCGGAGCTACGGTACTCGCTGGAAAGCGTAGCTGGTATCATACTCGTACTTGTACTCGAGTATTGTACAGTACTAGTACAGTGTCATGGTCCAGTCATGCCCATTGCCCACCTCTCCAATTGTCGATTTCTGGCAGGTCCGTCTGAGGGGGCTCGGGTCATATGGAGACGGCTGTTGCAGACGTCGGCTTTTCATTTTTTTTTCTTCCCCTTCTCGCCGCTCTTCTGATTCTCAGTGCCGTTTTTCACCAAGCTGAGGGAGGGATACCCATGCAACCGTAACCTGGGGCCAGGTCCACCCGTGCCCTTTCCCTTCCCTCGCTCTTTTTTTCCTTCCTTGCTGGGCTACGATAGGGGACGGGGTCACTGCAGTCCGACGGGCGGTGGGACGGGGCTAAAAAAAGGATAATTTGGGTCCCGACAGAAAACGGCGGAAGAAGGTTGAGCAGGTCAAGTTACTCGAGCACTCGAGCACTAGCGCAGCACTGTACCCGTACTCCGTGGCGATTGCGGATGAGTGATATCGAATCGACCAACTTGTCATACTGTACTCGAGTACAGTACGAGAAGACTACGGCAAACTTGTCGAGCCTGGTTGGGCTGAGATCTGGGGATTCAATTGGACACGGGGGATTTTCATGGCAATCGTACTACGCTACATCGTTGGGGAACAACGTGCTCGAAACATCATACGGTGCGGTATAGCGCAGTACTACCGTACCGCAGGTCCACCCGAGTACTCGTACTGTACGCCTCATAGCAATTATTAACATCTCTTGCTCTCTTTCTTTTTTTTCCCGAATTTGAATTTGAATTCGAATCCTTCTTTTCCTAGTAGCATATCAGCACTTGTACGAGTACTCGAGTACTGGTATGGAACATGGCGGTAGGAGAGTTATTTTGTGGCTTGATGGTTGATCCATGATAAACAGCGGGTGGATTGGGATTTCGGGTGTTAAAAAGCTTCTCGACCCCCCCCACCGCCCGGTCGATACTGGGGTGGAGGCTTCTTCGCTGCTGCTGCATGGCACTTCACGGTCGAGGTCACAGTCTTGCTCGAGTACATTATGTGCCGGTACGGTAATATGCTCTCGTCCTACCTTCGTGTCCCGGCACTGTTTGGCTTGATGGGCAGATTGTAAGAAATACCGGTATACAGAGCGAGTACGGTATGAGTGTCACTGCGAGCTGTGAACCGTCCCACTCTCGCTCTGTTTCTCTCTGAGCTCTCGTGTCCACATACCGGCCATCTGTTTTTCCCAGAATGCGTCTGCCGTGAGTGCGGTTTGTGTGTGGAATATTACATCTGTTGTATAGTACCGTACGATACGGGATGGGATAGGATTGGAGCGAGGTCTCTCTCTCCCTCTCTCCTATGCTACTATCACGCACATTTGGGCAACTGTGCGAGCAGAGAGCATAGCGCTGTGCGCTACGGCACTATCGCCTCCTGCTGCTGCTGCGCTTGATCTTCTGCTTGATGCTGCTCACACAACCGGGAATGGAGAGCACGGTACGGCAGGCGCAGCGCATTGCCGTTCCCTAGCACAGTCTACCGTAGATTTTATAGAAAGGAGGGATGGAGTACTGTAGACAAGGCAAAATGGACGATAATAATATGGTAGGGATATTCACTGTACTCGTACATGGTATATCCATCTGACCAGACAATCATCATCACCATCACCATCATCCTCTCTTCCCTCTCTCCCTCTCCCATTCTCTTCAACCTCATCTCCCCCTCTCCCCCTCTCCCTCCTCTCCCTCCCTCCCTCTCTCCCTCTCTTCACTACGACCCCCCCGGGGAATAGCTCACTCTCTCTACACCTCCCTCCCCGACTAGCATTTGACCAAACCTCTCCTTCCTTCCTTCCTTTTCTTTCACCTCACACATATACCGGTACTCATTCTTCTTGTTTGGTCCCTGTTTGTCCGCCGGCATCATTGTAAAGCTGTCCATTATTGATTTCCGCAGCCTTCCTAATCCCTCTCCCCCCCATATTCCCCCCTTCTGTGCCTCTCCCCTCGCTCTCTGCCTGCCATCCCCCTCTGTCCCTCACTCTCACTCTCAATCTTTGTGTGTGCGTGTGCGTGTGTGTGTTTCGTCTCACCTTGCCCTTCCTTCCTTCCTTCCTTTGGTCGCCCTTCCCTATCAGGCTCTCTCTCTCTCCCCCTACCCCACGACCCATAATCACGGGCGACGCAACGACAGAGTGCCCTCACTCACTTGAAAATCAATAAACAAGTAATAGACCAACCGTCTGCTATCTTTTACTCTTGCTCGGTCACCCACCCACACACTCACTCAGTCCCCCTGCCCACACACTTGCTCTTGCCTCTCACTCAATTGATTCTCGCCTCTTGCATACAGAATCCTACTTGCCGTTTCATACTTGATCCCTTCCTTCCCCAAGGGTTACCCTAAATCCCATCCCCTTTAACATCAACCAGCCATCCGACCCTGTAAAATTCTCATCATCCCGCTCTATCATTCATTACCGCCACCCCGTCACCCTCTCCCCCCACCCTCATCCATTCACTTCTAGATCCACCTCACATCCGCACCCACATTATCGCATTTCTTCCACCGCACTTTTCTGCATTGTTTAAACTGTCCAAGGTGGCCGGAAAGAAGAAGAAGAAAAGAAAGAAACACTGAAAATTTGATCGTGGGGAATTCGTCATCTTATCCATTTCAGGGACTTGTAGGCACTGGGGCTCTTGGGGGAAAAAAAAGCAAGATGTCTTTCGGTCATGGCTCAATATTGAGCGGTGGCAGTTCGGAGTCGGGAGAAGGTTTAGCGATGAATTGGTACGATTCCCCCTCGATCTGAAGATTAGCCTCATCCAATACTTTATTCGTTCTCGCCACGAGCAACGGGCTGATCTTCGATTTGATAGGGTTCTGGATCATGTACTCGCCTACCCTGCCACATACGACTTTGCTCTACCACTCAGAACCATTTACATACTCAACTCGACCACACCCCATACATCTCCGGCCGATTTTAAGCTGCTACTTCTGGAACACATATCAAATCTTCCGTCCCAACCCTGCACCCTTCCACCATCATTCCTCTCCACATTTGTCAGGAAATGTTTCCCTCGAGACCTGGTAAATGTCCAGTTTGATCAGGCATTTACAGCGTTGGATTATATCCGGGACCTGGAGATCCGTAGGTCAAAAGAATTGGAAAAGGCTGCTAGAGCTAGGGGTGAGGGTGACCGGAGGATAGTAAATCTCAGGATCAAGTCCATTAGAACTGAACAATTTTACGCTAGGGCTATCGCCGGGATCAGACGTTGGGTGAGTTGTTGGCTCCGTGATTTTCCGCTTTCGTGGATAATATCCTTTCTGAGGCGCTTAAGCTGATTGCATTGCATAAACAGACCTTGCTCCACGAACTTTCCATCACACCGTTCAACAAATTTAACTGCATTGCAATCCTCAACACACTCTATCCCATCGAAGAAGCTGACATCAACTCGTATTTACCCGCACCCACACTCGCTAGTCAGCGTCATGCACTTTGGCGCTACATTACCGGAGTAGAGAAAAATGGGCCTGGAATATTGGAATCTGTTCGAACCGGCAATGGCGGTTGGGTGGGAGTTAGTGAAGCTGTGAACGCATATCTCAGATTGTCTCTGGATATGATCCAGAAGGCGGACGAACTGGCAAGACCATCCAGCATCGGCAGTTTCCAGTCAGATGACAGCATGGACGTGGGCGCAACCTCGATCTCTCGGACAGCACCCGAGAGGAAGCGAAAGAAGGCCGGGTTTTTGAGAAGAGACACGGTTGGCAGCGAGACCTCGGAAGAGGAGGACGGGAAGGCGAGCACCTTGGAACGCATTGTGAGGGGTCTAGCTCGACTGGGGTCGTCCCCGCGCCCGGGCTCGCCTAAAAAGCTATACGAGAGTGATGCCGGTAGTGAGGAGGACTTTCCCATGAGATATGGTTGATTGACCGCATGCGGACGAACCGAGAAAAAAAAAGAAGAAAAAAAGGAAGTGGGTTGGGTGTTTGGTTGGAACGAAATGCTTTACCGGGTTTGGTTATCTGGGATGGAGTTGTTTAGTTCATGAACCGGAATGACAACGAAACAAACAAAAAAATGAACGGAGCATGCATAACGGCGGCATATCAGGGTGTCTTTTTTTTTTTCCTTCTAATGTATCTATCATATCTATCCATCTATCGGACAGGCGCAGATACCATCATGAGATATGACCTCGCTTTTCGTCCTATTCCTCATTTCCCTCATTTTTTTTCTCATTTTTTCTTTTTAACCGCCACAGTGGACGGAAAATTTCACAGGATAAGAAGGAATGAAGGAGGAGTAGCTCTAGAAATGCGCTTATCGGTACGACATGAGCTGCGAACGAAGCGGGCACTTGCTCCCGTTTTACTTATTTGCTTTTATTGATTCATTTTCCGTGCGGGTTCTTTTTTATATATATCCCTCCTGTTTTATTATTTTCATCATTCATGTCGAATGACTACTCACGATACCGCTTCACCCTCTTCACGTAAGTGTGGATCCTTTTTGTCCCTTTTCTCCCCCTTCAACTCCTGAATGCGAGGGGTTGTCATTGTCTGCGTCATACTATATCACTCTCCCCCACGGAAGCCTTCAAGGAAAGAGATCCGACGCATAGGACCGGGGAATGGCGTATTCTTTTTTTTTTTCTTCTCTTTTTTTTCCCCTTTATCTTATTTTTATTTCATCATTTAATTTCATTACATGGGGTCCTTTCTGCTTTTTCCTCTTTGCTTGCTTGTTGGTTTATTTCAGCCCCTGCGGAGTTGACAATTGTGCATACGTTTTACCATTTCACCTTTCTACCCCTCCTTGTACTGTACTCGTACTCGGGCATAGGATTGATAGGGTTCGCCATCATCATCATTACCATATCGTCGTCATGCTTGCGAAAGCGAAAGTGAAAAAGTGGGGGCCAGAGAGATGTCCATTGCGTTGTATCATGCCCGTCCATCTATCCATCCATCAATGCGTCGATACAAAACTGACACAAGGACAAAACATCTACCGTATATACATTCCAAGCGCCAAAACCTAACAAGGGCGATCGATAGAAATAGCAATAGCTAAAGCAATGGAGGAAACCCCCGTAAAGATTATAAACCATAACCAAGCCACAAAAAACAAGAGTTTTTTTATTTTTACAATAGTAATGATATAACCTTATGTTTATTCCGCTGCGCGATGCGCTGTATCCAAGATATCCAGCCAAGAAATCAACCAAAGAAAAGCGGAAGAAGGGAAAAGAGTGAGAAAAGGAGGGGGGGGGGGGGGGTTATCGTTTCCTCGTAAGCACCATTTCCAAAACTTCCTCCAGTCCATCCTTAGCCTCGGACGGCGGGAATGAAGATATGGCCTGCCGTGCAGTGACACAGAACGACTCCGCTAGCGCGAGTGTGCGGTCTATGCCATCCGATTTGTGGACTAGTGCTCTTGCCTGTGTTCCCCGTTAGCCACCGCAAACACGGGTAAGGGAGAGGAAGAATGGGTACCTTCTCAACATCACCGTCGAGACAAAATCTCCTCTCGATCATTTCCCCGAGTTCTCCAAACTCCTCGCACGCGTAGAGCACGGGCGCGGTGGCCAAGCCCAGTTCCAGGTCGGCGCCGGCCGGCTTTCCAATCTGCTCGTTGGAGGAGGTGTAATCGAGCACATCGTCCACGAGCTGGAAAGCGAGCCCTAGATGGCGGCCATAGACGTAGGCTTTCGCCGCGACCTCTTCGGTAGCACCGCCGAGTACGGTGGTGGCCCGGCAGGACTTGGATATCAGGCTGGCGCTCTTGAGGTATGTCTTCTCGAGGTAATACTCCAGCGAATCGCGTAGGTAGGCCTCGCGCGAAGGCTTGTTGGTAAAGTCGACGGCCGCGGCGCTGGTCGCTGTGTTCTGCAGCTGGAAGAGCTCGCCCTTGACTAGTTCTGCAATCACCTCTGCTAGTAGTTCTATCACCTCTGGGTTCCGTAGCCGCGCTAAGTACACGCTTGCCCGGCCAAGCATGTAGTCGCCAGCTAGGATGGAGAGCTTGTTTCCCGAGAGGGCGATGGCGCTGGGCTTTCCACGCCGGGTCTCGGCCTGGTCGAGGACGTCGTCGTGCAGGAGTGTTGCTGTGTGGATTAATTCCACGATTTCCGCGAGACGGCGCTGGGTTCCCAAGACCTGCACACCTCCCCCCGTCGCTGTCGCTGAGACTCCGGCGGGGCCGAGAATGTCGACGGGCATGAGCCGGCTGCTAAGCAGCGCTAGGTCCGGATTTGTGTCCCGCAGGATCTCGGACGGGGCCACGGTGCTGTTGAAGGTCTTCTCTAATTCTGCGCTTGCGTGTTGCCAGTTCTGCCGCTTCGGGGCGATTGCGGTGGCCCGCGACATCAGGAATATCACCATGGGACGGAAGAGCTTGCCGTTCGCTTGGAGGTAGTATTTTGATGTCTTGTCCAGTCCCGGCAAGTTTGTGGAGCATAGAAGGGAGATCTGCGATTTCAGGTGGGTGAGCTCTGGAGCGACAACCTCTTCGGGGTTGATCCGGCGGCGGGGAGGAGGGTGCGTGTTTCCTAGTGGTAGTGTTGAAGGAGCGGGAGGGGTGGGTGGGAGTGTCAGGTCTGCTAGGGGTGAAGTTGCAGCGGAGGTGGAGCCATATCCCGATGACCGTCGGAGTGGCAGTAGCGCTCGGACATATCTTGTGAGCCCGTTGCCGTTGTTGCCGCCGCGGGTGAGGGGTAGTACCCGCCGGAGAGAGGATGCCATTGAGACGGGTACACTGACTCTGGACTAAACGGGCGATTTGCCGCCCGCAGTCCGGTGGGTGTGATGGTAACTGAACAGCGAAGGCTCAGGTAATCTCGGAGAATTCCAATTGAGTGTCCGAGGCTCTGCAAATCCACCCAGTTAACTTCTCCCCCCTGTTCTTCGTTTCTTCTTCGCTCGAAAAGCCAGCCCTTCCCTTCCGCAATTCTACCAGGGCAAGCGAAAGTGAGTTGCGGTGGGGAACGGGAAAAGGGGAAATGGATGGATGGAGGCAGGGAGGCAGGGAGTGAGGTTACTGCACCTCACCAGTGATAGAACAGGAGGAGGAAGGTTTGATGGATGGCCGATTGAGGAGGGAGAGAGTGCCGTCTTCCAGACACAAGCAAGGATTACTAGTACGCAAGAATCATAATTATTTTTTTTGTTTTGTTTTAGATCGGTTATGGCTGTCACACACCGCGGCTTGGGCATGGGTGCCCCAGTCTTTTCTTTTATCATAATACTCGTATTACAAGACTGTTAATGGTAACACAATTCCCTTGTAGAGGTAGATTGAGAGAGAAAATAGGGCTTGGCACGTTATTCTTCATAATCTTATCCGATTAGATTTGGGTCTACCTATATTGATTGTTGGGTAACGAAGCCTTTTTCAATGGATCGCCAAGACCGGGGGAGGGGGCTGATATGGAGGATCATGGATGGTGCTTCCATCCCGACTAGATCCTGATTTCCGCAAGGTAGGAAGGAGGAGGAGGGTGCTCGCTTTCTACCAGTTGCTCTTGACACCCACATATTCTCCCCTATCCAGCTCCAAATCCCTAAACACCGCTTCATCCCCTTTCAAATGCTCAACTCGTTTCCCGTCTTCCTCCTCCAGCTCCTTCAATTCCTCACCGGCAACTTCATGCTCCTTCCCTTCCAAGACCTCCCTCTCGCCAATGAACAACATCTGCGCGTTCTTGCACTCCAAGTGTTCCCTCCCCAACGGCAACCAACGGAGCCCACCAAACTCATCCATAACCCTATTCCGGAAATTAGTCCCATAAACACACCAAGTCATCTGGTCTCATGGCAGGGAGGGTATTTACTCCTTCGGAAACTCCGCTGGATCAGCAATCGCCACGCTCCGCGGTGCTGGCGCACTCGGATTCTTCACGGAGACGATAAAGCTCCCGCGATCCTTGATTCCGAATTCGGACTGTATCTCACTCGCATGCTCTGGTATGGTCAGGTGGTATGCTAGATGTGATGAGCGCTCTTTCGGGTGCTTGACGAGGGCATATACTCCTTCTCCTATGGGCTCCGCTGCCGAGTCGACGCGTTCGCTGGTAACCGTTAGTATAGGAGGTGAGGTGAGGGAGTGATGAAGCGGGAGGAAACCCTCGGGTCTTTGTTGTGTAACGTGAACCCTTCAAAAACCGATCCTTGAGGTCTCGCACCGTTATATTCGGCTCCTCCACGAAGGTCCTATCACACATATGGCCCCGCCATTAGTCCCCCCCTCCAATCGCAGGACTACTGGCCACCACTCACAAAAACTTCTCAAACCCCCTCGTCGGCAACCTCTTTTTTGGCACGGCCAGAAGCCTACACTTCCCCTCCCCCTTGCTCCCCTCCCCACCCACACTTACACCCTCGCCCAGCTTCAAAGGCTTAAGAACGATATACCCCCTCTTGACATCCTCCAATCCGCCAGCGCTCTCGACGGCAACCTTACTCCTGAAAAAGAAATAAACAAGGCCCTTCTCCAGCACCCCGCCCTCCCGCGCCCGCTCTCTCCGCCCGGCGTCCTCCTCCCTTTCGCTGTGGAGTTGGGCGGATGGCGAACCTGGGGGTGGCGGCGCTCGGAGTTTGCGCTTTTTCGCAGTGGAGGGGGATTTGGGTTGTTGGGCGCGCTTTTTGGTGGGGGGGGAGGTGGAAGTGCTGTTTGAGCGAGATTTCCGTGTTGAGGAACGGGTTGATACCATTTCGCTCTCTCTAGCCTATTCCTTATTGCACGGTGCGGCACGAGTACTTTACCGGTGGGCGGTGTTGCGGTGGTGAGGAGGAGGAGGAGGAGGAGGAGGAGGAAGAGGAGAAGGAGGGGTTGTCATGGTGTCGTCCATTCACAGCACAGCACTTGCATGACACCGTACTCCCCAACATAAATATCCCTCCCACCACACACACCTACGACATGATGACATGCCCTCACTCGCACACACACCCAACAGGCACAGCAGCAGCAACTCACAATAATTGGTCTACGAGTAGGAACGCAGGTCACGTGTCGTGATATCATACCATGCCCCCCCCCCCCCCAGTTTCACCAAAACCGACTTATATAACCACCCCATGCCTCATCATACCCACCACGAGCACAACATCCAGCACCTCCCAAATAGTCTACCCCCTACCAATGAAACCCAAGACCACACAACCTACGAGTACGAGTATGAGCACAAAATACCGGTAGTCCACTCGTATGATACGGCATGCAACTATCATATAATACCCCACATCATGCAAAACACACGCATATAATACCAAGACAGTACTCGAGTACACTCGTACCGTACACTCCACAGAAACCGACCGAGTACATACATACGGTAAATAGCTCATCTTTTTCACCCCTAGCGAAAGAAAGAAGAAAAAGGAAACAAAGAGAAAAAGAAAAAGAAAGATTATATAATTCCCCGCGTTTGGACGGACGGACGGACGGGGCTGGCGGCGGCCCGGTTGCGAACCTGCCTATCATACTTGCGGTACTTGCGGTACTTACTTGGACTATATACAGCACTCTACTCGAGTACCGTAGTTACGAATACAGTACAGTACTCGTACGAGCCTGGCAGCAAAAGAAAGAAACGCACCCGCCTGTTTTCCATAAATTTACAATATACCAAATTTTTTCAATACCGTATGCGCCTATCTAGCAGCAAAGAATGGTTGCTTTTTCCGTTCAACCCAGAGATCCGCATAACTTGGTTGAATTCCAGGCTGCAGGAATTGTTTCCATTACCGGTATCTCATATACAGAGGTTTTCCGAATGGGAGGGCCAAAAACAAAAACCACGCCAAGACATCTGATTTGTATGATATGTGATTTCGCATAGCGACGGAAATTATCACCAAGTCATGGTCCGGTTTGAGCATCCAAGGCTGTTGATATAAAATAGTAAAAAAATCAAGAAATTCATAATGCTGAGCTCCTCCATCACATCACATCATCAGATTCTTCGGGGAAGAGGGGGTAGGGCAGGATTTGCGGTTTCTCCCGGCATCTAATTGAAAATTGGTGTTTTTGTATGGAAGGCGGCGGCGGGATGCGGGATGGGGTGCCTCTCCTCCCGTCGCCAGGCTCGTACTGTACGAGTAGAGTACGAGTACTTGTACAGTAATTTACTGCACTGCACCCGCACGTACAGGGTAAAAAGGTTAGAGCCGGTTAGACTAGCGTACCATGCATTTATTCTCCGTTGCACAGTGTCCCTTGGTTGACAACGATAGGGTAAAAAAGCTTACCATATCGCAGGCGTTACAGTATTTTGCGTGTGGGTGTGGATGATCACGTTCTGGAAGGCGCTGGGCTGGGGTTGAGTTACCGGTAATTTTTTGAATGGCTACGTACGGTATTGGTGGAATGCGGTCCTGCACTGTGCGGGTTAGAACTATCGTATGAGTGCGGTTGTAAGCGACGACGGGGAAACGGGGAGGTGGGGGATGAATAGGTTGTTACTGCACTTCCGGTACGGTAGGTCCCGTACTGTATACTGTACTTGTACGGTACGGTATCGTGGTGCACTGGCACCGGTATGATGGATGAGTCTGTGGGGATTGAAACTTCTCTCGAGTAATCGGGGTCGTTATCTGTCCAGTCCATCCAGTCCCCGGTTGTTTCGTGCTATCGTGTCATAATCATCGTGTTTCGTGGAAGCGTGACACACCGAGTGCGGTACCGTACGGTACGGTAGACTGCATTGCGGTACCGTAGACTACCGTATGATACGTACTGTACGAGTACTTGCACTTGTATGACACTGTTATCATCCATGAGTGCAGAGGGCGTCACCACAGCAGAGCCTCCTCCAGTCACAACACTCGCACAACACCTACAAATCACTTCGTCCGAGACGTCATCAGAACGGCTAAATGCCTCATGGGTGGAGGAGGGTGTCTTCTTCCTCGCCCCCTCCGCCGTAGCACAGCGACGACGACCACGACGACAACGACGACGACTGCCGTCCGTGGACTGCCATGAGTATGATACCGGTATGACACGATGGTTTACCCGTTGAAAACCACCTCGCTCACAATTGCAAGAGGACTGTCGTCCTTCAACACCCTCACAAAAAAAACGGGATGGAATTGGCCTCAACCTATCACCCTCTCCACCAACCCTTCATGTACGATTCGAGACCCTCTTTGAAAAACACAATCCGGCTGTTATTGAAATTGATTCATTCACCACTCCATCAATCCATCCATACTGTCCATAATACATGTGATAAAACACGGCTCCGACAAAATGCATAGGTAAAACCCTCGCCAATACGTATTATGAGGGAAGAAAGGAAAAAAGGAAAAAAGAGAAAAAACATAATAGTACATCTTTCGGGGGAGAATAAACTGAAATGAAATGAGAAAAAAAGCCCCCTTTTGATAATGAAAATCTGAAATACAATCCTTCTATGCCATGTCCCGGATGCCGTGCACAGTACAATGAGAGAAACGATGAGAAGGATGAGATACGGCTGTGGAAAGAAAAAGGGAAAGGGAAAAAGAGGAGAGGAAAAAACAACCTGTATATAAATGCCCCGCGAAACCCTTTTTTAATGCCCAAGGAAATACAGGAGGAGAAAAGGGGAAAAGGAAGGAAAATCGTACAAGCATTTGCACTCGTGAAATTGGGTGAAGCGGGGGGGGTGCAGGAAATTGGGTTGAGTCGAGAGGGTGATGATGGATGGTGGCGGCTATCCAAGGATAGAGTTGGCGGAATTCACAATTCCATGTCAACCTCGTAATCCGATGTTTGAGATCCGGCGTACGAAGTTCCGAAAGATGTCGCGCAGACAGAGGCGTCTCTCTGTCCGATAACCCTTCGCCGAGTCCGTCGCCCCGAGTCCTGCGAATCGAGGCCGCTATCGTAGTCCGAATCCGAACTCCCGACTGATTCCGTGTAGCTTCTCTTTGCCTTCCTGGGCTGGGCCCCGAATTTGAGCTGTTGTTGAGCCATTGCTCGGGCAATTGGTGAAGATCCCCGACACGCCGAGAGCATTCCAAAGCTATAAACGATTTCCCGCTGGGCTTCATCATCCTCGTCCGAGTCGTACATTGGCCTCCCGTAGTCTGGCGACGGCTCCTCGTATTCGCCAACCAGAAGCTCTACGCCGCTATCCTCGTCCTCGTCTTCAATCTCTTCGATCTCGAAGTCGTCCGCATCATCGCAGTGGTCTGTGTAGTAGGAGCATTGCGACGGGGAGGGTGACGGGCTCAATGACACCGGAGTATGGGGTCGCGAGAAGTTGCGGGGAAGGTGACCGAAGCGGTTGCGGCAGTCCTGCGGGAGACCAGCGTGTATCCGCAGTTTCTGCCACTCCGAGTGAACCGCTGAGCCTATCGGGGCGAGGCGAGGCGATGCCGACGGAATGGGTCTTGGTGAGGTGGGCCGGGTAGCCCACGATAGGGGAGTGTGGGGTCTCTGACTGTCCATTGAGATTGTTGTCGCAATGGAGGTATGTATTGATGGGGTTGGGGATCGATATGCAGCTTAAAATCTGGGCAGTGGTGTGGTCTAACTTGGAGCTAGGCTAGAGGGGAAGGAGGAGGTATGGTATAGTGAGGAATGATGATATCCGGAACGAATTGTCTGCTATCTGGCGGGGGGAATGGCGGGCGCAGGAAGGTCTTATAGGGAATTGGGATGAGGCTCGCATGTGGATGGAAGGGGTGTGGTGGGGGGAGAAGAGGGTGGGAAGCAAAAGCAAAACGAAGGGAGGGGCGATGAGAGAGAGTGCGTGTGTGTGTGAGAGTTGTCGGAGAGGGGAGGGCGGAACAGCACAACGGTGATGACTCTGGTTGAGCTCCATTTTCGCCCGAGTGAGGCCGCCTTTACTATACCGGTAAGTTACAGCACGATAATATCGGCTTTTTTTTTCTTTCTTTTTTTTCTTTTCCTAAAGCCCGTGTGGTTTGCACATGTTGTCACACCGACCTCTGAGTAAAGCATCATTCTTGGACGAGGGGGAGAGAGTGAATGGGGAAAAAAAGGGAAGGGAAAAGAAAAAAAGACATACAAGTACATGAAAAAAACGTGGGAGAGAGGTGAAAAAACGGTCACTTGTTTGCCTTAATGCATGCTTCTTTTATTTCATTTTTCTCACGCTTGAGTCACAATGCAATCCCATGCTCCGTGAGAACAGAGGAAAGCCGGTTTGCGCAGCGAGAAATGGTCCCTGTTGTGCGCAGTGGGTGTGCGGATTGCATCAGTGTGCAGGAGCCACCAAGATTGGGGGACGAATAGAGTGATGGGAAGTGACTTTCTTTGCGTTGTTCTTCTCCCTTTCCTTCTCTCTTCCTCACCTCTGTTATCACACTTGTGCTGTACGAGTGCCGCAGTCTACCCTACTGCCCTACCTTCTTAGCAGGGTCCGGGGAGGGAGAGGGTTGCGAAAAGGTTGGTTGCCTGTGTTCTAGCCTTCCATTCCTGCGTTCTCCGGACCCGAATTCTTACGTGCCCATCACCATGTTACTGAGATTGTGCTGGCGTGCCATTCGTTCACTGCCACCACTGCGCCTGCCAGAGGAGACAGCTGGACAACTGTTCCGTCGTACAATCCTCCCATTCTTCCGCCTCCCTTCCTCAAACAACACCCCCCCCCCCACCATCAGCCCAGCCCCCTTCCTCCCCCCGTATCAGGAAGGACAAACGAGCTTGATACTGCACCGGTAGGGGAGAAACACGACAACAACTAAAACAATCGCCCTCCTCCGTGCAACTGTAAATCGTCCCTATCTTTCTGTGAACTCGCGCGTTGGTCTTCGTTTGTCGCTCATCGACCGATATGAAGACCATCGGTAACAAGGGTATCTAATTTTGAGGGGCAGAGATCCGGTGCCGGTATACGGTACTGTAGTTGCGCGGTGCAGCTATCCTCTCCTGCTATTTGTTCGGGGAAGAGTGGAAACCCCCCCCCCCCCCCACATGCTGTGAACTCGCGACAAAAAAATCTATCATATTACCATACTTTACCACCTGCCACCTGCCGCTCTTCCACTTCTTTAACTCCACCCCAAACTATTCGACCGGATGAGGGGGGTTGGATTCTATTCACCCGATGGCTTCACACAACTTGCCGGCGATTGACGAGGACACCATCTCCTCCGGTCGTCGGAATACTTGCCCATTGCTCCACCTCTCCCGCTTCCGGTAGGGGGGGAAGAGCCGTAGGGACGGCGGGGTTGAGGAATGCCAGCGAAGGGCATCAGAACAGGACGGGATGGATGAGCGATGGCAGTGGGCACAAAGCGACCAGTAAACAGGCTGGATAACTGATGTTGGTGTGGGAGATGACGGTGCCGTAGGTACGGTCGTCGAGTGAGTGGTGAGTACCGGAAATTGGGTTTGGATTAGAACTACATTATCTCGACGGATGAGGGATCTGGAGGGGAAGCATGAAGGGATGGGAGAAGAAAAGAAAAAAAGGAGAAGGGAAGAAAATCTCGATCGGATCCCCGATATGAACAAGCGGATAGTCACCATCGGTCATTCGTTATTCTGCTCGGAGACGAGGGAAAAAAGGAGAAGGGAAAAAGGAAAGATAGGGAAAAAAGCTTATCTGGGATCCGAGGTCCGCAAGTACTGTACGAGTGGTACGGTACGGTAGACTACGAGCACTTGGAGTGCAGTACTTGTACTCGTACCGGTACTGGTATCGGACTCGTACGGTACGGCGGTTCTACCGGTAGCACTGCAAGCTCCTGGAATAGATACAGTGCGGTACCGTACAGTATTACAGTAATATCATGGGACAGTCACTTGACTGCATCCCACGGTCACCCAATCCCACTTGGCATGGAGGCGAAAGCGTGTCCCTAAGCGTCTTGGCATGCTTTCAGCCGCCTAATTGCCAAAATGTGTGCTCGACAAAAAAGCTCCTTCCACACGCTTCGATGGTCTGCTGCCAACTCCTTTTTTGCTCTGTTTGATCCTATATTCTTGGAATAGCTACCCCATACGAGGAAACTCTCGATAGGCGGAAACCTTTGCATGGACTGATCCGGTATATTTGCTATCCAATTACCTACATACCCCCCCGATTGAAGCTTGGACAGGATGCGATTGCCCAATTTTGGGGGAAGGCTCTCCGTGGGCCTTCTCCTGCTATCACCTTGTGTGCGACTGGTTTCCTGCGGCCCTGCTGTCAGTGTTGCACTTAAGGCTTCCTGGAATGGCGCACCATTCTTGTTGGAACTATTGTGAGTGCGAAGAGGGGAACATCATCGCTCCCATTTTTCACGGGGCGTCGTAACCTAACACCGGGCTGTCTAAAAATAGGGAAACCGCCGCTGACGAGGTCGGCCCTTCGTATTTTCCTCTGCTCGATCGGATAGCGGCGGGAGACTTTGCCGACATAGACTCCGACGAAGCTCTTTACCACGCCTTTCTACGGGTTGCACGGGAGGAGGGGTTCTTGGTGGGCCAGGAGGAGCTTGCTTCCTTCGACTTTGCCTTGTCGATACATGCGGCTGCTCCGAGAATAGAAGCTCACTACCACTACTATGAGAACTCTTTGGAACCTATGATGGGGAGGCTGTACGATGCCACTTGTCAAGTGTGGCTTCAATGGAGTCAGAAACAAGTTTGCGGCACTGGTGGTGATTTTAAGGACATGTTAAAGTCCTGGGAGAGATATCAGAAGTACGGCATCTTGTCATTGTTTGAGTGTTTTGTTTGCGGGAAGGTTCTAACGGCTTCCCTAGTGATCGACGGAAGCTCCAGTTTGACCGGGTGCTGGAGACACGGGAGGACAAACCGGCTGCAATCCTTTATGCCGATATTGGTGCCCCAAATTTCAAACAGTTTCACGAGGTGCTCAGGGATTACGCCAAGCAAGGGGTACTTACCTATCGCGTGCGATATAAGCCCCGGACCAATGGAAAGGGGCGCCCTGTGATTCTTGGTGGGTATGGCGTTGAATTGGCTCTCAAGAAAACAGACTACATTGTTATGGATGATCGTGATGTCTCAGGTGAAGGTGATGTTAGCAAGGGCAAGGAGACACAAATTCCTGTCGGAGAACTGGACGATCAGGAGGTCCAGGATATTAAGCCTCTCCACCCAAAGGATATGTCATTCCTTGGAATGAAGGCTGCCAGTTTTGTCATGGAGAGCGGTGATCCCCTGACCATGCTTCTGAAACTTCTGCAGGACTTCCCGAAACACGCCTCCTCTGTGGCGGCCATCGACGTCAATCCGGATGTTGCGGATGCACTTCAGGAAAACTGGGATTCCTTTCTTGGCCCTGGCCAGAATGCTCTTTGGATCAACGGGGTCCAGCTGGAAAACTCCGATGTTAATGCCTTCGCGCTTCTCGAGCATTTGCGAAGGGAGAGGAGATTCGTGAATAGCTTCAAGGCCCTCGGGGTCAACTCTTCCGAAGCTGTCCAGTTACTGTCCCACCAGATACTTGCCAGTTCTAGGCAGGATGAGGCTCCGCAGAGGTTCGACTACCGCGATAGTATCGAGGGTGGAAAGGCCATCATTTGGCTCAATGATTTAGAAAAAGACTTGCGATATCGAGAATGGTCTTCCGCAGTTGGTACGGTATGCGGTTCTAGATAGATCTCTCCGTTATCCGTGCCGTATCATGTAGCTAAACGCTCTTATAGCTCCTCCGTCGTGTCTACCCCGGACAGCTGCATCCCCTCAGGCGCAATGTGCACCATCTTGTCGTTCCCGTAAATCTTGCCTCTAAGGAAGATCTGGCTTTGATTGCCGAGCAGTTGCGTTTGTTCGTCGATAGGAAGATTGCTCTCCGATTTGGACTGGTACCTTTGACCGGGACCCCTGAAGGTCTGCGCATCTCACTTTTGTATAACTGTTGCAAGTGACTGACTGTGATCCGATATAGCTGTTGCACAAGCAAAGGTCTTCTATTACTTGAATGATGCTTATGGCCTTCCGGTTGCTTTGGGATATCTTGAATTGGTTAGTTGGATTTGTATTGCTGCCTGGAGACCCTTGCTGACCGGCCGTATAGGCGCTTGAGTCCGGCCAATTCTCAATGCCAAATGCTAAAGTCTTGGAGCAAGTTATCAAAGGGGCCGAGGTCATTGAGGGTTGGACCGCGTTGCCTTTGGAGGAGGTGTTGTCCTCCGAGGCTGTTGGGGAGCATATTAAGGCGTCTAAATCATGGGCTGGTAGAATGGGTGCAAACTCTCTTATCCCTCCAGTGTTCATCAATGGCCTTTCCGTGGCTAGAGACGAGGTATGCGAGCGATTTTCAGTTACAGAGGACTTGGCTGAGACGGAATATTATAGCAATGGATGCAAATTATGAGCGCCCGCCTTCAAGGCGATGTCCAGTTGACCCAGAGAGTAGTGTATGAGGAAATCGCCAATGACGAGACCGACTTCGCCGCTCTACTTTTGGGTAATGCGGCCACACGTCGGAATTCCTATATCTTCCCGGAGGGCGAGGAGTCTATCAGAACTATAAATGTTGGGAAGCTCTTGAAAGAATATCCTCACGTCTTCGACAGGTTGCCAACCATTATCTCGGATAGGCCGGACAGGCTCGTCGAATCCACTATCTGGGTCATTGGTGACTTTGATGAGAAGGACGGATATGAGCTCCTCCAAGGTGCTAGCGAGCTTCAAAAGCTTGCACCAGGCGTGAACTTGGTTTCCATTAACAACCCCCAACTTGTGAGCGGGAACCCCGCACTCTCTACACTTCTCCATCAGCTTCACCAAGTTGGATTCTTCAAGGGCCCCGAGCAGCTTCAACAACTCTTGGAAGAAGTGCCGCCACTGAAAGAGCATGCCGATATTCCGAAGGCTGAGGCTCTATTGCAAATGCAGATCCCTGATGCCAAACCCTCTAGCTGGCGGTTTCCCGACCATATCGAGTCCGGGAACTTCTGGAGGGAAAGCCAGATGATGTTGGAGGCGGCTGGATTTAAACCTGGGCAGAGGGGAGTGATCATCAATGGACGTGTCGTGGGACCTGTCCCTGTTGATGAGGAGTTTGGCGCAGAAGATTTCATGCAGCTCTTGGAGTACGAACACTCTAGAAGGATTTTGCCTGCGTTGAAGGCTGCCAATGAGATGGGCGTTTTGGAGAAGCTCAAAGGGTTTGCTATTCTTCGTGTAGCGTTGTTCGCAGTGCTGATCGCTGACCTCTTCTAGTTCTCAATCTTCTGCGTGCCTTACCAACCTGGTTGCTCTGAGTAACGTTCCCGAAGCTCCCACGAGCGTGTTCCAGGGCCCATCTTTGGCCAGGACAGATGCCTTCGATAGGCTTTGGGAACAAGAACATGTTGCTATTGAGTCGGGAGATAAGGGCAAGGCTATCTTTCAAGCTGTGGCTTCCATTGATCCGGCCAGTGAGCTCGCTCAGAAATGGGTCCCAATCCTGAAGGTCTTGTCCGAGATGAAGGGTGTGTATATGAAGATATACCTTAATCCCCAGAGAGTGGTTGCGGAGCTTCCGGTCAAACGATTCTACCGACATGTTCTCAACTCTGCCCCGATCTTTGATGAAAATGGGTATTTACATGCTATCCACTTTGTGTTTTTGTGGAATCTTTGGCTAACGTTATCTAGTAATCTCGCTGACCCCCAAGCTCGGTTTGAAAATATCCCGGAACTCCCTTTGCTCTCTTTGAGTATGGATGTCCCCCCATCTTGGCTGGTAACGCCTAAGGAGTCACCATATGATTTGGACAACTTGAGGATCCAGTCCCTAAAGGATCGCTTGAAGGGAAGTGATATCGAGGCACTCTATGAACTTAGGAGCATTCTTATCGAGGGACATTCTACCGATATCGTTAATGGGGGGCCACCAAAGGGAGCCCAATTGGTTCTTGGCACCGAGAAGGAGCCTCATTTCGCAGATACTATTATCATGGCAAACTTGGGCTATTTCCAATTCAAGGCAAACCCTGGGTACTACAAGATGGAGTTGAAGGAAGGCCGCTCTAAAGAGATCTTCCGCATCGACAGTACGGGAACTAAGGGTTTCCAACAGGGCAAACGTGCGGTAACCGATGAGGATTCCGAAATCGCATTGTTGAGCTTCCAAGGAGCCACTTTGTTCCCGAGATTATCAAGAAACCCGGGAATGGAGGTCGAGGATGTCCTTGAACAGTCTACCGGCGCGCCGAAGAATGTTGGAGACTTTGCCACAAAGTTTCTTAAGAAGGCGGAAGGCGTACTCGTGAATTTCGGATTCCTTGCGCCGGCCGCGGATTTGAAGCCTCGAGCTGATATCAATATTTTCTCTGTTGCCAGCGGCCACCTTTACGAGAGATTTTTGTACATCATGATGCTTAGCGTCATGAAGCACACCGGCAAATCAGTCAAATTCTGGTTCATTGAGAACTTCTTATCGCCCTCATTTAAAGATTTTATCCCAATAATGGCAAAGGAGTACGGGTTTGAGTACGAATTGGTCACTTACAAATGGCCCCATTGGCTTCGCGGTCAAAAGGAAAAGCAGCGCGAGATTTGGGGATACAAGATTTTGTTCCTTGACGTCCTTTTCCCCCTCGATCTTGACAAAGTCATCTTTGTCGACGCTGATCAGATTGTCCGAACAGACATGAGTGAGCTCGTTGACTTGGATCTCCAGGGTGCGCCATACGGCTTCACGCCAATGTGTGATTCTAGAGAGGAAATTGAAGGCTTCCGCTTCTGGAAGCAGGGCTACTGGAAGAACTTCCTGAAAGGCCTTCCGTATCATATAAGGTGACTTTTCGTGTCTTACTTTTGATTGTCTCTAGCTGACTTTCCCAGCGCTCTGTACGTCGTGGATCTTAAACGCTTCCGCCAAATCGCCGCCGGGGACCGCCTCCGCCAGCAATACCACCAACTCTCCGCGGACCCGCACAGCCTCTCGAACTTGGACCAGGATCTACCAAACCACATGCAAAGCATGCTCCCCATCCACTCCCTACCGCAAGAGTGGCTCTGGTGCGAGACCTGGTGTAGCGACGAGAGCCTTAAGACGGCAAAGACGATCGATTTATGCAATAATCCTATGACAAAGGAGCCGAAATTGGATCGCGCGAGAAGGCAGGTTCCGGAGTGGACGGCCTATGATGAGGAGATTGCGGCGTTGGCAAGGAGGAGTTTGAAGAAGGAAGGAGGAGAGGAGAGTGAGGCGGCGAGGCGGGCAGAGAAGGAGGAGGAGACGATGGAGGCACCAGAGGAGAGGGAAAGTGAGCAACCTACTATCAAGGAGGAACTTTAGGCAGGTTGGGACGGGGGGATCTGTATTTGTATTCAGTAGAAGGCGCTTGTATCGTAGTGATTATTATCTAGAACGGCGAGCTCAGGGTTCGTGGGCTTTTTTTCTTTCTCGGATGTCTTCGTGCTCGTGCTGAGCAGTTAGAAAGATGCATGAGGTGTCACTCGGTGAGGGCCTGAGGGAAGATATTTTAGACTGTGATACTCCTGCGCGACGAATGGATTTATACCGTGTGCTGCTCTAGATCATCAGGATACAGTATTATTCGGAAGCGTCTAACGCTGCACCCGGGGTTTGCTCCTGAGCCACCGCAGTCACCCAATCGGGTCGGTAGCGTTCCTGATGGCGTGTGGGCTCTTGGAGGCCCCTCAGGGGGCCCTGACGAACCAAATCACAGGACGTGACTCTGGCTATGAGTACGGTTCGGGCGCGCAATACCGTACGAGACTGAGTGCCGAACTCTTGGAGCATCGACTCCGCTGTGGTAGGATACCCACGGGGGGGGGGGTTACTGGTGTCGAAGCCTACCACTACTGGCGGGGAGTGCTCTTTGATTTGTTTTTTATACCAGTTGGAAGATAGAGTATACTGTAGAATGGACCTGCTTTTTTCTTTTTTCTTTGTGGGGTTTGAGTCCCTAGCTGTTTGTGGATGGTTCTGAGTTGGCTCTTAAAGGGTTGTCTACTTCCTTGCTGGGATTGAATGATTTTGGGCGGATATTGGGGGAGAGAAAGGCTACCTCCTATAACTATTCCTGGCATTCCATTTGACATGGTATTCCAGTGTTGCTCAATCCTAGCTGACTATTTCTAGTATCTACCTACCTACGTCCGGTTCTCCCAACTCTCAACCATTCTATCCAATTCTGCTCTGCCTGTATCACACATCTCCGTGCATATCGATTGGGTAAGTTGACTACCGGTATTCCCGAGAGGGCAGGAGCCCGGATTGTAGTACCCGAATGGCAGTCTTAGTTTTGCAGTACCTGAGGGTGGAGCCCAAATCGCAGTCCAATGTCTACTCCCCCCCCCCCACCAAATGTAGGGAAATTTGACCGGCAGGTAGGTATAAATATAGTGCACTGGCATCTTGCCTCCTTCCTTTCGTCAGATCATTTCTCCTCACATCAACCTTTAGTACATTTTCCTTCAAGTTTGAAATCTCTTGCTATTGTCTCTACCACTGGCATACCGGCTGCTATTACCATTTTACATTCCTCTTATACTACTCTACTCATATCCCCATTACCCTTTCTACCACCTCTCTACTGCTATCATATTCCCTCTTAATAACATTTTTCTCATCATACCACTATACCCCTCTCGACCCTCAATTCATTTCTCAGCTATTGCTTGGGGGGGGGGGGGGGGGGGGGAGGAAGGTATCTACCTATATATTTTATCAGCTTGAAGTACTAGTAAGTAAGGTCATAAAATAGGATTTTCAGCTGCCTTGTAGTTGAAAGTTTCATGGACTATACAAGCTATTATATCAGAGATGGTTAAAGAAGAGTCTTGAAAGAGACTCCTTGATGGATATTGGTACCTGATAGCTAGCTGAGTCTATCGTTCTCCTATCTACTTGAGTGAGTATACTAGTATATTCATATTCAGATTTATAAAAAAATGTTTACTAATTACTCATATAGGTAACTTGAAGGTATCATCTTGGTCTTATACCAACTTGAGGATAGGAAAAGTACTAATAAAGAATTATATAATAGTTTATATGCTACTACTAGTAGACATTACTGCAGGGCCAGTAATGTCTTAGACCTGCTGATGGTCTAGTAGTAATATAACTATACTTATTCCTGTTGGTAAGTTTGTACTTATATTTATATTTTTAATGGAGCTTACTAAATATTTTCATAACAGGTAAGTTGGGTTGATACTAGTAGTATATATATACTAGTACTTAGGCTCAGCTATCAGGTATAGCTCTAGTTGCTAAGATGGTATTATACTCAAGTCAGGAATGGAAGCTACAAATATTAATATACTGTTAGTGATTGGCAACAGGCGCAATAACAAAAAATCTGGGCTTAGCTAGCTAGTGGCTTAAAAAAACCAAGAGTTCTTAATTACCAAATTTGGAGCATTTATAGGATTTACTCTTTTTGACATATACTCTGGTATGTGCATATAGTCTATAAAATATATTTCCACACCTTTGAAGTCCTGCTTGCAGACTAACTTTAATACTCAGGTGATCCTTACTGGTGACTGGTTTGCTAGTAGTAATTCATGTAGGAATGAACTGAGATTGGACACCATATTCACTACATTGCTGTAAAGTAAATATAAAACACTTATGTACTTTTACTATTTACAATTGAGTTTTTTTCTTTTCTTTTCTTTTTCCTTTCAGGACAGAAACTAGTGGGTATTGAAATATAGTATGCTAACAATAGATCCACATCATCACCCTAACTCACACTTTTCTGTTTATCTTCTTATTCGCTCGCATGTAGTGTGCGCTCTTGTGTTTGATTATATTACTTCGGGATCGTTAGTACCATAATAGTACAGCAACAACTAGTACTACTACTACTGCTCCTGGAATGTATCATGTTCCGTGATACCACTCTATTAATATTTCACGATACAGATACAGGATGCGTACTGGCCGCCTACCAGGCTCGCGAATTCTTCCAGTTCTCACACGTTTTACGAACTCGCGCTGTTGTCTCCTGAAGGGATACGGATATCCGGACTTGGCTGTACAGTACGGTACATGCAGCGTACCAGAGATTCAAAATCTCTTTAATCATCCGTCATGCCCAGCGGACGGCCACTCGCACCCCCGCACGCGCGCATGGTACAACTGGGCCCCTCCCTGCCGGGGAAGGTGGGAAAGGAAGGAGCGCAACCGGAGTAGGGTTGAAGGGGTAGAGTGCGTCAGCGATGGGTAGACTATGGACGACAGTCAGTTAGAAGCGAGTGAGCAAGCAGGCATATCGGATTCGGACGTGAACCGGGAATATGGAAGGGGGCGTCATGATGGCTCGTGTGATGATATCTGTATTTCCTCTAGAGTGGATTTATGTGCAAAAGTTTGCCTCCGGTGTCGGTGTCCTGGTTTGTAGAGTCGGGGACCGCGATTTTGGTGTGGAAATGTCGTACTCGAGTGCGCAGAATTTAGGGCGCGGGTCTGTGTGGGATTTTCTGGAGCCGTGGACAGTGGGTTCGTGGAGCTCTTGTCTATCTATCCGAGTGATGGTAGCGGCGGTCACTTGGTCGATAGGTTGAGAATGCTGCTTTCTGCGAGCCTGGGAGCACGTTCTAAGGTCGTGGGGGCTATCTCTTACACATCCTCTACTATGGCTACTGGTTCGAGAGCATGCAGGTTTGTTGACCGGCAGCACATGGGAAAGCGTTACTGAGGATTACTGGTTATTTGCGCCCTCCGGCGTTGCTGGTTCTTTAGCACTCCATTGGGAACTACTGTGTTTCTCAGAGTTCCCTCAGAAATACTCGTGCCACAGTATAATGGTCCCGCGGTGTCTGGGCGCGGGGTGCCAAAATTGTTATTCGTGGTGTTCATGACATATCACTCGAGCGAATTTTCCTCAAGGTGAGGTTAACTGACTTTGGTTTCAGCCCATTTACAAACCTTGTGTTCTGTGCCGCATTAGGCCTAGACGCCTTTGCATGGGTTGGGTATCTGGGCACTATAAGTTCGCCTGAAGGTATTCGTGAGTGGATAAAAGGGAAATTGGCGTTCACCCGTACGGCCCCTGTGCTCGACCAGAAAAACATAACGGGATTTCTTCGTGGCTTGCTTGCGACCGTAAGGTCTGGCCCCGGAGCCCAATTTCTCGAGATTTCTATTTTGCCGACGCGGGATACGGGGAATGCAGGAAAGAATGAAATTCGCATTCCATTATTCAAGTATCTAAAACCCTCATGCCCAAGCAACAATATATTATAAACAGGCCTTTGCGACGGGCTAAATGTCGTCATCTGTACGGAGCATCCGCCCTGATAACTGCTGCAAGTTCGGGCTCCCACCTTTTTATCATGTCAGAATTAACGCTCAAGGGGTGCGTGAGAGGGAGGGGGACGAACTTGTCTCCGTTTGAGAGAAGCTTCTCTTTATTGTAGAGTAGTTCCTCTCGCGTCTCGGTAGCGTATTCCGCGTTGGGGGCTAAGTATCATCAGCGTCGCCGCCTCATGGACCGGGAAGGGTTTGAGATATACATTCAACGATAGCATCCACGGGACAGGATTCTAGATGTGTTAGTCGCCGCTACCAGCAGCATTTAGGCGCCCAGGCGAGAGCATACCTTGACAGAACCCACAGTAGATACACTTTGTCATATCAATATCGTATCTGGTAGTCCTCCTACTCCCATCCTCTCGCTCCTCCGCTTCAATCGTGATCGCCAAGGCAGGGCATATAGCCTCGCAAAGTTTACAGGCAATGCAGCGCTCCTCACCAGATGGATATCTCCGCAATGCGTGCTCGCCGCGGAAGCGTGGGGATATAGGTCCCTAAGACAAATTAATTTGACTGCCGTCAACTCCGGCCCTACCCCAAGTAACGCAGATGGCGCGAACGTGCCTTTTCGAATGGATACATGATAGTATACCTATTTCCCTATCAGCCTCTTCCTATTCCCTCCCTTCAGGTTATAAAAGGGGGGGACATACGGAGCTCTGAAGTACTGTTCCAAAACCACATACATCCCCCGCACCATCTCCGTCATGAGGAATATGCGACCAGCTTTGTCAAGTGCGGACTCCCCCTCGTCCCAATTTGGTGTGCGATCGGTACGAAGCCCCGATGGTAGGGGCCCTCTAGGAGTAGCATGTCTCGCGATGTGGGAGGTGGAAAAGTGGTGAGCGGTTGGTATCGAAGTGGAGGGGAGAAGGAGTGTATGCGGTTTTGGTAATGCTAGGAGCGTGCGGGTGGGACGGGTCGAAACAAGTCCCAGGGAGCGGAGTGTTGTCATGCCTGAGAAGCTAGTGAGAGTAGGATTTATGATAGAAGTAGTTGCCTCAAGAGGGGATTGCTGGATTGACGATAATGGCGGGTTAATTTGTATAATATAGCGATGTGGGGGTGAGGAGAGGAATTTGGATGGTGAATGCAAGTTCTGTTTTGGTGGCGGATAGGGAGAGAGCCAGGACGCTTTTCCCCGGAATCAGCCTCTTCTGATTGGTTGGAGGCGCAGAGTGCCCCGCTACCGCATACAGATGAGGTTGAAATTGATCACCGAAAATATTCTTGTGATGTTCTGGGCCGGAGAATAATAAAGGGAAAAAGAAGGTGTTCGACAGTAACATCGCCGGGCATTTCGGTGCAAAATTGTTTTTTCATCCCATTTTCGTATTTTTTTTAAAAATCTATATAAGGTTTTATTTTGACCCCCATAGAACGGGTAGAGACTGTCCCCCTTCCCTCACTCACTGTACTTGTACCGTACGGGGGAAATAATAATATGATAATGATAATTTTGAAGTTTGGTTTTGTTTTGCCGTTGCAACGGAACTTGCAGGCATCGTGAAAATCGTCACCAACCCTCTTCCACTTGCACTCCGTCCCTTAAATTTAGACTATCTCTCCTCCGTCCATCTTTTCACCCCACTCCAATCAATCGCCCCTCCAACAGTCCACACCTGAAGACACTTACCTTATCACAATGTTCAGATCAGCCGCCGTTCGTGCCTGTAGGGCATTGTCCACTGTCGCCGTCACCACTCGTGTTTCCGCTCCCGTACTGCTCGCTCGGCCAATTCTGGGGCCGCAGTTTGTTCGTCCGTCTGCAGTTGCCGGGGTCGTCGTCGGTGTGCGACACTACTCTGCCCCCGCCACTTTGTCGAAGACCGAGGTTGAGTCCAGAATTGTAGACCTGTTGAAGGATTTTGATAAGGTTTTCTTTGTTTCTACCTTTGAGTGTGCAATTCATTACTGATTGCCGGCTATCATAGGTCACCGATAGGACCAAGGTATATCTTGCTTTGTGGAATGGGAGAGACTAGACCTTCAATTGACATGCGAAATAGGTCACTGGCACTTCGCACTTTGCCAAAGATTTGGGATTAGACAGTCTCGATACCGTCGAGGTCGTGATGGCTATCGAGGAGGTTTGTCCTAACGTCTCTACCCTTGGATAGTAGCTGATAATATCGCAGGAATTCAGTATTGAGATTCCCGATAAGGATGCGGATGCAATCCTGAGCGGTAGGTAGATCCGTGGTTTAAGAACAAGAACTTAAAGGTACTGACTTGGATGAACAGTTGAACAAGCTGTGAACTACATCCTTGCTCAGCCCGACGGTTCGTGGACCCATTCTCGTCTACCGGTACCCTGAGTCATCGCTAACAGTAATGCTTATAGCTCACTAAGTTACATTCATTGGTCTGTTTTGGCGGTAAAAAAGAAAAAAAGCTAGTCTCGTCGGCTCTTTTATATTCCATCTTCTCTGTATATGTCTCGTCGCGTGGGATAGTGGGTGTTGTTGGATGATTAGAGGAACTAGGATTTCCAGCATTCAATTAAGAAAAACTCCCCTTGTTCAGGTGCGATCTACTGGCCATCAGCCATTGCGAACCCGGATGGGTGTTGCCACCGCGGAATCTCTCGACCTCTCCCCCGCCATTGCCCCTCTGGATTACGGGTTGAGTTCGATCTAGTGCCCCTCCAATGAGATGAATTGTCTTGGGACGCCGGTTACTGTATCACACGATCGTGCAGTGGCTCTGATCATGAGCAGTGATGGTAGCTGCAACTGGCTCGACTCCAACCCTGATTTATGAATCCAGTGGTTCTCAACCTGGTGGGGGAAAACTTGTGTTGATCTGTGAATGTCGGATTGGAATAATTAATCCATAGAAGTCATGTTATGTTTATTGAAAGGCTGACTAAAGTCTGCCTGATTCACAGCCACACAGCATTTGGTCCAAAAGAAGCAAATTGAATGGAGACCGTGGGAATTGAGATAGGGAAGGGGAGGAGGTTGCTGACGGTCGTGGTACAGTACCGTATAAGAAGGGAGGGATAGAATGTTCGCCCGCGAGTGACTTGTAGCCTGATCAACTTGTTCTATGCCGTCCAAGACAGAACAAGGTTCCCAATTTTTTCCCTTGAGGTGGAGCCCATAATTTTAGGTTTATTCATTGTCGGGATGGATTACCCGCGCACCAGGAGGGAAAGAAGAAAAAAATAACCCTTGCCTTGTGGAAGCCCGCTAAACCTTACCTGTGCTCAACCACCGGCATCGGTATTCACGTCGATACTTTCTTCCTCCGCTTGTGGCCACTCCATACTGCCGATTGAACTCACAACCTCCTTTCCCATAACTGTCCAACAGACCCCTCCTCTCTCACCTACCACAGCTGTAGTTACACCCCCAATCCTACAAGCACTTGACCCAGCCAACCAGCATCCTGTCATACCACCGATAATCCCTTCCGCTGCTCCCATAGAGCTCGCAACCTCCCAAACCATATCGCCGTCGTCGTCGCGTACCACTTCGACCCGTCATCACTCGACAAACCGCCGCCGCAAACCTTCAGCAGCCGTAAGGTGCCCCGCAACACGGGTACAGCCGAGTTAATCCATCGAAAATCCATCATACAATCCATTTATCATGGCATCGACTGGTGGATTGACACGGAGGAGGGGTGGTGGTGGAGGCGGAGGCTCGGCTGGGGACGAAGTTGATCGCAGCGGTTCACCATCTACCTCTAGACCGACGGAACCCCGAAGCGGAGGGGGGGAGGCATCATTCACGAGTGAGAATGGGCATAAGATTGGTGAGCTTTGTTTGTTGTTTATTTATCTTTGTCCTTAAGAGGAGAGGCTTGGGGTTGAACTGACGAGGTCTTTGTGGGAGCCAGCTTTTGATCCCAAAGATATCAGTGAGAATCAGGAGAGGAACAAGCAGCCAAGGCTTACTCTAATGGAGGAAATTTTGCTTCTCGGGTTGAAGGATAAGCAGGTACGCTTTATCACCTCTTTGTGACGCCTTGGGTTTAGATCTTCCCTTTCTTTCCAGGTTTCTAACTTGTGGGGTTCACGCAGGGATACTTGTCCTTCTGGAACGACAATATATCTTATGCACTCCGTGGTTGCATCGTTTTGGAGCTTGCCTTTAGGGGCCGTGTTAGCATGCAGAAGGATTCTAACAGAAGGAGATTCCCGTTATCGGACAGGATAATCGAGGTTATTGATGATACTCTTACAGGAGAGGTGTTGCTCGACGAGGCTCTGAAAATGATGAAAGCGAGCGAAAAGATGAGCGTGAGCTCTTGGATTGATCTTATGAGTGGTGGGATTTCCGATTCCATGACTGCAGGTTTCCTGGAGCAGTCGAGCTAATGTGTTTGGGTGGTAGGCGAGACCTGGAACCTGATGAAGATAGGATACCAGTTAAAGCAGGTCCGTGAGCGCCTGGCCAAGGGTCTAGTGGATAAGGGGATCCTGCGCACGGAGAAGCGTAACTTCCTACTTTTTGATATGGCTACCCATCCAGTTGCAGATGGCGGGGCGAAGGATGAGATCAGACGCCGTGTCCGAAATGTTCTTACTTCTCGCACAGTTGTGTTACCCGGGAATCCGTTCTTGCCAGAAGACTTGGAGTTCCGTTATCTACGGACAGTGGCTATGGTCTGTGCTGCATACGCAGCAAACGTACTGGAGAACGCTTTGGCTACTCTTGGTCATGAGGCTAGGGAGAGGGCCTTCGCTCATGTAGATGAGCTGTTGGCCGAGTTTTCACAATGGCCGTTCGCCAAGAGAAACACCGCCGGTGGGGTTGGACTAAACCTGGGGACTGTTACTACGGAGGAATTGAATAAAAATAAAGATCGGGAGCTCCAGATAGAGGTATGATCATTCGGTAATGGTTGATTTGGTTTGATTTTTCTGACTTTTTTCTAGGTCGTCGCTGCTGTACTGAGCGTCTTTACAAGACTCGATTCACTACTTTGATGCAAAGTCTTCTAGATCCATTCACCGATATCTCCTCTTGAATTCTAGTGTGATGGGCTATCTTGGCTATTTTTGCGGTCTTGATTTCCGTCGCATATTGCTTCTCCCTGCCTATTGAGCCGATGGGTATAGAAATGGGGGGCTCAAAATCTCTAGTGAGGTGTTCGTCCTCCGTATTTTACGAAAAATGGAAAATGGAGGTTTATTGCTTTCCCTGTCCGCTGTTTTCGCTCTTATTCTAGCTGCCGGTGCACGTCACTGTTCCTCCTATCTATTGTTTTTCTCTTCGTACTCGGCTTTTCTTTGCGATTGCTTGGATGGAACTTTGCATTTCACCCTTCTCCTCTCGGTCCCCTAAATGTGTAGTAAGTCTCATATACATACACCTAATGCTAAGAGCGAAAACGAATAGGTAAGGCACCAACGATCTGTCATCTAGAAGAGGGGCCAGGGCGGTGAAGAGGAAATTGTAGTCAATCACGACCCACTGCTCGCTCTCTGTCTCTGAGGCGTAGTTCTCTCGCTCTTGCCAAATATGGGGGTCTCGGCTCTTGATCGTGACTCTTGCATCCACCGCTTCTCCCGCTCCTGCACTAGCTGCTTGAAATACTGCTCCACCTTTTTCGTGTATGAGTACACTTCTGGTGTAAACCCCTGCCGGTTCGGTTTGTCAAAGGTGGCCCCACGCTCAAATAGCGTCCAGACGACATTAAAATGGCCATATGCCGAAGCGTACTGCTCCAAATTAGCTCGCTTCTTTGAAGCCTGCCCCTCCCCTACTCCCGGGTATGGGGGAACCTACGTGCAAAGCTGTATTCCCCAACCCATCAACAGCATCAACATCCGAGCCTCCGTCAAGCAAAATCCCAACAACTCCGTCCCTCCCGGCCCTGGCGGCGAGTATCAAAGCCGTAGCGCCAGCTTTATTTCTATAATCCAGTCTACCAAACCTCTCTGCGAGCATGCTAACAACTTCCTCGTGCCCGCCCTCCGCCGCCAGCATCAGCGGGGTATCCCCATTCGCGTTCCGCGATATCCCGCTGTCTTCATGGGACGTGCAGGTTATGAGGTAATCGACGATGGGCAAGTGGCCGGATTGTGCTGCTAGGTGTAGAGAGGAGTTTGCCAAGGCATCCGGATTCGGGAGGTATTTTGGATGGTTTTTCAGGAGTCGGGTTAATTGTAGGAGGTCGTTGTGAAGGATTGAACGGCGGAGGCGGATGGAAACGTCTAGCCTGGGCGGGGGAAGGAAGTAGTCAGCTTGGTTAGCGTGTTCGAGTAAAGGGGAGTTAATGACGGGTGGTACATTATTGTTTATCTGTTTATCTGTTTATTTATTTATTTGTTCATTCATTCGTTCATTCACCTACTATTCCGGGGTTTATCTTTTGCCGTCAGCGGTTGGGATAACGGTGCGAACAGGAGATGAGATAATTGAGGTGAAGGTAGTGCAGGCTGGAGGAGGATTGATTGATGGAGGTTGAATCGCTCAGCGGTAGGACACGGCAGTTTGGTGAGGGATAGAGGTGTTGGTTGACAGGATACCTCGGAAGGTGGGTTTTTTTTGGGGGGTGGTGAGGGGGGGGGGGAACTGCAGCCAAGCGTTGAGCCGCATGGAAGCAGGGGCGGGCAAGGGCGCACACAACGCCCGTTGACAGCGATGTTGGTTTCACGTGGGAACCGTCAAGCCAACAGCCTCACGGGACCATATCTACCCACAGCGCCTGTACGGGTATCCTACCAGTAATATCTTTTCAAATTGGATGATGACTAATACCTGCGGCGGTAAACGCCTCACATCGTCAACCAGGACAACCCGTTCCCAACTCCAATCCCTGTTGATATCATAACACCGTTACATCTTCGAGTGACATCCGGTGATCCATTCCCCATAAACCAATCATCCGCCCCGGACCTAACCTGCGCCCACCATTCGCTCTACCGGACCAATGCGACCAAAACGTCCAAATCATCACTCCCACTGTACCCGTAACCCGACCAGCGAGCCGACACCAATCCCATTCGCCTTGAACACGCCATGTAGATCCCAGCCGAAACATCATGTTAGTGCATCCTCTATCTTCCCCAGGTTTGGGAGGGTGTACCTGCATAAATTGGTGTTTCACAAGAGAACATGCTCTTTCGGGAAGATATAACAAAGGAGCACAGGGGGAGAAGGAAGTAACGTGGCGGGCTGGGTGGGGGCATCTTCCAAAAAGGGGGCCTTTTTGGCGGCGGGTGTGGAGGTGTGTTCATGGTGGGTTGGTTGGACGATGGAGAGATGTGATGGAATTGGGGGAAGTGCACTGTAAGGGGTAAGACGGGAGATGTTTGCAATGTTTAGTTAGGAGGAGGAGGTGGAGGAGGAGGAGGAGGAATTGAGTAGGAGGATGAAGGAGAACATGGGAGAAGGGGCGCGCGGTTGACGGTCATGAGTCAACTCGAGCCGAACAACACATGGTGAGGGAATATGGAAGGGACTGGTACAGTATATGGATCAGGTCATCCGCATGGAGCGTAAAAGTCTATCTACTTACCCTGGCTTTCCCTTATCAAGATCAGTTGAGATAATAATATAGCGCGAGCGCGGGAGAGAGTTGAGCGCGGGCAGGAGAGAAAGAGGGAAGTTACGAGAGATAGTTTCCATCTTCCTCGATTGCTACAATGAATCCGAATTCGAATCCACTTCCGAACGGCAGGTCCATTCCGAACCCGGCAGGCTACCAGGTATCAGAGAGCGAATATAGCGAGCGCGACCACCACCCCCTCCCCGCGCCCCCACCCCGGCATTTCCGAGAATGGGATCGAAGAGCGCACATTGCGTCGAGTCATTACTCAGTAACCTCCGGCTTCACAAAGGTCTCCCTGGACAATTCCTGCTGGGAAGACATGACCCCGGAGGACCTGAAGGAACTGGAGAAACGAACAACGGCCTCGGCCGCCGCGGTATCGGCGAACGGAAATACAAGACGGTGGTCGCTCAATTCCATGTCTAGAATGTTCACCAGGACTCCCAGGATGGAGTCCACGGTCAACGTCAATATAACTAGGGCTCTCACACCGGGGACGTTGGCCGAGTGCGTGGATAGTTCTGGTATGGCATTGTACGAGGCTGTTTTCTCTATCGGCGGAATGACTTGCGCTTCTTGCTCGAATCGGATCACGGAGGCCGTCGAGAGCCTGAAGTGGGTGCAGAGTGTGCGGGTGGATCTACTGAGTAATAGTGCGACGGCGGTGTTCGACGGGATGGGATGCGGCGGACCAGAAGTCGGCGCCGAGGCGATACTGCAACAGGTGGAAGATACTGGATTCGACTGTACACTCGAAGAGCTCGACGTGGCGGGATCTCGGAAGCGGAGATCGGAGCGCGGAACTGTCGGCGCCGAGCGAACGGTTTCATTGAAAGTGGACGGAATGTCATGCACTGGTTGCGCAGAAAAGGTCGCTGAAGTCATTGGATTCTCATTCCCCGATTATGTGTTGGATATCGAGTCACCGCCCATCACTCTCACATCCCCGGTCGTACATGTTCGATATAAACCACAACCACCAGAGTTTACTGTGCGACACATCGCATCAGTTATTTCCTCCATTTCTCCAGACTTTGTTGTATCCGTCTACCACCCACCCACCATCGAAGACCGCTCGCGTCATCTCCAGCAGCTGGAGCAATGGCGACTTCTCCTGCGATTACTCTTCTGTTTGGCAATCGCGATACCAACATTCCTGATCGGGATCGTCTGGATGACGTTCGTGCCTGAAGGCGATCCGGTGCGAAAATCCCTTAGCAAACCGATATGGTCGGGCCGTTCTACCAGGATGGAATGGGCGCTTTTCTTCCTAGCCACTCCCGTCATGTTCTTCATCGCCGACGTATTTCACAAAAGAGCAATTAGGGATATCAGAGCACTCTGGAGAAAAGGAAGCCCCACACCGGTATTGCGTAGATTCTACAGGTTTGGGAGTATGAACTTGTTAATCTCCCTCGGGGTTTCGATATCATATTTCGCCAGCTTGGTGTTATTGGGGATTAATTCTGCTAGCAAGCCTGTTGCACAGCCCGAGTCCGGGTTGCAAAAGAGGAGGATGAAAACCTATACATATTTCGATTCTACGGTGTTTTTAACAATGTTTTTGTTGATAGGTAAATATTTTAACCAACCCTATTGCTCCCGGAGTAGTAACTGATGACGATAACTACAGGCCGCTTCCTAGAAGCCTACAGTAAGCGCAAGACCGCCGAGGCGGTCAATATTCTTGGGAAACTCCTCCCGGCGGAAGCTCTTCTAGTGGTCCACACTAGTCAAACCTCCAGAGGCGTCGACGTCTCGACCTTCAAAGCCGGAAAGACCCTCGAGCCTGTCGAGGAGAACGATGTCAGCAACCACACTTACGAAGATAACCGCCTCTGGAGAATCAAGGCGGTGCCAACGGACCAGCTTGAAGTCGGCGACATAGTAAGCGTGGTTCGCGGCTCCTCGCCACCCGCCGATGGCACAATAATTTCCGGAGTCTCGCAATTCGACGAGAGGTCACTGACGGGTGAGACCAGGCTGGTGCCGAAGATTGAAGGGGACATGCTCCTAGCCGGGACCGTGAACCAAGGCCAAGCAGTCAACATGCGGGTAGAGAGCATCGGTAGCGACACGATGCTATCGCAAATTGTCAATGTGCTGCGCGAGGGACAAACCCGGCGTGCGCCGATAGAGCGACTGGCAGACGTGATCACTGGCTACTTCGTTCCGGTAGTTACGCTTTTGGCTTTCCTCACTTGGATCATATGGCTCTCGCTCGGCGCTACGGGAAAGTTGCCGGAAGAGTACCTAGACATCCGGTACGGAGGATGGTCCGCTTGGTCTCTCAGCTTTGCCATTGCGGTATTCGTGATCGCCTGCCCATGCGGTATAGGTCTTGCGGCGCCGACGGCGCTATACGTGGGCTCAGGACTCGCGGCCAAGTTCGGCATCCTAGCGAAAGGTGGCGGAGAAGCTTTCCAGGAGGCAGCATGGCTGGACTGCATTGTATTTAGTAAAACCGGCACACTCACGCAAGGCAATGACCCAAAAGTGACGGACGAGCTAATGCTCGTGGGCGCCGGCGAGGACAGAAGAATGGCTTATGCAGTTGCCCAGGAACTCGAAGAGAGCGCTTCACACCCACTTTCAAGGGCTATTATTGCTCACTGCAAGGGGAAGGACAAAGTCCCTATCACAATGTGGGACGTCGAAGACGTTCCCGGCCGAGGCCTTAGCGGAGTTTTCAAGATCGCGAACAATAAGACGGATGTGTTCGAGGCGGTCCTCGGGAGCGAGCGGTTTATGGAGGAGAACGGAGTTCTAGACATGGCATATCACGATCAGGTACTTTCTTCTTGGAAGTCCTGCGGGAAAAGTGTTATGCTTCTCGCTATTAGAAAACAGGCAGTTAGTGACAAGGCCTATGATAGCCGCTTCAGACTTGTTGCACTGTTTGCCGCGGCGGACATAATTCGCTCGGAGGCGCCGGAGGTGGTTAGAAAGTTACAGGAGTCCGGGATAGGCGTGTGGATGATTTCTGGGGATAATACCACCACGGCGATATCCATTGCTTCGATGGTCGGGATTCCGAGGGAACACGTTATTTCGGGGGTTCACCCGGCGGAAAAGGTATCCCCACACTCCTCCACACTTTTCTGGTCTGTACTAACGTGGATATCTAGGCCGAGAAAATAACCTGGCTGCAAGCCACTGCTCCCCGCCGCACTCGCCCACCACTCTTCCCCTCCCTTCCTGGAGTCTCCTTCCTCCGCTACCTCCCTCGCCTTCCGCCGATCCCGTTTTTCCAGCCTTCATCCTCTTCAGTTCGCGCATCTCCCACGGCCACCAAATCGCGGGCGACTATTGCCCTCGTCGGCGACGGCATAAACGATGCTCCAGCACTCTCAATCTCGTCCGTTGGAATATCGATGAATAGTGCGACAGACGTGAACATTACGTCCGCCAAGTTCATCCTCGTGTCCTCGAATTTGAATAGTCTGATCACGCTCACACAGCTGGCGAACTTTGTCTTTCGCAGGGTTAAGGTGAATTTTATGTGGGCTTGCGTGTATAATGTTCTTGCAGTGCCAGTGGCGGCGGGAGCATTGTATGCCGGCGCGGGGATAAGGGTGGGGCCGGTATGGGCCGCGGGGGCTATGGCATTTAGGTATGTTGTTTCCCTTTTTTCTTCACTTGGCGATGCAGTGAGCAGTGATGGCTAACTCTGGTATCTCAGTTCTTTGAGTGTGGTGTGCAGTTCGCTGCTGATGAAGACAGAGTGGTGGGGTGTCGGATTTCGGAAGAAGTAGGTGCTGTTGTAGATATTACGTGTTTCGAGTGGGGAGGATGTATTAGCGGCGGTAATGTCTGTCCATTGCACGACTTATGACTTATGACTATGATTATGGTGGTGGGTTTGATATGGATTTTGTAAGCGTACAGCACAAGGAGGATCTGGATTCAGGGCGTGTACAGTTGGAATGGTCGCTTGTGATTGGGGTAGTAGGTGTTTGTTTATTATATACTTAGAGTCTAAATTTCTTGCCGAATATTTGCTGGAGGGGTGGGAATGAGCTGACCGTCAATGAGCGGAAATGATACGAGGGGAATGCAAAGGAGGAAGCCGAGGGTCCGAGAGAGCCTAAAGCCAAGTGATTTGAACGTCGCTCGTAGACACATTCGGGGGGTCCACTGGAGCTACTGAAGTTCCCAATGGATGACCAACGCCTCCGAAACCTTGGTGGGTTTACTCTTGACTTGAGACGAGTGACATTCTATGATTAAAAAAGACCTCAAAGTCATGTTGAATCCGGGGCACATTACCCACTGACACAGCCCAAGACAAACCAGGTCTATATTAGAGAGGAATGAAGCGAGAAGGAGGCAGTTAAATCCCGGTGCCTTCGGTGGGCCCTTCTCTTTTATAAGGAAAGTATGTTGGCGAAAGGGAACCTTAAGAAATAGGGGAGAGAATGAGAAAATGGGGCAGAACAGAAGACCGAAAGTTCTGGTGTGGGTGGGAGAGATGAGGGAAAGAAAAGAGGAAGGAACAGAAGGCGGTTGCGATAGGGTCGCACTTCAAAGCACTATCTTGTCTTCGAATATCCCTTGAATTCTGATTGGGGTCCCTGAGGCATGGTGAAATTGCAAATTCACACTTTATTGTGCTTTACATCACAGAGATTAGTTGATCTGGTGTTTGGCCCTTGCGCGCCGTTGCCCAAGAGACCTTTTCGCTCAATGGGAGGTTTGGGTGTTTGTTGATGTTATGAGGTTATAGGCATCGAGCGCTCTCAGGGCTGCTGTATCATGCTGATTGTAAATTGTATCGGAGCAGCCGGAACGGGTGAGTTCTTGTGCGGCACTAGTCTCCCCGGACATAACCTGATACTGAATTTCTCACCCTCTAAACATCATAGCTCGGAGGGTCTGAGTACGTAGACCACAGGTAATGTTCTGCATATCATAGCTGATCAAATAGTTGATTTTAAACCCGCACTGCCCTGATTGGGAGTCGCATAATGAGCTCCGCCAGGGGAAAGTTCGGGCCTGAGTTATTGAGAAAACGTCGTGAACCCATTAGAAGGACTATAGCCATGCGAGCCATCATACAGGGTGCTGCCTCCGGTTATAGGCGAGGAGTTTATCATTCTTCCACCCATAATAATTACTACCTGTCCCCGTTCCCCTCCAGTTGCAGATCCACTCCCTATCTCCGCTATCCCTAGCCTTGAGTGCACCCTTAGCAGACCCACTATTGCAACTACTGCTCTCCACCCTGGCCGGTGATTCAGTCGTGGATGGGAGTTTCCATAGATCGGCCTTAGAGTTTATTACGACAGAAAAAGCCCCTGTCAAGTTTGGAGGTGGAACAAAGCTGTTGCTAGAAAAAACCGGGTAAGGCAAGGTATAGTAGTCGCATTTCAGGACACGCTCTACGCCGCTATGGGTTGAAGCTGTACCACTGCGTTTCCGGCTGTAATCAATAGTTGAAGGTAGGCAACTTCCCGTCTCCCGAGTTAGGTTTCTGGGTGGAGCACAGCTAGGTGCGATACTTCAATGGGCCTCAGGCAGGTAATTTAGAAAGTTACTTTTAGTGAGGGTAGAAATTTGGAATATGTACCAACTCTCAGCCTTTGACATCGTTGTTAGAGCTCAAATTATCGAGTTTGGGTTCTTGCCGCTGCCCACCTTTGGACCCACTCAGCCTGTGTAGATTATGGGAGATACTGCTTGGCTTGGTGAGACCTCTTATACTTCCCTTTTTCCCATCCAAATTACCAAATGTCTTATCAGGTTTTGGGCCAGGCTGGCCCGTAAAGCCTCCTTTTGTTTTTTTTTGCGGTGTGGGTTACCGGACGGTACCGAGTTTGGAGACGACGTCGACCCACCCCCGATGCTAGTAGGACCCTAATAGGGGAGCGGACCCAGTAGCGGAGTAGAAAGTACGGTTGCTGACATACCAAGTGAGTTCCCAGTCTTGGGTTGGAGTGGGTGGGGGGGGGGAGGGAAGATTTTTAAAGAGTCAATGACGAAATAAAAGGAAAATCAAATTATGTTCGCGTACTGAATGCAATACCGAGAGCTTCTGGGTTAGTCTGGGCAACCAAATATATATATGGTGGAAGCTGCCCGAATTAGATATTTTACTATGATATGCTCTAGGCGTTCCCGGAAAGTAGCTCAGGCTCACTGAACTCCCCCGTGCATCAGCCCCCCATTTTTCCTATAGTGTACGAGTAATTGTCAGCCTTTCTTACATATTCTCCCGGAATTACATGTCAGCAAGTTCTAGCACTTAGGGTTGCGTAGGCTAATGCGGTTTCGACTCTGCGGTTGAGAGAGCTGCGCAGGGAGTGAGGAGGGAGCTGTGGCAAGAGGGCCATACATTAGTGCTACAGCCCTTTTGAGCCCTTTTTGGATTTTCCTTTAGTGCATATAGACCAGAGGTTGGTGTTGTGTGCTTTTTTGTGTATACGGGCACCAACCCCATCCGCCCTGATGGTATTGTGGAGATGGAGGATGGTGATGTTGAGGGCTTGTGGACCTAAGGGTCAGAGGAGATTGTGTTCTCACATTGTTTTTGCATCTCTATTTAGACAGCTCACTCGTATGATACCTGTGAGAAAAAACGAAGTTCCATCCATCTCACCACCACATCCGTTCAATAGTTCGGGCCATACAACCCCCCGTGAATAATCACCACGCAGCATATCATAATATCATATGCGTATCAATCCGCACAACCCTATCCTAACTAGAGTCCGGAGCCAGGAAAAAAACTTAAAATTGGGTTTCGTGAAGAAAAGGTGATTGGCCTCCCGCGCCCTCGTCCGCCTCTTAACACTCCTTAACTAGGCATCTGGTGGCTGTGCATTAGTCTCATCAGGAACTATTTTCACGCCCTTTGAGGAGGTCCAGGATATGTAAGATTGGGGACGTGCCCAAAGGGGAAGATAACGATTCGGCCTCTCGTACTTGTGCGCAAATAAGGGATGGTCCAATGGGCCCCGCGTTTTAGCGCGTCCTTTTCGCTGACCAGCATCATAGCTCAACTTGCGCGCAATTGCTTGGAATCGGGGCAAGAGAATTCAATATGAGCACTACAGCTTACTCTTGGGCCCTCGGAAGTACAATAGCTAACATTAGAGAGCATTGAGGATCATAGGCTAATCCCAGGTGGAGCTTAGGGATGTATTTCCAGGGCTCAAGTATCACTAACTGTCAAACATGCCCAAGATTGGGAGGTTGAGCGAACGAGATGTTTTTCGTTTCTTGTTTTTTTACTTGATAAAGGCAATGCATTGAAAACCAAAAGAATGAATATGGAGATAATGAATATCACCAACAGAATCACTAGCACCTCTCCCAAGAAGAGCGAAAACGACTAACAGCAAGCAGCATCCCTCAGAAATAACCCATGAAGTTGGTGCAAACTCCGCTCGACCAACCGGTCCTTACTTTGACTGAAGGCTCAAGGCATCCGTCAAGAGCTTGGCCAACTATTCACAGCCACTGTTAGCACCACAACTCCGCACGAAGACAGCAGCGTCTGGAAGAGCTTACTTCACCCGTGTACCTCCCACCATCATCCCCATATCGCACCATCCTAGCACTCAAATCGTCCTTACAGCAAATGAGCGTATCCTGAATACTCACGTTCTGCTCTAACTGCCCCAAGAACGTGTCCGCAGCAGGGTCAGTGCCAACCCGGCAGATGATGATCGACACGGCGGGGCCCGTGTAGTGGTTTTCTCGGAGGCTGGCCTTAAAGACTTCGATATTATTGGCCAGAGTTGTCGCTTCTTCGGGGGCAGCCTATTATCAGACGTTCTTAAGCGGGTTGCATCATTTGGGTGAAAAATTATGAAGGTTTAGAATACTTACCCCTCCGTCAGTGATCACAACGATAATGGTAGGGCTCTCGAGCTGGCGGTTTTGAGCTTTATATGCCAACGGCTTGAGAATTTTTTCCATGAGGGGAGTGGGGACACTTAATCCAGTGTTGAACTGGATTTCGTCAAGTTTCTGACTGAGGGTCTCTCTGGAAGTAATGTTGTCCAATCCAGTGAGGTTCGGGTTATCGAAGCAACGGAGGGTCAAACTGCCTTCGGAATTGACTGCTGTGGCAATCTCATGAAAGCGCAAGACTGCGTCTTTAAGCCCTTGGATGCGTTTCTCACTCGCCATTGAGCCGCTGTCGTCTAGACATACATTTCAGCCATTACTATCGGTGGAGAAGTTGGAAACCCGGACTCACCACAAAGAACAACAAGATCATACAACCCTATCTGGGCAAACTTCGGCACAAGCTCCTGCTCAATTCGATACTTTTCCACGAGCTCATCACCCTTCTCCATGGCCTCCTGAATCACTCTATTAACTCGCTCGTCCCCAGCCTTATAAAAGGCCCCGAGACTCTCCTGGACGAAGTTGGACAGATCGTTCTTCACCTCCGTATCCGGCTGGATGCCGAGCTTCGTCTGGATTTTGGAGAGGAGCTCTGATGCTAGGCTTGCAGCAGATTCGTCGGCAACTTCTTGGATGACTTGGCTGATTAAGTGTCGGCTGTAGGTTGAGAAGGGTTCAGCAGAGAGAGTTGCCTCGAGTGCTGCGCCTGCTTCCGAGGCCTTTGGGCCGCTGAGATATGCAGAGATGAAAGCTCCGAATTGGGCCATTGGTGCCATTGGTGTTCTGGAAGCTGAGGTCGTGAGGGTGCCGATGTTCACTGTTATCGGGACCGTGAGGTTAGGGTAGCCATATTCGCGGAGGCTGAGATCCATATTTTTAAAGAGGTTTGAAATGATTTGAAAGGATAGTGCAAGAAGTTTTAGTTTAGCTGGATAGGAATCAATTGTTAGGCCTTGCGACTGCTGTCTATTTGGTTCCGACGGGGAAGGGGGAGGGTATTTGTACTAGACCGATTGGTATCACAGAATAATCCCTTCTACCCATGGACCGGCCATCAGGTTGAAAGCCATTGAAGAACCGCCATGATCGTGAAGGCGAATCACCAAATATCGCACTAACGAGTAATGCCTAATCCCGTAACTACCTAAATGGGATAAATAAATAAATTTAGTAGCGCCATCTAATGACTAGGGTGCTACGACTCAAACCCAGGAAGCACAAACTGATGAAGGCCTCCAATCATCATGGGGTATCATAAATCCCCATACCTTCCTACCTGGTAACCAAAGCCAATTCCCACAACTCATGATACCAAAAACCCCTCTGTTGCCATCGGCGCCCCGGACACACAGAGCGGACTAAATCAACCCGCAAATGTGCACTTCCTCTTATAACATGTGAACACGCGCAGCGGACTAAATTGCCTCTTAATCTCACTTCTCACCATAACCTTAAAAGTTCCCCCAGGCTGCCGGATTTCTTTTCTTTTCTTTTTTCTTTCTCGCCCAACGTCAAGAACCAAGGCTGGATGGTCTTCTAGTTTTCAGCTGAGCTATGGGGTGCAGGAACTCGAGAGCCAATTGCCTTGCAGGGGTTTGCTGGGGTTCTGGGTTTCGGCAGTGGGTAACAAACTAGTCTCCGAATCTAGTGCACCGCCGGAAGCGAATGGCAGGACTGGCAGAAACAAGTTCGGCGGCGGGCTGTCCGGCAAGAGGGCACACCAGTGCACGCTGTGCGGGGTGATTTGTCAACGAGGATCACGGAGCCAGGCCCGCAGAAACACAGAAGCACAACCTGGACCGCTTCCTACCCCAGATATCTAGCTCACGAACCACAGGGCAAGTTATCACACCAGCTCGAGGACACATGTCGCCTAAACGCGCAACCATTTAAACGGCATGTTTACTGCAATGCGATTTCCGACGGATGATTCCTCGTGTTTGATGATCCGGAATGGTCAGGGATACGGTATTCCGACACTTTTAGAACCTAATCCAGGCGTAACATAACTCTGATGCCGGCAAAGTGCCGATCAAGGAAAACCCGCGCAAGCCAATACCGATGGGGAACAAGTCGCTGGGCTGTACAATACTACCGAGATGAGACACTACAGTCTCCCTGAGCAGCGAACAACACTAGTGGAGTCGAGGCGAGGAAAATACAGATACCATGCAATCCACATTCCAAGCAAACAACCCGCTGCAGGCATTTCCCCCCACTACGACTTCAATCAACCACTGCCCATCCTCCAGATTGTGCTCGTACAAAACTAGCTGACAACCCGCAAGCCGAGTCGAACAAAACCTCCTCAAACCCCCACAGACAACAATTAGATAGCGTAATGGTCACCTAAAGGCTCTGTGCTTGTAGAGGCAAGTCACATCTGAGGAAACACGATGCGAAGAGTGGGTCCCGGAATAGCAAACATGCGCAGTGCGCATGCCATGATTTCCTATTTTTGCACAGAGAAAGGCAGGAGCGGCATATCAGGCGCTGCGGAATTCCTGTCAAGAGGGACGCACACCTAGACGTCAGAAATCGGCTCACTATTGCGCTATTTCCGCCCGGGTTTGCCATTGGGAGATCGAGCGGTGTGGAGAAGCGAGGATGGCATTTCGTGTACGAGTGATAGTTTGTGAATAAATCTTCGCGGCAAGAGTCGGAGTCATTGCTTAACACGAACCGGACAGAGTGGAAAGCAGAATTGAGACCAAGCATACGAGGGCTACCAGGGTATGTGTTACGAGCTAAACTCGAGTTCCCGGTGTTCCGGAGTCATCGCTCCTTGAACTGGTCTGGCTCCACACTGCCTTAGTCCCACAGCCCCAACTTTCCCTATTACAGTCCACCGCTATTATTTTTCCTCTTTCTACTTGGAGGCGATAGATTCTCGCTCTCTCCGGGCTCTTTTGATAGCTCAGCTTGTCTGGGAACGATGGATAAATCATGTGCTTTGTGCTTGTACAGCAAAACGAAAGCCCCGATTTGATCGATCAAATCGCCTCAACGCACGCGCACGAAAGGCATTGCTACCCCACTATCCTGGCCCAACTCACGCTTAGGTGTGGGGCAAGCGTTCCGCCAAAGGCCCGAGAAGTTAGAGTCTATATAGCTCGAAGCGAAGATGTCATACACTTGGGCCAGCTCACCCCGTATGAATGGCCGAATCATGGAACTAGGGCGGGTCCCCAAACCAGCTCGTCTCATCGAACATCGGGCAGTATCATACATGAAAGGAAACAGAGATTCGACAAACACGTTGGTAGTCCCCGGTTTTCCGCAGATAACAGACAAACAATCGCCTTCACTGAAACTAGATCGAACAGAATCCCAATTTCTTTTTTCCAATCTTTCTTTCCCAAAGTGCTGCGACGAATTGCCGTATCCCGATATGTACGATTTTAGCAACAAATAAATGTTCCCCCCCCCAGACCTTCCACACAAAGCAGCAATCCTGAACATGTACCCTCCTGCGTATTAAAGGTGGGAAAACTCTGCAATGCCCCCTTCCCCCCTGATGGGGCTCAACCCAAAGATTCGCAGCCGAGTGTCGGGCTACAGAAATTGAAAATCGGAGAGTCCAAGTTTAGAGGAGAAGGACGAAATCCACACCAAGGTCACCAGTTTGTGTAGGATTTCGCATGCCAACAGAGTGGGCTAGCGTCACTCCTCTGTATTACTATTTAGGGTACGCAATAAAGATTTGAAATATTCATAATGCTAGAGCACCTCTAAGCTGCCCCTCGTGTTGTCAGAGTTGGGAGAACGGGATTTTCTGCGGTTATTTGTAGCAACTAATTCAATACCGGAATTTTGGATGGAAACCCTGGGGGGGGGGGGGGAGGGGGGTACATTTCCTTTGGTACCAAGCTCGTGCATCAAAACCCAATAACTGTTCTAAAGTGAGGTTCTCACATACCTCTCAAATATATACAAATGAAGCGCTCAAACAAAGTAGGTGTAAACATGCATAAACCCAGCCCAATATCTATAATCAACCATGAACGTATTCCACAGCATCCCGGACGGAGACATCACGCTCCGGAGGCTCGAAGGATCTGTCCCGTATCCTGTCCGCGTATCCCTCCAGCCTACCTAGCAACGCCATATCAACATCCGTTATGATAGACTGCGCTCCCGGGCCCATATCGCCGGACCTCATCTTCCTAACCTCGTCGACGATCGACTGCAGTATTGTCGCCGTCTTCTGGCTACCCTCGATAACATTGACCTCCATCTCGTCCACCAATTCAACAATCTTGGAAACGTCCTTATACGCTTCCCACTTTGACTGGAGCATCTCATTGTAAACCCCAGTTGAGCACCCAACAACGTAAGACTCGGCTCCCAGCCTCTTTACCCGCTCAAAAATCGACATGGCGCCGGCGAGGTCGTTGAAGTTTTGCCGGAAAGTTATCATGCCCTCCACCAACAAGTCCGCGTATGTTGCAGATAGGGCCCTTCGTTCGCCCTCAGCATCCTTACCAGAGACCATGCTGAGAACACGATCGTCTAGCCACCTTAATAGTTCCTTGTCCGTCTGGCACCTCTGCATGTCCTTAACCATCAAGGCAAACAACTTAATCCTCTGTTGCTCCACCTCGATCTCTTGGTGCGTCCGTGGGACAAGCCTCAGCCCTACCGCCCTGGCAGCTGCAGCGCGAACGGTGAGGGGATATTCTTCATTATTGCTCGCTTTCGCAAGTCCAACAGTAGCAGAGGACGGATTGACAGTATCCTTCGGTCCAAAAGAGATCTCGTTACCATCCGTGAGTGGTCCGACGGCTGACTCGAAAAGCTGGGTAAGAGAGTTACTGGGAAGGGAATGCCCGGATCCCCTTAGCTGTGGTACGAAGGAGGACTTTTCCGACAAAATTGATTCGAAAATTTTAGTGAAGATCTCTCTTTCTCTCTCGGTTATCATGCTTGTTTTTTGCAGTTGGTCTCGGAAATAGGGCGGAGCAGCGTAATGCGAGGAGCCAGGTCGAGGCGGAGTGGGAGTCCGGAACAAGAATGCCCATGGGTCATTATCTCCCGGCTCGCGATCATCAGTGAAGGGTAGATCTCTATTCACCTCCTCGAGGTTTGGTCTCTCATAGCTCGCGGCGGATCTCGAAGGGTAAAGGAATGATAGAGGTGTGAGAGGTATCCCGGAAAGGTGAACAAAGGAATTGACAGCCAATGGTGGCCTAGCTTTCAAAACTGAGAGAGCGAAGGGTTTGCATCGGCTCATAGTTATCCGGGGGGGGGGATTGAAGGAGTTTCTGATGGCGATGGACTCTTTCCTTCCTTCTTTTTTTTTTTTCCGCCCTTCCTAATGGGTAGGGTATGATAGGCTGCTAGACATTTAGAACTGAGGCCCAGAAGCTGACTAAACAACAACTTACCCTACTGTGCTGCACTCGTAGTGGGATCCCTATGGACCCTACCGCCATATCCGCACTCTACCACGCGTAAACTGGTTCTGTTCCTACGCGCTTCCTCGCTTCACTGTGCTGTATAGTACCCTATCCAGACAGACAAAGACATACCCTCCTCGCCCAATCATACCAGCACCGCTGCCCATTCCCAATTCACCACAAAAATCTTGCCTCCGAGCACAGGTCTGTCACCCATACACACACAACTCACCGAATAAGTCGTTATGGAAGACTCAACCGAATACGAACGACTCCGTCAAGAAAACATCCTGAAAAACAAAGAGCTACTCCTACAACTTCAACTCGATGCCGCCTCCGTCGGCGCCACTAAAAAAGCCGCGATATCGTCCAGCGGCAGTGCTAGCAAACCGAAGAACCGAAGCGTGAGGAAAGAACTCCAAAGTCCTTTACCCAGAAGGAAGTCTTCTCGCCTTGCTGGTTTGCCAGCAGATTCTGAGGTCACTAAGAGAAAGTACGAGGAGGGTATTGCCGCCCTTCAGGAGGTAGAGAGAGCCAAGAGGGCAAGAGTTGCTGGAGATCTGAGCTTTGAAATCCAACAGGGTTTAGTTGATATTACCAAGAGCGCCAGGTTCGAAAGGACATTTACGGATGAAAATGTCCAGGGGACTACGGATAAGGATTTGAGAGCGATGAGGCAGAAAATGATGGGTTTGGGACTTTACGACCAGCACCCCCCGAATGGTAAGTCAACCAAAGTCTTAACAGACTGCGAATCAGAACGCGGGTTCAAACTAATCTATGCGCTTGATTAGATATTAAAATTTGTCCTGAGCGTATAGTAAGGACCCTCTCCCTTCCCGCTGCCACGGGAATGATAATATCTTACTCTAGCCACCCAGTATCACATGGCTTTCCACCCGACAACCGAGAAGCAACTGATTTTTGCTAGTGACAAGGCAAGACCTCCAGACCCCATGACTACAAAATGAATTCCTCCACTAATTATTTTTGATTCAGATGGGAACCCTCGGTGTATTCGACGCCCAATCTAACAAAGAGGATAAAGACGGGAACCCGACAGCCGACATCAGCCAATATAAAGTGCACTCTCGAACAATATCTACCTTTGCTTTCGACCCTATCTCTGCCACAACCCTTTACACATCTTCCTATGACGGGAGTATACGAAGGTTCGATCTGGCCACTGGCGTGGCTTCCGAGGTTTTCGTTGCAGAAGACGGTGATGCGCTGAGCGGCGTCGAAGTCCATGGTACCAACATGCTCTACTTTTCCACATTAGACGGTCTTTTCGGCCGACGGGACCTAAGGCAGAAGAGGACAGACATATGGGCGCTGCATGAAAAGAAAATTGGAGGCTTTTCCACACACCCACGTGCTCCTCATCTTGTTGCTACCAGTGTAAGTGATGTCCCCCATGCCCCAACTTCACACATGCCAACCTTAAACGACAGTCCCTGGACCGCACCCTAAAAATCTGGGACCTTCGAAAAGTCGTCAAAACCTCCGAATACCGAACTCTTGCATTAGTAGCCGAACATCCCAGTAGGCTAAGCGTCAGCTGTGCCCTCTGGTCGTCAAGCGGAAGCATAGCAACAACCTCCTACGACGACACTATCAAGATCTATAAATTCCCTGACGCCGTTAGGTGGGGCCCTACCAGCAATTTTGGAACAGTCGAACCGGACGTGACTATTAATCACAATAATCAGACTGGCAGGCATGTCCTTTCTTCCCCTCTTTCATCAATCAGTGCTAACACATTCTATAGATGGGTTACCATCCTTCGTGCCCAATGGCAGCAAGCGCCCCCAAATGGGCAGCAAAAGCTCGTCATTGGAAATATGAACAGATTCCTGGACGTCTACTCCGAGAACGGCGAACAACTAGGCCAATTATCACACGAGAGCGTCACAGCTGTTCCCGCAGCAGCCCAATTCCACCCGACCCAGAATTGGATTGCCGGCGGGACTGCAAGTGGTAAGGTGGTCCTATTCGTTTAGTCTTTGTGTGGGTAGCAGAGAGAGGACGCCGATATTAGAATGATTCGGAGGATAGGGAGGGTTACGGCGTTATCATTTACTTTGCCAATGGGGAAGCGTGGGGGGGGTAGTTCGGTTTTAAAGTTTTGAATCGATTCGCACTTGTGTTCGGGAGCGGAAATGTTTTTTTTTCAAAAACGATGGATCGTAGGTTGTGGGAAGGTCTCATGTATACTATAATAGCTAGTGGTCACATTCGATTTCCTTGTGGGCCAGCCGGTGCCCTTATACGCGGCTTTTTGAAACAGCCCCACGCCCCTTGCCCGTGAAAGAGAGGTACCAGGATGCCTTCCTTCTGGTCGACTCCAAGTATCAATCACATCGCAAAGGTATCTATCATACGGTAGTATTGTGAATCTCAGCCAAAAAAAACAACTAGTCCTATCAGTTCTTGGCCGACGAGTGACCATCCATGACACCCCTCAACCCCTAGCCGTTTCACAACCGTGCCAACAATCCTATTCCCATGGCATCCTACAACCAGTAAACCAGTTTCTATCTCCCATTCATCCACAGCATTTGCAAACCCCTCCTCCCCCCCCACCCCATGGTTCAACGCTGCTAGAACCGCATAGACACCACTTGGCATTTTAATCGTCCTCATAACAAAGCTCGCAACAGACGCAAAATACCTCCCAAGGAACAATCATTCCCGTGCGCAAGGGATTTTAGATAGCAGCCCGCTATTGTCTAAATTAAGATCAGGACGAGGCAATACCCAACCTTCCAACCCTGTGCAAAGGATAGGAAACCATTTTTAAGCATTTCAACCCTCAACCGCTTTCACATGTCAGAACCCTATTTCCCTCCCCCCTGTGAACGGAAAGCGCAGACGCTTTGGCTGGCCTACCTATATGGTTACAGTTTTATGAAAAGAGTGTCTTCTTTTCACCCTCCACAGCTACATGCTATAATATCCGAAGAAAGAAGAAGAAAAAAACACAATTCTCTAAGTCCTCTACTTTTCTCCCTTTTTTTTCCCCCCTTCTCTTTCTTCCAGACATCCCGTCGTGTGATACCTCCGAGTGAGCAGACCTTCGAACTCACTTTAGATACAGCCTCACGAGCGCTTGTGCTCCACTCTGCCATTTCTCCTGACCCGCTCTACCAGGGCGACATAGAATCACCACGTTATTTACCAAGTCAATGGACCCCAGAGAGCTTCCCCCCCCCCAGTGAAGCTCAGCCTGTTGAGGCGCTTCCTTCTATTACTTTACTTATTGCTATTATGCGACACAAGGAGGGTCATAGCGAAGTTTACACCACAGCTCCAACGGTTAGGTATCATTGAGTATGAATACAGCGCCCAAGATCACCATCCCCCGAGGATCTGAGTGTCGCGAGTGATTTCTTGTGATAGCCCGTTACAGGCACCACAACCCTGGGCCCGGTCGACTCATAGTAACCGACAACACCACGTATTCCCTTTCTGGCAAATTTCGCAACGCCCGAGGAACAGAGTCCAAATCGCATTAACAACAGCTTCTCTCACCAAGGATCATGGGGGGGGGGGAGCGTTTCGAACCATAAAGCTCTCTCTGGGAGGGTTCTGGCAAGAGGCTAAGCTGTCCCGGCGATCATTACCAATAAGAGTCTTGAACGGCCCCTTGGACTACACATTTTGCGGTGACTATTCAAACCCGGCGTTTCGGAGAAAGATGTGATATGAACTTTGGGTTTGTAAAAAAAAAAAAAAAAAAGGTGGTCGACGGTGAAAGGGCAGTTTGGTAGGGCCGGTCCATCCACAATCAATCCAGCCTTGAGAGCCTGCGATATAAGTTACCCGCAAAGTCACTATTCCAGATAAAAAGGATGCAAAACAATTTCTCTTTCTCCCTTTTTATAAATCATTGGCTTATTTCTCTCGTGTGTCCTTCCGCTATGAGTGCTACCCCCGCCAACTGTAGACCCTTCCCCCCCCGCCCTGGGCCTCCAATATACAGCCGGATTCTACTGTACAATACCACCTTGTAATGGGACTGATCACGGCCCTATTGAAGGACGCGAAGGTCACCAATCTTCCGGTCTTCATGGTGCAGAATTTTTTCTTTTTCTCTAACCTGTGATGCATCGCCCAGTAACTCATCCCGAGGGAGAAATTGAAAATCCCAGGCTCCTGCTAACTGCACCGGTATTGACTGGTTCTTAAGCCTTTTGAAAGCTAGAGTACCCCGGCTAGGTTTTTACCTTATATTATTAGCACGGGAGGGGATACTTATTCTCCTACGCCATGGTGGATTCGGTTTTCTCCGTCCGAGGATAAGGTCGGTAGTTCGTTATTAAAAAATTAAATGCATCCCAGGAGCAGATACCTAAGTTTAAGAGCCCTCAGGGGAAGAGATTGTAAACGTGGATACTGATAGTTGACAAAATCTCTCCGTGTGCGAGGGAGCAATCGCTGCCAGAATATCAACGGCGAAGAAAGGAAAGTTTTAGATTTGAGAAGGACGGGGGGAGGTTAGAGAGGGGTTACGGATTACTGGAGCACAGGGTAGCGAAAGGCCAACAGGCATTCCTATACTGATAAGCATATAGCAGAAGAATCCCACAGCACAAACCCCAACAGTGCACAATAACCATAATATTATTGACCTCTTAAGTGTATATATCATAGACCCCAACACAGAGACATGGCTCACGATGCCCTACGCAGAACAGCTGACCCTTAAAGCGCATAAACACATTTCCTTAACCGGATCGTATGATTACATTTCCGCAATAGAGAAACACAAAATGGCCAGGCACTCCAGGGTATTTCACATAAAACCGACGACTTGAACCTCCCAAGGAAACTTCCCCTCCACCGACTGATATTGATAAAAAATCGCTCTCGTTGCCATAACACGTTAAACGAAAAGGGAAAGGAGAAGAGAAAATAAAAGAAAAAAAAGCATAAAAACAAAGGCGACGAAAACCATTCATCCCCAGCACATATTGCGGCTAGGCGCGACCGTAGGCACCTGCCCAAGCACAAACGAACCCGCAGAAAATGTAGCCTGCTCCTCGGGCGTGTATTCAATAACCGGATCATCCCATTTCTTAGCCTTTTGCTGCTCGCGAAGTTGCGGGTTCACCTCGTGTTTCTGCGAGGAAGGGGAAGAAGTTTGCCCCTGCTGGGATCTCTGGAAGGGGTTTTGTGTACTGAAGGATGATGGCTGCGGGGCCGGTGAGCCAAAGGTGTTTACAGGTTGGGTCGGTTGGCCGAATGATGAGGAGGTGGGAGCTTGGGCCGGCCCCTGGGCCGCTTGTGGGAATGCGGTGCTTGTAGCCTGCTGCTGACCCTGTTGGAAGGGGTTTGTGCTTGAGAATGGCGATGGACTAGTTTGGGCAGCTTGAGTTTGCTGGAACGGGTTCGCAGTGCCCTGCCGAGGTGGCGATCCGAATGGGTTCGCAGGTGGGGTTGTCTGAGGTTGTGAGGGTTGGCCGAACGGTGGTGTAGGGGTAACCTGAGCGAATGGAGTAGCCGTGGATGATCCAGCGACTTGAGCAAATGGACTAGGTGCAGTGGCTGCGGAAGGCGGCGACTGGGTTTGAGAGAAGGCAGACTGTCCAAACGCTGGTTGGCCAAATGCCGGTTTTGGTCCACCAGACGCTCCGAAAGTCGGCTGACCAAAAGCGGGCGTTGCCTGAGCGCTGGACTGACCGAAAGCCGATGACGGTGTTGGAGCAGGGGTTGAGGCCGCCGCAGCAAAGGGTGAAGGCTGCGATCCCAAAGCCGAGGACTGACCAAAGGCCGGTTGTCCAAAAGTTGGTTGCCCAAATGCTGGTCTACCAAATGCGCTCTGAGGCTGCGAGGGGGTCCCAAAGGTTGGCTGCCCAAATGCCGGCGCCGCTGGCGCTGGCGGCTGCTGTGCGGTTTGCTGCGCTACCTGCTGCCCGAATGGGCTTTGACCAAACGCCGGGGTGGGTCGAGCCCCAAAAGGAGTGGGCGCGGCAAACGCGGAGGTGAAGCCCGAAGCAGACTGAGGTTGCTGGACTTGGCCGAAAGGTGATGATGACGATGATGTCTGAGCTGGGGCCGAGCCGGCACCCGTACCTTGTTGTGGATTCTACTTCGGTTAGCACGGTCCGGGGCCAAGAGAGCTCCTCCCGGGCTCATAAAGTCGATTCTGCGATATTCACCTGATCACCAAATGGCGAAGCCTGCTGCTGGCTGGAAGCCTGAGAGCTGTATCTTGATGGCGCGCCTTGCGCGTTCTTGAGAAATTCGATAGCACCCGGAATATTATCTAATATATTCCTGATCTGTGATGAAGCATCACTAGCCAATCTGTTCCATTCCGCCTCCTAGAGCTTCGTCAGCTTCAGCAGTAGTAATAGTTAGGAAATGCCGGCCCCGTACATATGCCTGTGGAACCCCTTCGGTTCGCAACTTGTATGCCATAACGCGCGCTTCTTCCGGGGAGACATCTTTCCCGTCGATCAACTGGGCTGGCGAATCCTTGCTGGGGGCATAGCTAGATAGGCACCAGGTAGGCCGTTCGGTAAGATCTAACCTAATCGTATCCGCACTAGGAATAGTGAATCTAGAATCTTTGGTCAATCCCATAGCTTGATCAGGCTTCCATCCATTCAACTGCAGGAATAGAAACCAATCCTTCTCCCAGCTGCTTCGCCCAGAACGATCTGTAATTCCTCCGAGGTATTGCGATGACAGGTATAGCAAGCAAATCGAAGCGAAGGGGGGAAACAGTGTTGGCGGAAGAAATGGGAAGGGGAAGGAGAACCCACCCGTCCGTCAGCTTTGTTTGAGTGCCTCCATTACCGAAACCTGTAGAGCAATCACTGGTCAGCCTGGAAGGTGGGGGGCGAGGATATCGGAGGCAGATAATTGGAAGAGAACAAACCATTGCGAGCTCCACCAAAAGTGTTGGAGGCCGAGGCAGTGGCGCCCGGGTGCAGGAAATTGCAGTTGGGACCAAATTTACAGTGACCCCGCTGGTAATATCTGCAAACTTGTGACATTCCGAAGGTAACGATGTGGATGATGGGTAGTCAGGTGATGGAGCTCAATTTTCTCGAGGCGTTGGAATTGTGAAGACGTCGTGGCGAGGGAGATGGAGTTGCAATTCCTTGTCGAGTACAGCAACGAGCGAGTTGAAGCTTTGCATGGGAAAACAAGGTTCCTTGACCCGTGACAAGCGGGACGAGCAATCATGGAGCTGGAACGAGAAAGGGCAGAGCACAGTATCATACTCGAATTGAAGTTACTAAAAGCGAGACTCAACGGCTTGGCAACGAGCCCTCAGCCTCCTCCTTGCGGGAAACCCTTGACCCGAAAAAGCTTGTTTTCACTCGGAGAGACCTTACTCATCCTTTCCACACGCGTTCTCTCTCTTCCTCACACTTTGACAGACACTTGTTTCATCCCTCTTCGCGAACTCATTCACCGCCACCCTATTGAACCCTCAACTCCCACCCACCCACAACCAAGAAACTCCACCATACCATGGAACTCGACCGAAGTTCCCTCGCTACTTACCGTTCCATTTTTCCTGATGACAAGAAATTCCCTTACACCAGGGATCGTATTAGTCAAATTACGCGACATCGGAGTTCGCTTGACGGGAGTCTATTCTTCGATTATGTTCTCAGGGAAATAGCCTGTATCGAGGATGGTAACTATTCAATCCCTTGATTTTCCGTTCGGAGCCAATTCCCCAATCGTTATCGCAAATAATAACGCATCGACCATCCAGCCGATCGACTCTACCCACCAAAGAACGTCACCGCCTTACGAGCACTTGTCACCACTATCATGGAGAAGGAAGAATTAGATAAGCTGAAGAGAGACTCCTTCATATATTATCTCAAGAAGGATTTCGACTACGCCCATCCTAGCAGCGATGACGCTAGAAGCTACGCTCGGAAGGCTCTTGTCCAGCCAAACTTTTGTAGCCTGATGGATGGTCTCTGGGCTTTGGATAATTTCAGGTTCGAGGTATGCTCCCCTCCTTCGCCCGTCACAAGTGCCTGGCTCTCACAATCACATTGCAGGAAGCTACCATGCTCTTGGCTGAGCCAGCCGTTACTCCCACCAATCCTCACAAGATACTTTCCGCCCTCATCCATCATGCTGGCCCTACTCTGGGTCCAAGGCTCGCTACCACTTTCGTTCAAGCGACACAGACAAAACTAAACACAGATGACTCAATAAGAGATTACTTCGCCGCTCTCAATGCTACCTCCATTGAATCAGCCTTTCTCTACCAACGAACGGTCCCGGAATCCCTACAGCATGAGCTGTTCACCAGTCTCATCGATCATTGCCTCACAGTTCGCAAAGAAGTCAATGCTTTAAAACTTATCAACCTGCCATTCACCCCCAAAGAGCAACAGATATTTGAGGATCACATCCGCCACTCCAATCTTCCGGCTGCCCAGGATACGTTGATAATTAAGCAGATGCATCAAGGGCAACTGGATGATGCTTTGGCAGCCGCAAGATCCGCTCGCTATCAGAACGAGCCAGAGCTCAAAGGCCTCAACTGGGCAAGTCTGGCCAGAGGGCTTTCCTTGGGCATCGGGCCGAGAGCGGCCAACGAAGAAACCGCTTAAGACCCCGCACCTTCTGGATACCTATTGTGCCCCTAGTATGGAATGACCCTCATGTTAATAGTCCCGATTCAACAAACAATACTGGTCCAATCATATTTTTGCCACAAATTAAAATATTCTGTTCTATTTTCCCGATCACGGGCACGGAGAGGAGTAACAAGTGAAGCATTTTCTCATCACTTTTGTGGTGGCTACTATACAATTAGTTCTGGAAAGCCTGGAAGCCCTTATTTCGTAACGAAACTGTTAACGTCTAAAGGGGCATGTCAGCTCTCCGTCATACATAATATCACCCGTAATAAATCAAACTTACTCTCTAGCCACTGAACATATTCCCTCTGCTCCTTGTAGTCAATGTAGTCGGGAACAAAGAGCGCCAAGGCGGTGTTGATTCCTCTCTCATCAAGATATCTCTCCAGCAACACTTGCAGATCCTCATCCAAGTTACCAAACGGAGGGCCAGCATAGACAGCCCTCCTCTCCCAATCGGCCTCAGCAGTTCGAGCAGTGGCAAGTTTGCCAGACTTGTGGTAAAATACGTTGTCAATGACAACCATTCCATCCTGAGCAATAGCTTCAATTTGGAGTACACCCGAGTTTCGCTGTCGGAAGAGTCAGTATGCGTAACCTAGTTCAAAAGAAATTTATCATATCGACCTTCTCAATCGTAACGTTCACTCGCGCCGGGAAACCTGGTTCTGGCTCATCGTCGTATTCGTCGTCGTCCAAATCACTAGTTGCTGGGGTCCTTCCCTCACCTCGGGCAGCCCTGGATTGCGCACCCCTGGGATGTGAAGGCGATGTGCCGGGGTCACCCTCTTCCGACGGTTCATCGTAGAGAGCATCCTCATTGAGTCCCTCGTTCGTAACGCTAGTGAGATCGGAGATAGAGAATTCAACACGGATGCTGGCGCATAGTCAATAAAGGATCACTCCGTAGAGATAAGGTGGAGGCGGGAGACCCACGTCTCATCTCCGAACTTGCGGACGAGCTGGACATCTTGCTCGCCTGGCTTATCGATAACCTAGGGAGAAATTTGTCAGACCCGAGAAGTAATGGGGAGCGGGGGAGGAAAGACACCTCAAATTGACTAGTTTCCAGATATTCCTTTACACTCAATGGGTACTCTGCTTCATCCTCTTTTGACTTTTCGAGGTCAATCTCGGTCTGGAGTTTTAACGCCAATTCCTCGTCAACTGCGGTTATGAGTTAGTGAGATAATTCCGCCCAGAAGGCTACCGGGCCAAAGGCAAATCGCAATCCATACCTTGCCCCAATTTCTCGGCACGAGAAAATGTAGTGGAAAACCGAGCAGCAAGCCGAGGGTGCCTCGCGGCCAAAGCAGGCCGGAAAACCGAGGCCTGGGGCCTGACAGTAGAAATTGAACGGGAGAGGAAAACTCTAGCGGAAGGGGCTCGCCAGAAGCGAGGGACAACTCGAGCGTAAAACATTGCGAACACTTGTTTCGATGAGAGTTCGGATGAGGTTTGCTGCTGCGGAATGGATGGTGGGGGGGAAATCTTGGTGGGTCAAGGAAAAATGAAAAATTGGACGAGGTGCATGGAGGGGCTTCTTGCTTATATAAGTAAGTTGGCATCTGATGCGGAATGAACAAACAAGCGTTGGCTCGGAATTTTTCTGTTTCTACTCTGCCAAAAGTGGAACAGAGCAACAGTCGCCCGAGAAGCCCGCTGCCCGTCTTGCCGAATCATGTTCCCAGAACTTGCGAGTAGCGGTACCGGCACTATACTATGGATCTTCCAGAAATCTTCCACCATTTATGATTCGATCCTGACGCAGTGATCGCAATTACCTTACAGTACGGGTACGGTAACTCCTGCTCACGACTGACCCCCCACCAGCGGTGTCTCACATCCCAAACTCATGTATGATGCATACGAGCACTGTAAACCACATCACCACAACACCTTTTGTGATACGAGTGCCGGTATGGATAAGATTATGGCACAAGTACTGGACCGTACAAGCGCCTCATCGTTAATCAGTGCCTCCCGCCCAATACGGCATCCGCAGCCATGAAGGATTGGCGAAGCCGAATAGTGCCGAGCTGACCCCCTTTTCAGACGATAAACGCTGCAGAATACGTGGTTTCCCTCCCAAATTTTGGTGAGCCCCACCGGACACGCCATAAGCTTGGGAACAGTGGTCAAAAAGTGGAGGGACGGCACCCTCTCCCGCTGTACTCGTACGATACTCGTATTCGCACGCTTTTGGTGAAAGAATTCCGGTACGGGTATGATGCTTTGAAGTTGTTTACCCCAATTCATACAGTAGAGACCAAAGATACTTTGTATAATAGCAAAGCCCAATCCTTGGCGCAATCCCCACAAGCGTGCGGGTAAGGTGCCGTACTAGTGCCGGTACAGCACTCGAGTACTCGAGTACAGTACGGTACTCGAGCACCTTCCAAGCAGGCGAAATCTGGACAGGGGGAAAGACAGACGACGGATGGGCCCGGGAACCATGGAGATCAGAGGTTAAAAATAAGGCACTTTTCGATGCTTTTTCCCACTCCACTTTCCCGTGTATTACCCCCTTGGGTGGCTGGTTCCCCTGTTCGCATGGTGGCTGGTGTCCCCTCCGGGGGTGTGACGTGGCCGGCTGATTGGCTGGGGCTGCGTCGCATTGCTGTAGCAACGATCATGTTTATGGCTGATCCCCGCCCTCTCTTTTTGCTCGATTCCCTAAATCGTGCAGACTGTCCTATCACCCTCCAGCCTCCTCTTTTCGCTATCATACTTCCCACACCCTCCCAACTTTTCCACACCTCCCACCCATTCCATCTCGCAATCAGTCTCATACCGCACTCGATCGAACCCACACATTTCTGGCAGGAAAACCCACAATCCTTTGTCTTGACCATCTTGCACAGAACTCGACGGCACCTACGAGTACACTCTCCCTCCCCACCACCCCATCACCCGTCAAATTCCGAGGGCTACCCTTTTCGATCATTCCAGCGGCCCCTTGACGAATTCCTTCGCCTTGCACTCCATTACTCCTGACGTCTGTCGGCGGTCGAACAAGATACGATGCTGGAAAGGAGGATCAGGTTTGTGTTTGGCTTTGAGAGTACGTTGCAACATTGCCTATTGCGCTTCTGCTCTGCCGGAAGAACTGCATTCCGATCGCCGGTTGGAGAAGGCTTTACGCTAACCTTTGTCCAGGGCTCGTTCCTTTCCTCGCATACCACCATGTTCTCATGGTACTCATCTTGATTGCTATAATACTACTGTGTAAGTCGCAAAATGTCCGATAGCAGACACCTTTCGGAACCAGGGCACAGCTCTTCGCAACGGAACCGGTTAACTGACGTGCGTGCAGCATTATTACTGGCAGGATGCTCCTCCTCGAGTCCATTAATCCCCTCGATATTTCTGATAAACATGTGGTATGACAAGACGGCACCCGAATTCGATCCAGCGCAAGTCGATCCAGGCGCCACCCGTGCCATTGGGAATATCGTCGGTGATGCAGCGCTAGAGGCTCGGGTAGGGTGAGTATCGGACCCTTCCGGGAGCTTGCAGCAGCGGCTAATTTTCGGCACTAGATATTTCGGTATCTGCATTAATCCCGACGGTGGATCCTGGTTGTGCAGTGCAAATGCGTCTTCTCTTGCCGCTCAGGTTTCCGTGGACCAAGATCCTTTGAATCTCATCTGGGTAGCCCAGACTTTCCGGGAAAGCATTGTCTTCCCCTACCTCTTGTAAATTGCCCGCCTACGTACGGAAGAGGCGTGTATATATATACTAATCGACTAACAGGATCATTGCTATCATTCTTGCTGCCGTTACCTTACTCCTGCTGGCTACGTTCCCCGGCTATGAGGAGGAATACGAAGGAGGGCCCGAAAGGAGACGTCTTCCCAGTCGCGCAGTCTCCCAGATTGCGCTCGCGGTTATCTTTGTTGCCGCCATCTTCGTCCTCGTATCCGTCTTATGGCAACACACGGCAAGTGTAGCTGCGGCGACGATAGCAGAAAATCTAGAAAACGGTTCGGTATCAACGGGGGTCGGAGTAACAGCAATGGTATTAGGTTGGTTTGGATTCGCGCTACTAATCGTCGTAACCATCGGTTTACTTGTTATGTCAGTCCTCCCCCCTTACCCTTTTGCCCCTAGCGCAAGCACTGACCCTACTGCAGGATTCTGTCGATGCACTTGGTCGAGAAACTCACGGATGCCGATGAGTTATAGTCGACAACTTCCTGAACGGCAGCGGGTGGAGCCTATTTTCTTGGGCCCGAACGATAGGTGATTTATGCATTCAATCATGAGCCCAGGAAAATGGTCTGGAGAGTGACAGCACTTTGGGTCAAATATCAAAGATGCAAAAGTAACAAAATCGAAAATTGGCCAAAGTGGTGGAAAACGACGCATCATACGATTTTCACGAATAATGTTTTCAGCGAGCATATAATCCCCCCCCCCTTTTTTTTTTCCTCCTCCTTTACTTCGTTCATAAAAGCCCATCAATCGGGTTAACTTGGGTGGCTTCCTTCGATTCAATCTCTCTTCCAGACCGGGCGTGAGGAGAGTGAAATGATGTGATTTATCTTGCGTTTTAATTTCTCTTTCGATCTCCTTTCTACTCTTCGTGTAACGATACCCTACTTTTTACGTTCTCCTTTTTTCCTCCGGCCCTCCCCCGGATTTCTTTTTCTCCTCCCTTTTTATGACAATGGGTGAAATACGAGGCTTGGTTGAATGATAAGTCTGGAAAGGGTGGCGAGAGCGGATGTCATTGTTTTCTTCGCTTTTTCCTTGCGTCACGGGTCAAACTTGGGAATGGACCGGTATTTTCTATGCATTTTATTTCCACGTGTATCATGTCGTGTATTTAGTCAATGGGTTTGGAATAGAATGAGGCGGGGAAAGTGTACCATGCCGCTCCAAGAGGTTGTTTTTTTTTTTTTTTTTTTTTTTTTTCGCTCTGTAGCTGTATTGTAACTTACGAGAGTACTGTACTAGTACGTGTACTGCACACATGTGGGCTGCAAAGATATAAATTTAATGTCGCATGTCTCTGGGATGGCCCCTTACCGTATTCGTGCTCTCCCCAAAGCAGACTCCCCACAATACTCAAGACCTACCGTATCATTGCCACTGTAATGCCTATGATGGATAGTAGATAGGAGGTGAAGGAGCGTAAAATACTTGCCCTTCCCTCTCCCTAATGACCGAGTGCCCCGAAGCCTTGAGAAAGGGGAAAGGGCATGGGTTGTGAATAGGGTGTTTTGATAGCAGGCCGGGGAAGTCATTCAGGGTATGATATGATACGGTATTGAGTTTTCGGAGTGCGAGGTTTTGAAAGCTGTTGTGATGGATGGGTGCTGGTACTGTACCGGTACGGTAACACCCTGTTTTTAACCTCGGTGATAATTTCGGTTGCTCATATCTACGGCATGATACTAGTCTAATAGCCTTCTCGGGGGGCGGGCGGGCATTGCTTTGGGATATTTAAAGCGGTCCTTCTTTTTTTTTTTTCATGCGGGGAAAGCATGATACCGGTATCGGGAAATATATTTTACTTTGGGCGGTAGGGTGCAGTGTGGGCTCTGGACGGATACGGTACGGTATGTCGGGTTCCTGAAAATGGCTCGCCAATCGAGTGACACGTGGGTTAAGTTAGCATTGGCGTGGCTGACTTATCCGATAAAGTTGAGTGAGGACTTTTGATTTTATCGATTGCACGGTTGTGACGTCAGTTGCGGCTTAGCTTGGTGCATTGGGGAGGGGGGGGGGAGAGGGTAACGGGGCATTGGATAGGAACTATCCGTGGACTTACGGTACGGTATCATATGACATGGTACAAGTACTCGTACCGGTAGACTGATATTGCTTGGTAGGGCGCGATGGCAGCTTTGGGGATTGTTCGGGGTGAGGGCGATGGCAGCAGTCTACGTACGAGTAGACTACTAGTACTCGTACTGAGGTTGAATAAATTTCTTTGGCGGTTGGGTTGGATCGGGTATGTCGCTTAACCCGCTAGATGTGTTCACGCTGTATTCTGTGGATGAAGGTTGTGCCTACCCGGGGGGGGGGGGAGCCTGTCAGGTACTCGAGTAATTACTGGTAAGGTACCGGTATGGTGCGAATATGTATGTCGGGAACGCGGGTACACACACAAGAGTCCTCAAAATGCGCAGCTCTTACGGTAGCCTTCCCTTATGCTAATTGCACTTGAGCAATAGGCTGCTTATATATATTAGCAGTCTGCGGTACGAGAAGAACCTAGGCTCAGGGCAACGAGAGCAAGGTCTGGTTGCTATCATCATACCTTACGAGTATGATACCGGTATATACCCTACTGTACGGTACTCTAGCAGCTACGTAGACAGGGATAGGTGCAGGTTTAAGCTGGGATGATCTTTCGTGACGCAAAAGCTCTACCGTACTTTCCCCCAGCTGGCATCATCCTCTCTACCGCAGTAGGATGCCCCCTATGTTGACTGGCCTGGGCAAATATCGACATCGGCGTAAACTTGAATTGTTATTTCCTCTCCGCCCCTCCCTCTTCCTTCTCCTTCGACACCTACTACACCACCTGCACCACTTTGGCGGTCAGCCTATACAGAGAACACTGAAGGTATGATATTTTGCGTCCCTACATTCTCAAAGGAAAACAACGACGACAATTGTTTGACATCCGTCTGCCAGTGGGCATCGTTTGTTTTCCTGGAATTCTCCGCGCCCACTCTGGCGCGTGATTGTTGTTTGCTAGGAATATGCCTCTTCGGGGTCATCCACACACACCTAACTCACCCCCCTCCCCCTCCCTCATTCCCTTCATACCATTCCTATCATACCCACTACACACACACACCCTTGTCCAGTCTCCGGCCTCACATTGTACAATTCCTTCTGTGGGTTGCCGTATTTGCTCCGAGGTGAATAGCTCTTGTTCGTTCAATTAATCTTTTCGTTCATTTTCTCCCAATCCCCCCCCCCCCCCCCCCCAGGCTTTTTTCTGCCCGTCGCCGGAATCCCAAAGTAATTGACAGTCAAATTAGCTCACCTACGTCTCCCCTCCTGCGTCCGGGCTAGGCTGCTGTACATACATACATACCCGCATTGTCGCACCCGGTGCTTGCCCACAATTTCATAAGAGGCCTCTGACCCTCCTGCTCTTCGTGCGGCCACTTGGAAGGCAATTACTCGCCCGAATTAATTTCAAGGACTGACCCGAAAGAGGGAAGGGAAACCACTCGGCATCACTCTACTTCATCATGGCGTCTCGGTCGAATTTGATAATGGTCAGCAACCGGCTTCCCATTTCGCTCAAGAAGAAGGACAACGGCGAATACTCCTACAACATGTCTTCCGGAGGGCTCGTCAGTGGGCTTTCGGGTATGACCAAGAATGCCACCTTCTCGTGGTTTGGATGGCCGGGAATGGAGGTTCCCGAAGAGGATGCAGAGAAAGTTACCAGGGAGCTAGCTGAGAAGTATCAAGCTGTTCCTATATGGCTTCCGGATGAGATGGCTGATAAGCATTGTAAGGAACATGGGCCCCAATGCCGTGAGAGCTAGCTAACTTGGTTTGTTACCGAATTGAGACAATGGCTTTTCTAGTGAGTGATAGCATCATTGTAGGGTTAACCATGATCCGGGGTCCTAACCCGAATCGCTCTCTCACAGACTCAATTTTGTGGCCCTTGTTCCATTACCACCCTGGCGAGATCAGCTTCGACGAAGGCGCATGGATAGCGTACCGAGATGCGAATCAGCTGTTCGCCGAGGGTATCGCAAAGGTAGTGAAGGACGGCGATCTGGTCTGGGTACACGACTACCATCTCATGCTCCTCCCTGCCATGCTTAGGGAGGCTGTGGGCGATAGAGTCAGGAATTTGAAGATTGGCTTCTTCCTGCATACTCCTTTCCCCAGCAGTGAAATCTACCGGATATTGCCAGTGAGAGAGGAGATTCTGCGGAATGTCCTGGAGGCAGATCTATTGGGCTTCCATACTTTTGACTACGCACGACACTTTTTGTCGTCGTGCACTCGTATATTGTTCGTCGGTGCAATTCCTTCAATGCATTGTTGGGACCTTACTGACGGGCCTATAGAGGCCTGACCACCACACCGGCTGGCGTAGAGTTTGAGGGTAAACTGAGGAGGGTTGGGGCATTCCCGATTGGAATTGATCCCGAGAAGTTTGAGGAGGGCCTGCAGAAGCAATCAGTCCAAGATAGGATCGCACAGCTTGAGAAGAAATTCCAGGGTGTCAAGCTGATCGTCGGAGTTGATCGTTTGGACTACATCAAAGGTGTCCCCCAGAAGTTTCACGCGTTGGAGGTCTTTTTGGACGAGCATCCTGAATGGATTGGAAAGGTTGTCTTGGTCCAGGTCGCGGTACCCAGTCGGGGTGACGTTGAAGAGTACCAAAATCTCCGTGCGGTAGTCAATGAGCTTGTGGGGCGTATAAATGGGCGCTTTGGTAGGCTAAGTCATATCAAGCGATTCGGGGAGATCTCCGATGCTGACAACAAACTCAGGTTCGATAGAATTCATGCCCATACACTTTATGCACAAGAGCATCAACTTCGAAGAATTGATATCGCTTTATGCAGTTTCTGATGTATGCCTTGTTAGTTCTACTCGGGATGGTATGAACTTGGTTTCCTACGAGTACATCGCGACTCAGCAGAAGAGACACGGAGTGATGATCCTGTCGGAATTCACTGGCGCTGCCCAGAGCTTGAGTGGAAGTATAGTGGTGAACCCATGGAATACGGAGGAATTAGCGAATGCCATCCATGAGGCCATAACCATGCCGCCTAGCCGACGCGAAGCAAACCATAAAAAGCTCTATGAATATGTGACGAAGTATACTAGGTGGGTGGTTCCGGGTTCGTGTGCACGCTGTACTTGATGTTGATTCGGCGGCATAGTTCCTTCTGGGGCCAGACGTTTGTTGGGGAACTCACATCTCTTTCTGAGAAGGCCAATGCCGAACAGGCAGAATAAAGTCCCTTCAAGGGTTCTCCCATAGGTAATATGGTTCCGATCGTTGGGTGGTGCTACCGATGGGAGTTTTTTTTTTTTTCGTCTCGCAGTCTGCTCCCGTCGGGACCGGCGCTCGGGTGGTAAAGTTTGTGGCTTTTGCCTACAACGCACAAAAACATGTTTGAGGTGCTCGTTCATCTTTGGCTCTCATCATGCTGGGGGATCTGATGTATTTTTTTCTCCTAATTTCGTCTTGTCATCCATGATCTTTTTTTTTTTCGGGAAAAAATCCTTTTGGAAATTAGATGTCGCGGTCTGGATGTCATAAAGACCGAATACCGGTACTGTGTTAGAGCTGAAGCAAAGTAACAACGTGGAATATCCGTAGATGATGGAAATCATTCTGGGGTGATGAGAGTTACAGGGAATTTCGTTAAGCGAATGATCAATCGTGATTGTGTTGGAACGGCTTGTCCGGCGGTTCCTGAAACCCCCTCTAGGAAGCGAAAATAGGTACAGTGCTGAGTCAGCAGCCTCCCGAACGTGCTAACTCTCCCACCTTCAAGAATCCGGTCCTCCCTCTCTCCTTCTGACTTTCAATGTGGCCGACCTCTGCAGCAGCAAGCGTACTTCTTCGTTTATTTTACCCCAACCTACCAATATCATCTCAACAATAATGAAGGCCAAGACATATTCTGCCCTTCAGAAAACATACGATCAAGCATACCTCACCCGCTCCACAGCTGTATTTTACCCCCCCATTGATACTCTCCTTCACCTAGCCTATGGGTGGCCCATCGACTCCCGGTTGTGCTTATTTAATGTCACTAGGTCTATTACGAAGGTCAAGGCAATGAGGTAGAAGCCTTACGATGCTGGCGCGAGTGTCTTGGACAACTCCAGGGCCACAATTCCGCCGGACATCGCCCTCGCTCGGAAACAGAACGTACATTGTTAAGGTCGCTCACAGCAATGCAGGATCAGTGCCAGGAGCGATCGGAACTACTACAAGCGTTATTGGTCAGCCGAGTGGAGGCAGAGAATAACGGACACGGCTGGAGAAACAGGGACGCACAACCGGCGACGTCGAGCCTACCGGCTGCTGGTACAGCTGGGAATGCTAAACCGGCAGTTTTACTTACACCTCCCCCCCCACTTCCGCCTCCGGCCCCTCCGAGAAGACAACCCTCATCAGGTCCTTCGTCTGTTCGAGATACTTCGAGGGCTAGTCCTCCATCCCTTCATCCCGCTACTACCCCGCCGCATACTCTCACCCCTTCGTCCTTGTTCCGGACACCAAGCCCTGAGAAAAGAGCTTTCCTATCCACACTTCGGCCTGCGCGCAAACAGAAGAAGACAGATTCGAGGATCATAAATGATGGCCCGGAAGCTGCTGCGAAAGCTGCTACGCTTGCTTGGAGCTCACTATCTCGAGCTGAGGGTGCACACCTTTCACGAACGATGACAGAGCCATCTGCAGACTCCCTACCTGTCCGACAGAGCTTCGTCGCTTCGGCTTCTACGAACGATTTATCATGTGGGCAGCGTGCTTCCACGTTTACGGCGAACCGGCGGCCGAGTCCACCCCCTACTGTACAGCCCCGGACTGGCTTGTCCGGGATTAAATCTCGCCCTCACAGCTCCATTCTCCCGTTGGGGAACCCGCCATATCCGGAGGATAGCGGGCCTCCGGCTCCGCCTCCACACATACTCTTCCCACCTTCAAGCGAGAATATTCGCACCTCGCATCTAGCTTATCCGGAGCCTCCGCAAGCCCTGCAGCCTCCGGCTGAGAACGCATTTCGCTACTCACCCGCTGGTACCCAGAGCCCCCCGACCCTCCCACCGAGAGTTCCCCCAAAGCCTATCAGGTCTGAGAGGCTTTCTCATGTAAATAATAGCAAACCCATAATACCTACACCCGAGCCGGAGCCCAAAGAGGATTCGGATTCAGAGTATTACAAGCCGCCTGCGGCTATGAATTCCAGGAATACGATTCACCCACCTGCGGCACCTAACGAAGAGGCCAGGTCAACTGGTCCGCCGACACCACCTCCGGAGGAGGAAAAACCGATTACGTCTACTGCAGAGGAAGAGGTGTCTCCTCCCGCGGAGAATACACTTGACGAGCGAGTAGCGAAGGCTTTAGAAAGCATTAGTAAAGGAGTGGATATGAATGCAGCAACGCAGGTCGCGAATGAAATTGTTGTTAAGGGGGACGAAGTTCATTGGGATGATGTTGCAGGGTTAGATGCTGCGAAACTAGCCCTCAAGGAAGCCGTAGTCTACCCATTTCTGCGACCAGATTTATTTAGCGGCCTACGAGAGCCAGCGCGCGGGATGCTACTATTCGGGCCTCCGGGTACTGGGAAAACCATGCTTGCCAGAGCTGTTGCAACAGAGTCCAAGTCTACGTTCTTCTCCATTTCTGCCTCTTCACTTACATCCAAATATGTAGATGCCCTCTTCCTTATCTAATTATTGGATAATCCTGACTTTCAAAATAGCTCGGTGAGTCGGAAAAACTCGTCCGTGCACTCTTCGCCCTTGCGAAGGCAATGGCACCTAGCATCATCTTCGTCGACGAGATCGACTCTCTGCTTTCTTCAAGAAGCGGCTCCGGCGAACACGAAGCGACCCGAAGAATTAAAACAGAGTTCTTGATTCAGTGGTCTGACCTCGCAAAGGCTGCTGCGGGGAAGGAAACTGCTGGGGGAGACGCGTCCAGAGTCCTTGTCCTCGCTGCGACCAATTTACCCTGGGCAATTGACGAAGCCGCACGCCGGCGTTTTGTCCGACGACAGTATATACCGTTACCCGAAGACGAGACGAGGAAAAAGCACTTGCAGAACCTTCTAGGACATCAAAAACATCACCTCAGTGCTGAGGACATGGAGAAGCTGATTGAGCTCACGAATGGTTTGCTCCCCCTAACCCTATTTCACCAAATTCGGACTGCGATTAACGTTATCACAGGGTTCTCCGGCTCAGACATAACCGCCCTGGCGAAAGACGCGGCAATGGGCCCACTCAGGAGCCTCGGCGAGGCACTGCTGCAAATGCAAATGGACGATATTAGACCGATCGCGTTTGAGGACTTTGAAGCGAGCCTTAAGTCGATAAGGCCGAGTGTGAGTAAGGAGGGATTGCAGGCGTTTGAGGATTGGGCCAAGAGGTTTGGGGAAAGGGTTTAGTCTGGGTTTATGAGAATGATTGCATGGCTTTTTTTTTCTTCTTTTTTTGCCCAGATTCCAATTTGGGTAAAGGGCGTAATTGGGTCAGATTGACCGGGGAGGGAAGGAGGAGGATTGTACGATATAGCATACTGTAAACCACAGCAGCATTATGGCATATGAACGGCGTCGGAATCGTACCGTACAGGGCTGAATTGAATTGAACTGGGAATATAATTGTTCAGTCCCTTTTGTGGCTTGTCAGATGTATTGTTCCCCCCCACCGAATATATTACACACACACAAACCCAAATCCTCGCTCCTACCCAGCACTCACCCCAAGACCTTCTGATCGTACCTCTGCCCGCCCTCCTTCACGGTCCCCTCTAAAACCCTTCCCCCCTCCGCCTCCTCCCCCCCCTCCCCCAAAAGCCTGCACCCCCCCTACGACTGCTAACATCGGCGATCCCGCGTCTCATCACCTCCCTCCTCAATTCCTTATCCCTCCGCTTAGCCTCATTATTCCGCACCCACTCCTCAACACTCTGGAGCGGCTTCCTCTCGCTCCCCGTGCGCATCGGGGAGACGATCTCAGCGACGATGTGCGTCTTCTGCTTGCTAGTAATGTACCCCGGTAAGATCTTGACGCAGTCTCCTTCAACGCAGGCTTCGGCGCCGTCGTGTACGAGGTGGTGAGTGTAGTCGTTGTATGTCTGCAAAGAGGGGGGAGAGAGGGGGAGAGGGGGGGAAGTGGTTAGTGGCTGGAGCGAGGTAGGGAGGGGAGGGGAGGGGAGAAAGGGGAAGGGGAAGGGGAACTTTTCGGATGCGGGAGTTCCAGGTTAATGATGGGACTCGCACGCGGATGGTTTTTGCGCAGCGGCCGGTTGCGACGACGATGCCTATTGGCATTTTCACCCTTTTTCTTCTTCTTTTCTTTTCCCTCTTCCCTACTCTTGTTGTTTTTCCTTTCGTTTTGTTTTCGTGGGATTCGGGTATGGCAGTAGTGGTGGTGGTGGTGGTGGTGGAAATGATCTGTTGTGGGAGTGTTTGGTCACTCTTTATTAAGGTGGGTGTTTGTGCTGTGGGTGGTTGAAATATAGTGAGGCTCTTGCGCCACGTTTTCCACCTCGGCCAATGGGGCAGGGTTTCGGGGGTGTGGTATGCCGATGCGGGTATCAATTATTCTGGTGGGCAATAAATAAATTGTATGATTAGGGAATTCTTTAGCCAGGTTTGGGCTGCGGGCGTCATTCTGGAGCAAATCTCTAAGGATAATAATAATAATGATAAAGATAATGATAAGGATAAGGATAAGGATAAGAATATCATACTTGTTTGTAGTCTTGCTAGTTGTAAAAAAGGATCCCCGTCGCTCCGTTTGCATTCATCCGTCTTCGCGTACCGGAAATGCGAAAAGAGGACGGGCGGGGAGGGGATAAGACAAAAGGCTCGTAAAATAGCAACTTTTATAGCCAGATTTTTTTTGTTTTCTTGTTTTGAGTTCTGTACAGCTATCTCCCCGTGTTCAGTGCGCCGAATACACCCTTTTGTTCCCGCTTCTATAACTAATGATAAACAGACCGTTCATGAAAAGTAGGAAAAGAAGAATGAAAAAGAATGAAAAAGAAAAAATCGCATGCAGTGTATTCCGAGGAAATTTTCTTTTGGTGCTGGAGGAGATTATACCGAGTTGAGACGAAGGTAGTACCTAGGACAAATGTTAGCAAAGAATTTGTGCCACTCCAAAGAGCGTTCCGGATGAAGGTAAAATTTACTTAGCCATCTCGTACGAAGTCCTTCAATTAACTTGTCAGCATTTGCTTCATCTACGATGTAACACCGAGTTCCCAACTCACCAACAGATCGCGGTGCTCGGCATGGTAGCAACTATGCGAGGTCTGATCCCTTTAAAGAATCCCTTGTAACCTTCCCTCTCGTGGATAATCTTTGCCGCGTCGAATAGCCCTTTGCCTATAGAAACGATAAGATTCACGGTCCACGACCGGCACAAACAAATGCGGAACGATTGGTGGACTCACTGCTGCGGATACGATTATCTTGAGAAGTGCCCCTGGTCTGCAAGAGTGTCTTGATAACGTCCAAAGGTGTAGTCATGGCCGCAGCCACAGCTCCTGCCATTCCGCCAGAGAGGCAATGACTGAACGGATCGTACCTCCGGGTGGGGTTGAGAACCTTGGCCAGGCTTTCGTACGCGGTGAATTGAATCGCGGTGAATGGAATGGTCATGGCTAGAGTGGTAGGGTAGGAGATATAAAAGGCGCGGAAGCCTTCGCTGCGGTAGACCGAACGGGCACAATCGGCGATGGATTCATAGGTAGAGCCATGCACTTGCATGCGTTGTTTGATGACTGTCGCAAATCAGTCGGATGATCACCCGAATCGACACCCACAGTCAAACCTACCATCGAATGGGTTCATTAAGGCATCACTGGCAATTGTGGCGCAAGCCCCGGCAGTAGCTAAGTTGAAATTAATCGGACAAACTTGGGAGAGGGATTTCGAGCGAGAACCTACCAACCGCAAAAGGATGATGTTCGGACCCAACATTCCCTCCCAGCTTCTGTTTTACGGCTTCGTAAGTGCCAAAATAGACGGCATGGGCCGGACCTGTAGGGTATTCAATATTCAAACCGGCATCCTGGCCCAACTCATGAGAGACATACCGGCACCGACGGCGACACTGGCAATTCCCCTCCACAAAGAGCGGACCCCCTCGGTAGAGGATATCTGAGCAACTGCGTTCGTAATTCCGGTATACATGGCGGCTGGAGTAGGGTTGACAATTTGCATGCGAGTCTATGCTGTCCATGAGCCGCCATTCCACCCAATTATTTGCGGGGGGGTGTGACAAACCTTGATAGCATCGACCGGATACATCACAACATGCTCCTGTCAATCAAAGGAGCTCGGTCAGTTTGTTCCCTCCAAATCTCCAGCGGAGGTATTTCCCTACCATGACACCGGCAAACGCTCCCGCAACCAGATTCGACGTCAAGCTTCCACCGCCTAGGGATTCGTAGTCGATCTCTTGAGGTGGTGCATGGTCAGCCATCGTGTCCTTGATCATGGCAGCCAGAATGAAGAGCGCTGAAGAAAAGGCTGTGAGGAGTGGAGGAGCGGCAGGGTAGCTAAGTAGGTGGAGAGGTTGGAGCAAAAGTGTGCCGGTTGGGAGGAGTGAAGAGTCAGAGGGCTGGCGGCTCGGTCGTGGAGAAGGGGCGAGAGATGTCGAAGGCTGGGATTGAAGGAGGGCCCAAGACGCACCGTGACGTTGGGCTGAGGAGCGGGAGTCTGGTGAGCAGAGGGTGTAACTGTGGGCGAGTTGTAACGACCCTCGTGAATCAATGACCCTTTTTTTTTCTTTTCCCCTTCCTCCCTCTTCCCCCACCGTTCAAATCTACCTCAACGGAGGAAGGCAACCAGCAGATCGCCAAGGTCGCTTGTTTTCTTTTCTTTTTTGTAACCTTCGCTCTTTGGAACTTGGTGGAGTCGCGATGTCCGTATTCCGTCTTGATCTAAATTCGGCTTTGTTTTTCAACTTGGTCCGCGGTTATGGGGTTCCACTCGATCTCATCACAATCCTATCCCAGCACCATACCGGTAAACATTCACACGGATCTCCATCATCCAGGGGGGTTCCCCCCCCCCGTCCCCCGCAGAATTGTGGTGATTGCCGTGATTCAAGGAAATCCTCTGCTTCATTATTCAGTATGGATCGACCTTCCCACGGAATATTTCTGTCCTTCTAACCTCCCGCACCTCCGAATGGCCTTACCGTACTATTATACATGCTGGCTTGCCGCTCCCGAGCGACGTCCCCACCAGCCCGCGTCAAACACACGATGCCGGTGGGCCTTCGCTGGAGGGCGGGGGGCTTTACAGGGATGGAGTGAGGCTCCCAAGGTTGGGGTTAATAGACCACGCACTCGGACTTCTTATCAGATTTTATGTGCCTCACTGATAGATATTGATTGCGAATTGGCAATTCCGCATGCACGGTAATGCCGGACGGTGCTGCCAAAGGCCATCCTTCCCAGCAGGAAATTCACCCATAGAATTGAATATATTTGTGAGAAGCGATGGCTTTTCCCCTTCTTTAATTCTGATATATGCATTGCACTATCCACTACTTACTGGAGTTCCGGGAGGATATTGTCGGCAGATGTGACTGCACAAATACAGTTAGACCTTAACTCATTGCACCACAGTCTATCTCCTGCGAGATGGCATATACGTAATTTAGAACTCACCTGTGACCCCAGTATTGTCGGGCTCAGCGAACATCTTGGCCACTCTGCCATCCTCAACAATGAGGGCATATCTCTTGCTCCTTGGCCCGCCAAAAATAGCGGTTGCATCGAACATCATGCCAACAGCGTCCGTGAACTCTGAGGAAGAATCGGCCAGGAAACGGAAGGTCTTATCATCACGGGAGGTGAGTGAGTCCTTCCATGCCTACGCGAATCATGCGCCACAGATCTCAATAGCCGAACTCAATCTACAGTAGAAGGGGAGAGAGATAGAGAGAGAGAGCAAGGCAATAAAACGGACCTTTGTAACAAAGGGGTCATTGACAGAGACAACATAGGTTGGAACATCAACTTTAGCCTCGATATATTTAGCGATGTGTGCTGCACTGCAGGCAGGAGAAAATGCTGGCGGAATGAAGGGAAATTAGCGACCAACATTACTCGGAAGTACCGTTATTCGAGGATTCGGTAATGTACCACCGGGTACCCCAAGAATGAGAGCTTTCCTTTTCCCCTTGGTTTCTTCGGCGATTGAGACTTTTTTGGCTGGAGCAAGAAAGAGTGGTAAGTAAGTTATAGGGTACGTATTCTAGAGTTAAATCCCATGATTCATCACGGTGGACCAAAAAACCAACCCGGTGTATCCTCTCGCAATTGAATATTGGGGACCAGGTCACCAACCCCGATGTAAGTCCCGGGCGACGCGTGAAACCCACGAATAGAAGTGGTGGGAGGACGGCGGCGAGCGATGCGAAGGGCAGCAGTTTGGAAGCGGAGGCAGGAGAACATGGCGATGGCCTGATCAATTTTTAGCATGCGGCTCACTGGGTTGGCCGATAGGGAAGGGAGGGAGGGACGGCGTGGGACTTGATCTGGTTTGTTTTCATACTGTACCTTTGTGTGCGTTTGAGCTGTGAGGAGACGAGGGTGGATTGATCCGCGGGGTGGGAAAATACGAGTATGATACTGTACCCGGGTCGGTGAGGACCTGATCGGACTGGCAGCAGAATTTAGGGTGCGAGCTGGGCAAGCGAAGGAGCGGGTAGCATGAGCACTGTAACCCTCCTTCGTTCCCTCACTTTCCACTCGTATGATACGGTACTTGTGCAGTCCACAGCGAGTAGAGCCCTCCTTCGTTCCCTTACTTTCCACTCGTATGATACGGTACTTGTGCAGTCCACAGCGAGTAGAGCTGGGGGTGCTGCATTGCCGGTACCCGCACAAGCGCTGGTAGTACAGTACTCGAGTATTATCATATATCATTATCATGCGCCAATTCTCACCGTGTCAGGTACGGTACTGGTAACATCATACAAGTTACTACTGTACTCGTACTCGTACTGCACAGCACCGACGCACTTGCAAGCATCCAATTGACAACTTCTACAAGCAATATTGGTGCCATCTGTTTGGTGGGGTACTGTACTTGGTACGGTACCGGTAGGGTTGAAACCGGTATCGCGTTACACCTCAGCCATCTGTGCAAGGGGAGGAGTATGATACTCGTAGTAACGCAGCTGTTGTTAGGGCATACCGGTAACCTTTTGCCGCCCATAATTTCGAGGCCTGGTTTTGCGGAATTGGTTGGCCACTCCTCCAGTCTGATGGATGCACCAGTGCTCGAGCAATTGGCAAGAGTGCTCAGCGAGTATGAAATGAAAGGCTGAGAAATTCATAGTCTACGAGCAGATCCGCCAGGACATGGACCAAGTTTGCTTCCGACCGGACCCGTGATGGCTATCTACAAAATTTAATGAACCCTGGTACGGTATGATACGCTGGTGACCTGACGGCAGGTAACATGAAATTTTATGGTATCCATCCTGTTCTGTACTGTGCCGTGCACCACTGTACCGTACAGTACAAGCTCATCGTAGAGCATCATTTGTGAGCACTCTTCTGCAGCCGCAATGGGGCACGGCATTCCTGAGGGTTGGTGTTTGAGCAAGGTATGCAGGCAGCAGGTAACCTGCTAACCGCTCAGCTCGGTCTGGCCAATCCTCTTATTGTGATCTCCGGGCCACAAGGTTTTTCTGCTCACCCTGGGTTGGCATGGCCACCGCTTCCATTGGCCAAATCGTGATACCAATCAGAGGCCGTATGGGGAAGGGGGGGAAAATAAGAGAGAGGAAAGACACGCTGTGCTGTACGAGCACAGTACCCTACGGGAAACTGGGATCCGAATATGGTGAGCCTACCCCAAATCTTTCGGCTTGCTTGCCTGTACGCGAGATCTTGTGAGTGCTGGGCTGTGCTGTGATCACAATTCATTGGATGGTGCTTTTTCTTTTCTTCTTCTTTCTTTTTCGCTTTCGTTCTCTCAAGGATAAGAGGAGGAGAAACGATTGAAGCTGGAGAATATCGGTAAGTTTCTGGGGGTGTCATTTGAGGAGTTTTGAGGTATCATATCATAGTCAACCGCAGGCTTGCTAAGGTGCAACAGCGGGACTCTCTTACCCGCTAGCTGTACAATCCTGCGCATCGGTATTACGGCCTACCCTGCTCAAACCATGGAGCCATATATGATACTGTGGCGGGCGGGCTAGAGGGTTATGCAGGAATGGTGGTTATGTTTGATACGAGTCTGATATTGGTGCGGGGTGGGCCGCCCGCTCGGCGGGGAGAAGGGTAAAGGGCCATGCACCACCTGAATGGAATAGGGTTTGTCTGAAGGAGCACCAATACCCTGCTGATGTGCTATTATCATAATTATCATAGCTAGGATTGTTCCTTTGGGAAACTGCGCTGTGTTGAAGGGAGGGATGTTTATGTAGGTTTACATTACCGGTAGACTATATACTGCCCTATCATACCTGTAATCCTATGTTATTCCACGGTATTGTGCTCGTCCTCTACCACGTTGCCTTCAGACCCTGCGCTGGTAACAGAGGCGAAAAAGGATGGAATAATTCTTTGCTTCATGAATAATTCGACAGCTGTGGCGTAGTGAGTCCTGATGGGGAGGTTCCGGGATTGGAAGGCAGGATTTAGAATCAGAAGTGGTTACGGTTGTTCTGCAAGCATCACAGTCCTTTTGCACGGTTCGAGTGCTGTAGTGACAGGGTATTCTGCTTCATTAAAGAACCGTGGGCATTGTCGAGCTCACGGGCAAGAAAAAACTTCTCCACCCTCTCCAGTTGCCTGGGCCTCTCCACCTTTACCTACTTCCTCCTCCTCCTCCTCCTCCTCCTCCGCCGCTGTCCCCCCGAACCCCCCCCCTGTCCGCCCTCCTCCTATCCTATCATTGGCCTTCTTCCCTTCCCTCCCTCCCCCCCGCCTCCCCAACTACCGGTATCCATCACTACCACTATTACGATACACTAAGCCCCAACGAATTCTCCGAGCTTTCAGACTTACTTCCGCGTGGCCGATCCCCCCAACTCAAAACCAGAGACGGTTACAGCTGACGTTCAGCACGTCTACTGCCGAACGGTGCCGTCGACTCTCGTACTGTAGCCGGCAGCTTCTTTACAGGAATCAGGAGTTTTCTGTGCTTGGGGTTTTCCCTTGCGACTCCGCTGCCACATTTTTCCCGCCCGTCTCCACCTTCCCTCATCCCGTGCCTCAGCATTTCAGCGCCCCAGGCTGCTCTGCCTGTCTGGGGTATTATCGGGTTCGTTGTCTTTTGGATACTGGGTGTCGGCGCGAAGTATAGGTCGGGATGGAGGGAAGTAGTTCTGGTGGGGGCGGCGCTGGTGGTGGCTCGGCTGCGAGCAGTAGCAGCGACTTTGTATGTTGCCTTATTGTATCTTCTTCGTTCCTGGAGGTGAACGCTAATTGTTCTTTTCCTCATGCCTTCTCTAGGTCCGGAAACTTTACAAGTACGTGCCAATCCTACCGTTGCTAGAGTGTGCGGAGCGTAATAACTTTTTGGCTATAGAATGTTGGAGGACCCTACACATCGACAGACTGTTCGATGGAGCGACACCGGCGATAGTTTTATAGTTGTAGATGTACGAGACCACTTACCCTGCCCCTCAGAGGAGCCACCTTCCAGTCCGCCATGATTAACCGCATGAGTACCGGTAGACCAACGAGTTCACGAGAAACATACTCCCGAATCACTTCAAGCACAGCAATTTTGCCAGTTTTGTGAGACAGCTGAACAAGTGCGCCCTTGTATCAAAAACCGGACCTTTCTTCCAAGCTAATGCCACGGCAGGTATGATTTTCACAAGATTCGGAACAATGAGGAGGGTGGAGGCAATTCTTATGGGCACCAGGTTCTGTCCCGCGCAATACTTACGCAAGAGGGGCGTGTTCTAACCGGAATGGGGTATCAAGACTTGGGAATTCAAGCATCCAGATTTTCAGATGAACAACATAGACAACCTTGATAACATCAAGAGGAAGGCACCCGCACCGCGGAAGCAAGCGCAGCAGAACGAGGACGGGGGCGTGCAACAGATCGAGGACTTGAACAATCAGGTGCAGGAGTTGTCGAAAGCCAACCAGGAGATGACCGGCCAAGTTCAGAGCTTAGCCAGCGATAATCATACCATCATTCAGGAATTGGGCACAATGCAGCATGTGCTTCAGCAACACGAGGAGCGGGTTAGGATACAAGAGAAGGTGATAGATAACATCATGGTGTATCTCCAGAAGCTGGACGATGAGATAAAGGAAATGAGACCTGTTGGTGGTATTCCATCTCAACAGAGACATGACAATGATGGAAGACCTTCGTCTTCTGTCTCTCCGGAGGACTCTGTGACTGGGCCTGCTACGAGTGCTTCAACTTCTCGAGAGCACCTATCAACCCCGCTGCAACGGGCCCAGATGCTTCTTAACAACCCTCCCGAGATTCTAGATGCCAGCCCTTCCATGGGGCGATTTAGAGGTCTTTCCCAATCGGGGCCTTCTGAGACAGCTGATTATAGCAATTTTGGGGCTGTGAATCGCCTCGCACAGAATGGCCAACGACCAGCGGCATTGCCCAACGGCATACCTACTGTTCCGGAGGATGGGAGTGCCACATTTGCAATCAGCCCGGGAACCACAATGGTAGAGCCTTTCTCCAACGGGAATCTTGGATATCACATGCAGCCGCCACAGCATGAGAATGGAAGCCTAGGCATACGCGGAAGACCGGCTCCTAGCCGGAAACGCAGTACGCCATTTGTCCCCCCGAATTGGCAAGCCCCGCCTAGAGTATTACTGGTTGAGGATGATCCGACTTGTGCACGGATTGGATCTAAATTTCTTCAGACGGCGGAGTGCAGCGTTGACATGGCAGTGAGGTTCCCTCTCCTATATTATGAACGGGCTCAAGTGACCGTTGAATCGTCCCGCACAATGTTTTCGCTCCCGGATCTCCTTTCTATGACTTTCTCGCCCGTTCCTTTGTTTTAGTCCTCGCTGGACAAGCACTACCTGCTTTTATGGCCTCTCTATGTCATTCATGGTGACTAACTTTCTGTTAGAGCAATGGGTTAATAGCCGTCAATAAGCTCAATAATGGGAAATATGATCTTGTTCTCATGGACATAGTTATGCCGCAACTCGATGGTGTCTCTGCGGCTTCCCTAGTCAGACAGTTTGATAACACGACCCCGATTATAGCGATGACATCCAACATTCGCCGAGACGATATCAATATGTATTTCAATCATGGTGAGACGTTTTACCTATAGCAGTTGGAAGTGGGGTTATTGAATACGTTTTAGGAATGAACGATGTATTACCTAAACCCTTTACCAAAGAAGGGCTGCTCAACATGCTTGAAAAATATCTTTCGCATCTCAAGGCCAACGAAGGGCAAATACCTACGCAGCTGAATTTCAATGAGCACGACAATAGGATTATCGAAGAACAAGGGACTATTATGGCCAAAAGTGGACTTAAATATTCCCAGTCGCCTTCAAAGTCACCACAGGGTACGGTATTGTACGGGCGCCCACCCGCTGATGCGGGGGAAGATCCAATCGGGGAAACGCCCTCGGCTGTTGAAGACGCGGCCTATGCAAACATCATACCAGGTTACTTGGGCGACAGTACTGCGCCTCGCGCAACCGGTGCCTTTCCCTCCCCTGGAACACTCGCCCATGGAGTCCGGCGGGGGGCTTCAGAAATGGATGATAGCCAACAACAGCTCATGAGCCTCGACTCTAAGAAGACTCGTTATTAGGATTTTGTTAGCAAGTTGGGCTCTTGTGTTCTTTCACCTCCCTATAGTCTCTCTTTATTCTGGAGGGATCTTTGCGGCCACGGGCACGGCCATCTCGTTGAGGCGATTATGGTCATCTTTGATTATTTCTTCCCGTGCCTCCGTTGATTGGGATTTCGATAAGCTGGGTGATTTCATCGGTCGCACGTGCCTCTTCAGCAGGGGAGAGGTTATCCCGCTCTTGATGACATGGTGTTTTTCTTCTTTCCCCTTTCCCTTTCCTCTGGAACCCTGGCGTTTACTTCAATTGGTCTTAATTTCTTGCTCTTTTTTCGATGGCCGCTCCTTGTGCCCCTTGCACAGGTTCTACTGATGCAAATGTTTCTGCAACTTATTCACTCCTCAATCACGTTGTTGGCGGTTGGCGGTTGGCGGTTGGCGGTTGTGCATAGCTACTCGGTTTCCCACTCCTCCTTATCCTTATCCCTTTTCGCTTTGTTGGTTTTTTTTCTTTTTCTTTTTTCTTCTCTCCTTGTAAACTTATTGGTTGGATATCTGCCCTTGTGGGGTTCGGGAGTTTCTACTGGCTTAATACTGGATGATTGGATCACTAGGGAAGGAGAGCCTCGTTCGAGTCTTAGAGAGAGAGAGGGGGGGGTAGAGGGTGCGAATGGCCTGACTCTTGGGATTTGATTAGACTGTAAAAGCATGCTAATGCATACCTATCGCGCTCGAGTACCAGAGCACTATAAAACTGCGCTCATTAGTCACCAGATATGGAATGGGCGTTGGGCAATGATACTCAAGTAAAGGGACAACCACCTTTGTTGTAAGCTATAATACAGTGCCATGCGCTAGGCTCAACAGCGAGTTAGGGGAATCTGGCGGGGAAGGATTGGAAGATCGGTGTGGGGGATTTTTGGGGCGGGGATGGGGGGGGGGGGTGAGTACCTAAGTACCGGTACTGGAGGGAACAACATTCTAGATATCATATTTCAGCTCATAACTTACCGCCAGTCCAAGTACCGGCCCTCTAGAGTTATGCTTTCGGCCAATTTTCCTGGGGCTGGAGGCCTGGTCAATCATCAGAGAGAGTCATAAAATTTATGGGAGTCATAGGAGGTATGGATTTATCATGTCCATTCATAAATTGAAATGGTTCGTTGCTGTTTTCTGGTATCATCCTGACACTGTACCCGTGCGGTAGAGGTGCGGTAGTTGGTGACCCTTGGAAGAGTAACATAACGCCACCCGCTGAGTCACAGGAACCAGGTGTGCGGTACAGTACTCGTAGCATTCGCTCTTGGCTGAGCCTGTGGCTGTGTCCTCCACAGGGAAGAAGGGAGGAACCATGGCCCTCTGACGAGTTACTCTGCAGCTTCCTTGCCCTCCTCCGCCCTGTTACCGTAAGTTACCTTACTGCTTACTTACTCTTAGTGCCCCAAGACACTTGTAGCCTCCTCTTTTTCTCTCTCTCCCGCCTCTGCTTCCTCTTCCTCCTCTTCCTGATCTTCGTTGTCTGTCTATTTTCCTTCTCACTTTGCTTGGCCTTCCCTGTCCAGGCAAGAACCGTTCTGCTGTGCTTGACCCTGAACTCTTCGGCGTGCTAGCTCTTCGTCCTTTTCAGCTCCTAGATACCCTCTCCTTGTTGTCCTTTGACCTTTCGTGGCCTGCTGATTTCACACGACTTATACCCCTCCTATCGTCTCGCTTTATACCGTACCACCTTCGTTCACCCTCTACCTTAATCCTCTGTTGCTCTACCGCTCGTGTTTTCCGCAGCCATAAACGGTGTCGTTGTTTGGTCCAAGATCCAAGCAACGAGCCCTAACACCTCTTGTCACAACGGTTGCCTCTACCAAAAAACGAAAGGCTGCGGATCAGGTCGAGGCCGACAACAAACCGGCTCCGAAAAAAATAACTCCGGTCGCTCCATCCACAACCTCAGTAACCACTACAATGTCGAGCGACGATGAATTTATGTCGGACCAGCTGTCGGACGATCAGTACGAGGATGATGACTATAGCCTGGGCGAGCTCGGTACGTCATGGTGGACTCAACTCCCGTTTAGCTTTTCCATTGGATTACTGACATGTCTTTCGAAGAGGAAGATGATGACCGCTACTTGGACGACGTTAAGGACGAGAAGCCATCAAAGAAGGCGTACGAAGTCGATTACAAAGTTCATTCTGATGAGCAAATCCGTGCTGCCCAGCAGATACAGATCGAAGAGGTTTCTAGTATCCTGGGTCTTCCGGGGGAGCAGTGTGCCATATTGCTGCGTTTTTTCAAGTGGCAGAAGGATCGACTCATTGAAAAGTATATGGATAACCCGGATGAGGTACTGGAGGATGCTGGCTTGGGACCGGGGTACGAGGCCCCGGCCGTGCTCGAGAAGTTGAAAGGATTTAGCTGTGAGATCTGTTGTGATGACGAGCGTGGCCTGGAAACATATGCCATGAAATGTGGCCACCGTTACTGCGCGGATTGCTATCGGCAGTATATTGAGTCGAAGATAAAAGACGAAGGGGAAGCGAGCCGCATAGAGTGCCCTGCCGAGGGCTGTTCCAGGATTGTGGGATCGAAAACTGTTGATCTCCTTGTCCCTTCCGATGTTAACTATAGGTATGTTCTTGAGACCGCGCGATTGCGCATGACAGCCTCGCTTACCCTCGGTTTAGATACAAGGAACTTCTTAACCGCACTTACGTCGACGATAAGCCGAATCTGCGATGGTGTCCTGCCCCTAACTGTGAATATGTGGTGGATTGCGCGATAAGACCGGCACTGCTTCATGCAATTGTTCCAACTGTCCAATGCAGTTGCAACCACCAGTTCTGTTTTGGATGCGGTTATGCGGACCACCTTCCCTGCCCGTGCCTCCTCGTCAAGAAATGGTTGAAGAAGTGTGAGGACGATTCCGAGACGGCCAATTGGATATCCGCAAACACAAAGGAGTGTCCGAAATGCATTTCTACAATAGAGAAGAATGGAGGCTGCAATCATATGACTTGGTGAGTTGCTAGATTTTCCTTCTGTTGTTGAATTTACCTAATTGAGTTGCTTAGTCGAAAATGCAAGCATGAGTTTTGTTGGGTTTGTATGGGACCATGGCAGGAACATGGCACTAGCTGGTACAATTGTAACCGGTTTGAGGAGAAGAGCGGGTCTGAGGCTAGGGATCAGCAAGCGAAATCTCGTGCGTCATTGGAACGATATCTTCACGTAGGTTTTGAGTTGGCATAACCCTTTACGGTTTGGACTGACATCTCGGTTGCAGTATTACAATAGATATGATAACCATGACCACTCAGCAAAATTGGATAAGGATCTTTATGTTAAGACCGAGAAAAAGATGACGACTCTGCAATCATCCTCCGGTTTGTCGTGGATTGAAGTTCAATACCTCGAGGCCGCCTCCAAGGTTCTTCAACAGTGCCGCCAAACTCTCAAATGGACCTACGCGTTTGCCTTTTATCTGGAGCGGAACAATCTTACCTACATTTTTGAAGATAACCAAAAAGATTTGGAGATGGCAGTCGAGACATTGAGTTCACTCTTTGAGATGCCGACCGATCAACTTGCCAACGCCAAAAAGGAGATGATGGACAGAACCGCGTATGTTAATAGTCGGCGTATAATACTCTTGGAAGACACGGCGAAGGTGCTTGCGGAAGAGAAGTAAGATTCCCCTGCTCTCGGTATCGGGTGATTGTAGACCCTCATGCTGACAACGTTGATTTACAGCTGGAAATTTACGGTTGATTTGAAACAGTAAGACTGCGATAGATGTCAATCTCCTAGCCACTCGAGTAGAGCTTGCCATTTCTTGTTTGTTTGTTTTCTGTTGTGGTTTGGGCCGGTGGGTGTTATTATGGGTTGGTCGGTGGACATTTCCTTACTGCGATAGGCTCGTCAAGCAATTAAATGTGGAAAGTAACAGCTTTTAATATTTTCGCTTGGAATTCCTTCTCTTCGGCCAGTGCTGTGCTTTAGTCCTCCGGTCGAGTGGAGGATATAGGGCCCTACTTTGCGCTGATTGTGCCCATATTTTGAATCTGTTTCATAGTGGAGTCTTTTTTTTTTCTTCTTTTCATTTCTTTTGACTGAGCATGGAAATGGAATCTACATTGGAATACAGGAAGGGAATTGGTGAACACGATGGCGAAGGAGGGGTTATTATACACATTTTGCTTCCACTTTTTGTGCCTCCAGATTGTGTTTTGCTGCTCTTCATTGGTTTTTTTTTTTCCCTTTCCTTTTTCATATTCCCAATCCTTTGCCCTCTTGCAACCACCCTCCAATACTCATCTCGCCCGGTCGATCAAATCGTGCGCTGTCGCTCCTTCCTTTCTTTTTTTTTTCTTCTTTTTTCTTTTTCATTTTTCTCTCTCTTTTTCATTTTTCTCATTTTAAGTCCATACTTTCCCTTTTCGCTTTTGCTGGGTCTTGGTTGTTCACCCTTTGAGCGGCGGAGCTTCTTCTGATAGGGAGAAAGGACTGAAATGTTTTACTTAGATTGAGGAGTGAAGTGGCCAAAGTTGAACCCGCCAAAGTCACACACACGTATATGGTAATTAGGCTACGGTATACCGATTTTTTTTGTTTATGATACCAGTAGAGAATAGTCTCTTATTGTACTTAACGGTAATCTCTGGGATGTTCAGGATTCTGTACTCGAGTAGGTGGTTATATTTTTTCTTAGGATTCCTCTCAATGGGACTGAGTTGTGTATCAAGATTTAAAGAGATTTGGTTGGAGTGCTTTGTCGATGCTAGTATCGTAGGCTATCGCATGTCGGAATGACGCAGCGTGAGGATTTCACAAGTTTTGGTGCCTGTTACAAGCACAAGTACTGCATTATTAGTCAGGGCCGGTCCGGCCGGAGCGGTAGGCGACGATTCTATCATATTATCATATCATACTTGGAGAAATGGTTGTCTTGGCATCTTCGAAACGGAATATAACGGTCGTTTGTAGACAATGGGGAAAGGGAACGGAACGGTGGTACTGTACTCGAGTACTTGTAACCAGACAGGCCCTTAATCTTCCCTGTCATGGGTTACGCCCGCTGTAGCATGATCGAAAAGCTTACTTATATCATGACACCCTAACCTACAAGCCTTGCTGTTTGTTCATGCTCTATCTTCCACCTCCCCCCAGTCACTTGCTCGTAGGGCGGCTCTGTTCGAGTTCAAAAGCTTCACTTCCCTCTCTCACCTTGCTGCTTACAGCACCACCCGCCTACTCCCCCGCTCCTCCACCTCGCCTCTCCACCTGCCTTGCACTTGTGCCCGCGAAAATGTACCCCTCCCGCAATCGATCAGGAGGCTATGGTGCCCGTGGAACCTATGAGATCACACCCATGAAGCCTAGCGAGCATTCCCCAACTTTGCTGGGGAGGTGGAACGTCCAAGACCGACCGCTGCCTGAGAGAACAGCTATCAAAGCCATCCATGTCTACGACTTTGATAACACACGTAAAGATTCCAACTTCCCATTATATGGAAACCATGGTCACTGACTGACATTTTGTTTCCGGCACAGTTTTCAAGTCACCCCTTCCTAATGCAAAGATCTGGCACGCTAGCGCACTCGGTCATCTGATGAATCATGATTTCTTCAAAAACGGAGGTCCTATTTACCCCAAACGAATCCCATACTTTTTTTTTTTCCCATAGCTGATTGGATTCTATAGGTTGGTGGCATGATTCACGGATCCTTGCGGCTACAGGCGGGGGCCTCGAGGTTGAGGAACCACGGAGTTGGCGAGGCTGGTGGAACGAACAGGTTGTGTCTTTAGTTGAGCTCTCCATGCAACAAAAGGATGCGCTCACCATCCTTCTCACTGGCCGTTCTCTGGCTGGATTCGTTCCACTTATCAAACGGATTGTTGCTAGCAGGAAACTTGATTTCGATATAATCGCGCTGAAGCCTGAGAGAGGGCCAGGTGATGAAGATATCAAGAGTACCTTTTATTTCAAGTGCATGTTCTTGAACGATCTCCTCAACACCTATATCCATGCCGATGAGGTCAAGATTTATGAGGACCGCGAAAAACACGTGAGGGCGTTTGAATCATTTCTCAAGGATTACATTCGGACCAATTGTCAAAATAATACGCCAAGAATCGGCTTGACGACGGATGTGGTTCATATCGCCGAGGAATCTGTGGGTCACTTCCCCGCAACTTCAGGCAGCATATCCTAATCTTGATTTGGTGAATGTAGACACTTCTAGATCCAGTCACGGAGGTTAGGGAAGCCCTGAAGATGGTTGAGGATCATAACCATATTGCCTCTGGCGGGTCTAGCCGCTTGGTCATCAACAAGACTGTCAGTTACACTGGTGAGGCCACATTGAGGATTTATCTATTGGGGCACTTGGCGGGTAATTGATATTTGCCGTCACAGGTTATCTTTTAGCCCCCGCAACTACCTCTCATTTACTCAACACCTTGAACATCCCTGGCCTTGCCCGTAACCATAAGGACATAAGACTTAATGCGACTGGAATCCTGATATCCCCTCGCGTGGCTGATAACCGTGTGCTGATCAACGCCGGCACCTTAGGAACAGTAGTTGACTTTGTGGTGACTGGATGGGGTCACTTTGAAAATAAGGTTTGGGCAGCATCAGTACAGCCCTTGGATCCAAATTACAAGGCTTACAGTGGTGAGTATGCGTTTCACCATTGCCGAGATTGTGTCTGACCCGTTCAAAGTATTTGATGGTCATCGCCCGGTAATCATACTTGCGATTCGTCGTGACGGGAAACCCAGTGATGCCCAGAAAATCACGACCTGGCAGCCGGTTCCTAATGGCAACTTTCCCGTTAGAACAACGATCGCTGAGAAGGCCTATCTTCACGTCGATGACGAGCCCTACCAGTCTGAGGGTAAGTAAAGGAGCCCGAATTCATGGAGCGAAGTTCTAGGACAGTTCACGTAGCCGTCTACTGATGCCCCGGCAGAAAAGCCTGCGCTCCATCCACCACGTCGTGGAAACTTCCAAAGCCGTCATATTTCGTATAGCCAGTTCAGCTCAAACCGCGGCCGCGGTGGTAGAGGTCGTGGACGCGGCTATGGTCCTGGCAATTCTGGGAGAAGAGGAGCCGGCCCGGAGCACAGACAAGAGACTCGCCCGGGAGACAGGAACGGTGGGTACCATGCATACGAGCGCCACCAGCAGGGTACTAGGCCTGTAGAGCCACAGGATATGCAGTTCTTGAGCGAGATGTATGAATAGTGGTGCACTGGGTTGCGTTTTGTCAAGTCCAGGAGGTTGAGTGATGGTGGCTAGTCTCTATATGTTTTTTTTCTTGTCATGGTATGGTTCTGGTTGGTCGGAGTTGTGTGCTGTAATGTACAATAGTATGCACCTTGGATTTGGAGCATTTGTGGTTGAATGGTTATGCTCGAACATGCCTTTGGAGGCCCCTCGCGTATTTGCCGGTGTTAAAAATGAGCTTTCAAATTGCGGGTGATAGTTGATGCAGAAGAGCAAAGGCATAAAATATCAATCGTTCGGATTGACGCCCTGGGGCTCACCATAAATATCCGTTTCACAGAAATGTCTAGTAGGCATTTAGCGTTTCGATTATCCCACTAGGCTCACTAAAGTCCTCGTGCTAGTTGTTTCCTAAGGCCTTTTGCTATTGGATTTTCTTCATCACAAGTGGGGTTTATGGACTCCCAGTGGTGTCCGTGGACCCGGGCGTCTTGCCTCCGTTTGGCATTCGGTGGCATTCCGAGCTCGACCCCACCAGTTGGGGCGAGGTGCGGTGACCAAGTGATGGCTGAAATCAATTACTGTGGAGCTCGGCAGCTTAGCTTGAACAACACCATGAATGATTCAGATGGAGACTTTAGTGTTGGAGGAGGAGGGAAGGGCTTCCGCCTCTTTCCTTCAAGTGGGGCTCAAGGACGGAAGAGGCCGGAGCGATTGACTCGTCAAACTGTGATATGCGGCTAGAAGAGTGAGAGTAGGATGTGCTTGTTCCAAAGTACCGTTCAGGGACAGAAACTACCCCACAATATCAGGTGTGCCTCCAAGAAAATAGTAGATTTCCTTTTTTTTCTTTTCCTTTTTTTGTACGAGAGGAAGAATAAAATAGATAAATATCATACAAATTATTAATTTAATATTTAGTATACCACTATTTTTTTTTCTTTTTTTTTCTTTATAACTGCCTCAATCCTTCCAGGAATGTCCTCCGTCAACCTGTCATAGACGCAGTCGTTCAAGTTCAAGTTTGGTGTCAACTGCTGATGATACAGTCGGATGACAAAAATATTTCCGAACCATCAAAAATTCCCATATTATAGTATTCTGCTTGGTAATAATGATGTTCCATCCTCCCCTACCCCAACCAGTTATGGAGAGCATACAATCATGAGTGAGAATATTAAATACAGGTAGTGGAATACATGTATGTAAAGAAGAAAAAAGAGAAAAAAAATCAATACCTTGCATACTACCCATTTGCAATAATAACTATACAAGCCTGGGAGAGCATACTTCTCTACAGACTTTCCAGATAGTCTGACTCCAGCATCTTCCATATGAATGGAAGAATCTCAGTGAGACCTTTGCAAACTCCCTCCAGTCCTCCTTTTGTATTATTCAATGTCAGGATATATTGTCTGCATCCACTCTTTCAGCCAATACCAAAGGTATTCACTGGCAATTGGGTTCAAATCAGGTGAACATTTAGTGCTGACTATTCTATTACTTCTACTCCTTGCTCATCCTCCCATTCCTTTACCACATCATTCTTATAGACCCTGGAGTTATCTTCCATAAAGATAAACTCAGTATCTGTAATTTCTTGAACCCTTTCAAGTACTGGAGGTAAAAGGTTATGTAAAAGATCATGGCAGACAAATTAGTCTATGGATTGGGCAATTAAAGGTACAAAGACACCACAATATAGATCCTAGAAACACCTCCAAACCATCAACTTTACTCCTGGTCCCTTTTTTTATGTTTGAATACAATCCTTATTCTACTTTTTATATGGGGTACAGAAAACCCATATAGTATGTGGATCCTTACTCTTTTCTATACTACACTGGCATTCATTGCTCTATATCACCTACTTCCAACTCTTCTCAGTCCAATCTACATAGTGTAATACTCAGTATAAGCATGCAGCAGCCTGGTCCTCTGTCAAGTTTGATCTCTTCTTTGCTTGCCATTTTTTAATATCCTCTTTTGAGGAACCATAACAGCTGGGTATAGGACAATTATCATAATGGTGGTTATTTCTCTGCTGCCACTAGTGGATGAACTTTTATACAACCAAGTCTTGTCTTGGGTATGTCAAGAGTGGCAAGATTTTTGCAACATATTGATAGATGCTCCAGAGTCCAATAATTTCACCTTCCTCAATGTCTGACAGGCCTCCAATTCCCGGAGTATTTCTCTTTCATTTTAGGTAGCATTCTGGCAATTGAAGTTGTGGGATGATGTTGCCGGGTTGCTATCTATGATTAGTTTTCACAAATATCATTGCTCTCGTACTGTACATCTACGCTGTCTACTTGTGAAAATCTTGGAATCCAGCGGGACAATTCATAGTCAATTCAGCCCGGGAATCGAGTGGTATTCCATGCTTACAACAATAACAGCACCCAACTTGGTACCACTCAAATCTTGTTAGTTGAAATGCACAAATATCTCCATACTCTCAACTTGGCTAAAGTTCATTCATTCCAAAGCGCCCTCCGCAATCCCCCGGAACCCATCCCATGCTCCCTGCAATGCGCCATACCGAGACAACAGTATATCAGGCGCAGCCGGTACGGTTGTTACTCCATGGCCACAGCCTAACACACAGATTTCTCCCCTAACTTACTTACTTATCCGCATACACCCGGACCGCTTGGGCACTCTGAAGGTAGGGGAAAAAAAAAAATGCAAGCAAGAAATTAGTATTCACCGCCCAAGCAGCAGAGATCCCGTGATAGGAAATGCAGATATTCGAGGTCTCGGGAGTGTATCGTACTGCATCAGTCTGGCTCACGCACTCTGCGAGAGTGATCTGCCCTGCGCTTAGGTGAGGCCCGGATTGTGAGAGTGGGAGTGAGAAAGGCGGATGACGACATCGCCGGATAATCCACTACACCTACCACTATTGTAAGCAAATGTTCTACTCGTAGAATTTTTAGAGTTTGCAGCAACCAGAACTGCTAATGGACAGGTTCCCCGTTGTTCCGAGGGACGCCAGGCAGATACGACGCTCCCGTCATTGGCCTACCAGAAAATACTCGTACAGACACTCGTGCCCATAGCAGAGGCGCAGGTAATAGCTACGCTTCCCAGGCACAGTGCTGCTTGCGCTCACAACTCCCAAGCCCGACTGAGCAGCTGTAGGGCGTGGAATCACTCTTAGCCATCTTGTTGACGGAGGTTACTGGAGGTTATCCTCATGTTCGTTATGGTATTGGGTTAGGTCCAAGCAGAGCTTGGCAGCCGGTCATGTATTTCCCACCTTTATAATATATCATAGCTTCGTCCGTAGTTGAGAAAGACGGACCACCTCTCTCCACACACACACCCATGCCTACACATCTGCCGTGCCACCCCGATTCCACTCTTTGAATCCTAATAGTAAAAATCCGCAGCCCGAAAGCTTCCCCCGGTATTCATGTTACGCCTTGAGTATACGTTTGTTATGCAGCCCGACTTGGACATAACTCTAGACCAAGCTCCGCGGTTACTAAGCGTCCAACTACCTTTCCCGATATTTGTGGGCTTTGCCTCGGCCTTTGTGGGCTCTGGTGCCCGGTACGTATGTCCTATCGGCCCGCCAGGTTATAGATACTTGAAGTAATTTAGGTAGGACAAACCCAGTATCTCCACAACCAGTGCCGGACTGGTTGGGCCGGACGCTCGGGGTCACTCCATGTTCCCATTTCCTCCCTATGTTTCTTGCATCCCTGCTCTCCCCCCACCCCTCTATACCCTCTTATACTTCTTGCCCGCGGCCACCTTTTGGGGCGTTTCCAACCTTCTAGTATTAGGCAGGCGTTATTCTAGAACGCCGGACGGGTGTACTCAATATCTCTCCACCCAAGGCCTGTGCTGGGCACAGCGAAGCTCCAGTCTCAACCAAGTAATATTCCTTTGTTGGTGCAAATCAAAGTTAAAGATCTCACCCCTGCCCTCCAATTCCGCTTTGCACCCTTTTTACTCTCTGCTATCCCCCAGACACCATCCCTCATGCCTAAATATCCGCCCCTACGGTACCCCCACACACCTTTCGCTCCCCCCATCATTAGCTGTTTTACTAGTGATGTGGCTAGGATGCATGCGTCTCCCTCTAAGCAAAAACTCAACCTCCCCCCGGTGTAAAACGCCATGACACAAGCCATACCCCAACGTCGTTCATTTCAAACAGCTGCTCGAATTTGGAACCTCCCTTCCTTTATTAGTCCCTTCTTTTTTTTTCCTTTCCTCTCTATTAGCTTACTCTCTACCCCTTGGAGCGCACATATCCCCTACTCACCCCTTTAAATCACATACTCTCACTCGGAAGGCTCGTTCCACCTAGATCGATCCCCCTCCTACCATCATCACGCTGGCGTTCTCCACCCGCCCTGCTACCTTCCTTTGCTCCTAGCGTGCCGCACTACGTGTCAGTCCTCACAACCACCCCGAATTGACCTTAATAAATACTGTCCGAATCCCTTCTGTACAGGACCCAGCAAGAAGCACCCATAAACTGGAGAAAAGCCTTATAGGGTAGGTTGGCTGTGCACACCTGAGCGCCCACACTGCGAGCACATTCTCCCTCAAATCACAAGTGCTTCTTGCTGGATACAAGCACGCTACTGGGCCCGCCTTGCTTTCGCTTCTGGAGGAACTCCAGATACGGTAGGCAGCAGTTTTCTCGGATCAGGGCAAGCCACAAACAGGGCAGGCTGACCAACCACTCCGATAGAGAGGCCTGAGCTCTGCTCGCTGGATACTCCCGTGCCGGATCAACCTCTTCCCTTCCAGCAGCACGCCGGTACTATCGGCGGGTGGCACCGGGCGGCGCCCTTGATTCGCTTTGTTCTACCCACCGTGTCTCACAATATCCTTGGTCTCGTTGCTGTAGGGCTCCCCTAGATTTGCCATTACCGGCACGCACCACTCCCTCCTATAAAGTTAAGAAACCCTCTCCCCTGTCACCCCGACCCGCCGGGTTTCTACTCTCAGCACTCGACGAGGCCGGTTCCACCGGAGGAACCGCCTTAGTGATGTTGCATGACCACGCCGTCCTATTGCCACGAGACTTCGATTTTTTGGACCCAAACAATCCCCTCATTCGTGCCCGAATTCTGCCACCTCTTGACCCCTAGCGGGTAATCTGTCTGCCGATGCAGATCTTGAGAACCTAGCGGTAGTTTCATAAAGGCATGGTCCTACCCACACTGTGAAGGCCTGGCAAATAGAATTCATGACACTAGGAGTACTCTCTTTTTTTTCCTTTCTTTTTTCCTTCCCAGTGCGAGATTCTGAATACATACCGGTAAGTAGGGATAAACTGTGCTCCTGCAAGTGAATGTCTAAATGGTATTCGGTGACTCAAGCATCCTACTACCCGTAAAGGGTTCACCGGGGGAACTCCAATTCGATACAGTAGGATTTGGAAAGAGCGGCCCCGCCTAGAGTTAGCTCCTCTGTTTTTTTCCCAGAAAGGAAAATATGATAAAGGCTTTCGTGTCAGTCTGGCTCGCCCGCTCCGGCTATGCACCCCCCAGATTCTATTGTATTATTTGGCCTTCATTTCCTCTATTCTGGCGTTCAGCACGCCACGAAGGCATTACGTCGAGAGCTTGGGCCGTGCTGGATTTTTTTCCCTCTGCTGGCTGTGCAACCCTGCATACCTTCTCAGTCCATTCCAAGGCACCGGCTTTGGAGGGTAAAATCTCATGACGCTGTTGGTTACAGTGAACTGTGAACCGTCAGGTACCACATCATGTTACTATGCCCCGGTAAGGTTGGAATCAGAAGCGCTTTATGCAGACCAACCGGGCATGAAACCTCACCTCCACCCCAAGATCCAGCAATTGGCAGGAGCTGCTCTGAAACAGCCATACTCTCCAATGGCCGTATTGGTGGCTATCCTCCCTAACCCGCTTGGACCAGAACTGATATAAATGACGTGTGCTTCTCAAGTCACAGCGGTGTATTCCCCAGTCGGAAGCGTTTTCAAAACCGGACCGGTAACCCATCTCTCCGTGAGACAAGCACCCGAACCAATAAACAACACAATAAAATTCGAACCCATTGCAGCACGACTCGGGTAGAAGAGTAAGCCCACAGTTCTCCGTTCGTTCCCGAGAACAAACGCCGCTGCGAAGATAGGTAATAATAAACACAAAACAAGCGCAAGCACCACAACCTTAGGTACAGTTATTGGGGGGTACGGGACGAGATTCCTGAGATTTCCTCGCAACCACGAGCGAAACTTCTCCCCGTTTCTCTCCTTTTTTCCCTCTCCTTTTGCTTTCAGATCCTATGCGCCTCGTCCTTCCTTTCCTATGTGCCGTGGTTCGTCCAACCACGGTGGATGAAGCGATCGAGGCCCTCGCTTCACGAACGAAATTTGTCAACAGAAACACGGCGGCCGACCCTGGAGATGGCTGGTAAAAAAAAAGAGTAACTCTGCACGTGCATTCTCGAGTGACGTTGGGGCAGAGCCGGGGGAACAAGGGTCCAGCACCCAAGCTTCCCATCTCGGGGGTCCGAGACACCATCAGAGGAGTCCCATTGGATCGAACTAATCCGGTGATGGTACAAACACGGGTATGGGGGTGGCAATTGGTGGAGGAGGGGTGCGGCCAGTGCCTTGGTCAATCGACGGGACCAACCCTGAGCTCAGATTCACTGAGATCTTTGGGAAGTGGGGTTACAAGAAGTAGATTTAAAGTTTAAAGATTCAATTGGTGGGAGACAAATGCCGGTAAGTTTTGTTTTTCCAAACCCGTACGGAGAAATAATAATGGAAGGAGAGAGACAAAAGAAATCCAGATCTTGCTTCCTTATTGTACCGCACTTTGTATTAAGGGATGGGTTTCCCCCTCCTTCTTAGCTAGTTCCTTCCTTTCTGCGCCCCCCCCTCCCCCCTTTCCCCCAATATTAATCATAGGAAAGAGGGAATTACAAGTTGAGACACAACGAGGGTCAAGAAAAGGGAAGGAAGGGAAAATCAAAAACACAGGAAAAAAAGAAAAGAGAAGAGAAGGGAGAGAGAAGGGAGAAAGGGGAACTGGTGTTGGTTTAGATTAGGCTCTCATCCCATCGGCGAGTAACTGGTTACAAGAAGCTCGATCTCGATAGATTTCGCTACACTTGATTCGGTAGGAGAAGGCATGTGCTCCTGCAGACCCTTGCCGTCCAGATCTCGCGTATCTGAGCGGAATCGGAGAGTCAGCTTTAAGCTTCGGAGGCAAGTTCCGGGAAAAGGGAGCCAAAGCTGGGAGGGAGGATCTCTGATCTCTATTGTCAATAAATCTCCTAAGGCGGGAGATGCTCTTCACGCAAGGAACCAAAAAAACCCTATGTTTGGGTGCGTGTGTTGCATCGCGTGGACCCGAGATGGGCCATCAACAACAACAGCAGCATTTTGACATCACGAACCTGGATCACATGAGCACGAGAAGTCTCCAGCCATACCAAGCCGAATAGTCCACAATTCCTCTCTTTTTTACCATCATAGACTCGATTCACTACCCACCCCCGGTCCCGAGTACACAGAGAAGGACCGAAAGCACCACTCAATTTCCGGGGCAAGTAAATCCCGCCTTTTCAAGTCCAATATTTTTTAGCCCATCCTGGTGCCCTTAGCTACGGTACGGTTGCTGGCCGAGGCTATGTCGTCAGGCGATCGGTTTTGCCGTCGGATAGCTCTCCCGTACGCTCAACTGCAGTTGGTAAAAGGAATCCTCGGTCCTTCCCATTTCCCCTCCCTCATTCTTTTTCCCTTTCTCTCTTTCCTTCCGCTTGCTCTCCTGCTCCTGGCGGGGAAAATAAAAGGACTCATCTTCTGTCCCCCGGCATGGTTTCTTGTTACAGTCCGCATCAAATTCCACGTCTGGAATGGCTCCACAGGGACTGGGGCGAAACACTGCCAAGCTTCCACGACAACACCGTGCGAACAATTGAACCTTTCCCTGCGATCTGCGTTCTTGCAGGAGTAGCGTACGCATCGAGTGTGCTAAACGATAGGGCACGGTACGGTACTCTACTTGCGGTAATCATTGCACCCTGCCGACTTGAGGCGCCCCTTCCCTTCCCTTCCTCCTTCTCCGCCGAAGAAGCAAGAATGGAGAGGCAAGGAAAAAAAAAAAGAAAATAAGGAAATGAAAAAAAAAAAAGAAGAAGGAAAAGCACCCTTGGAAGCGTGTGAGTTGGGTGAACCGGTTTTGCCAGTCCTGTTACCGGTATGTGAATTGTGGTGTGTCGGCTGTTGGTCGGACTGAATGTGGGGCTTACAAGAAATACCGGTAGGTGGTGAAGTTGGGGGGGTGTGGGTGTGTGTGGGGGGTGTGTGTCCGTCTGTCTGTTTGGAGGAGGAGCAGTGAGCGAGTAACCGACATACTGAGCAACCTCGTGCGAGTCCTGACTGGACTTGATATATGCGAGCGTGTGAATGTGTGTGTGGTACTGTGTGCGTCTGGTGTATGGATGTGTGTGTGTGAGCCAGAGGGCGATTGAATGAGGGCGAAAAGAGTGAGGGCGTGAGGAAAAGCTGGAGTATGTGCCAGCAGTGTCCGTCCCTCGGTCTGTCCTGTCTGTTTGTGAGCGGGTTCGGTCGTGTGTGGTGGTGGGTGTGCGCTGTTTGGGAACCACCCAGTAATGCTTTCCTATTCACTACAGTTGCTCCTCCCTTCGCTCCTACCACTCTACCACTACCACCTTCCCTCACCACCACTGCCCCCTTCCTCCCTCCCTTGAATGTTTTTTTATTTCTCCCCATCCCCTCCACTTCTACCAACACCACCCACCCCCTTATCCCCCTCAGTTTCTCCCTCTGCCCGCTTCCTCCGCTCCTCTCCCCATCATCATCATCCTAGTCACAAACTCCCAACCCGCAGCCTTCTACATCCTCCAATCCCCGACAATCTTGTCCCTCGCTCCATTCGACCCATTCTTCCGCTATCCTCATACACGCTGTCCTTCCGTCCTTCAGTCAGCGTCCAGGGGCACCGTCACTAGCACTCTCTCCTCGCTGTTCTCCCCACCATTCCGATATCGGTACTTGTCAACCCTCGTTCTTCCTATCCGTGGTCCGCTCTATTGACGGGCCAATCCACCCTCGCCGGGAAAAGGCAAAAAAAAAAAAAGAGGAAACACTGGAGAATAGGAAATAAATAAAAAATAAAAAAAGTAAGAAAAAAGAAAAGAAAAGAAAAAAAGGAAACGAGAGAAAAAAAGAAAAAAACAAAAAGGTCAAAAGGGATTAACTTACCCCCCCTCCTTATCACTCGCCCCCTCATTCGCCAATCCCCGACGAAACGTCGCCGACGCTTTACCCTCATTCCCGTAACACGTTTCGTGTTGACCAAGGATCCCAATCGTCTTCGTCGTTTTCCTCGCGATAACTACTTGACCTTAACCCCCCTCCTTCGCCCTTCTCTCCTCTCTCCCTTCCTCCCTTTTTCCTCCCCAACAATTCAATCACTCTACATCAACAATGCCTGCCCAGCGTACTTCGCCGCCTACAAAAGCGGTGAAGACTGAAAGGACACACGAGGAAAATCAAGAAAGGTTCGTTTTTCAATCGTATTCCGCCTGCTCTTGCATTAATCCCCCGTCTCTATCTAAACGCTTCTACCCTTGAGAGTCGTATCCTGTCCTGACCTATCTACAGAGCCTACATTGCTGCATCTCGAAGAAGTGACCGAAGCTTAGAGGCTCGTATCGAATCGGCACGAAGAGCCTCTGCCATCCATAAGCGTCGTACTGGTCGAGCACTACGGGTGACCGAGCAAGATGTCATCAACGAAGAGATGTACGAAGAGGAAGAGGACGAATATGTATATAGAGGCCTCACGGCTCACCTTAGGAACGGTAGTCACGACTGGAATCGCCGGCTCCAGGCATATCTACAGAGCCAGTATGCCATGCGTAGTGCTCTGAGCCAGGCTATATCCGGTCAGGGCGGAAGTGCTTCACAGCAGTATCCAGGAATACAGGGTACCTATCAACCTTCGTACATGCAACAGCCCATGGGTGGATCTTACGCAGACCCACCGATACATTCTTCACACATGTCTCCTCCAACCTACCATAGTCTTCGACATCAACCATATCCTTCGCCAGGTACCGGCCAGCGGGGATATCAGAGAGCGATGTCAGTGCAGATGTCGCAGCCCCCATCCATACATCCCCATGGCTATCAGCAGGGGATAGCGTATGGGAACCAGCCCATCTTTGCCCCTTCGTCTACTGCCACCGGCCTTTCGCTAAATGCTCTAGCTGGCCAGTATCCCGCTCAGATTGTGCCTAATCAAACGGGCATGATAACCCCACAGTTCGGTCCACAGGCTCCATCGCAAGCGTCGAAAGCAAACACCCCACTTCCACTCGGTGAGGGCCTTGCCTTTCCGTTCACCACAGCGCTCCCTCCAGAGACACAGCAATTTCTTCAGCCCGGCCTCGACCCCAATGACCCGCTTTACCCAGCTCTGATGGCCGGCCACTCCAATACACCTCTGTTTGGTTTCAACAATGGTGCGAACGATCTCAAATCACCCATATCAGAGCCCACATCATCGACCCAACCAACCGAGATAGACCCCTCCCCCCCGTCGTTCAGTCCGTTGTCATCCGACCAGACAACCCTGGACTGCAGTTCTGAACAGCAAACCCTAAATTCGCTCTTCGACCCATCAGCCGCCCAAACCTCATCACCACTAGAGCAAACACCTATCTCGCCTGTGGGCGATAGCATATCTAATGACAACATGTTTAGTGACTGGAACGACCTCGTAGAAGGAGGGACTTTCTGGAACCTTGAGAGGGTCCAATGATAATATCGAACAAAAAAATCCTGATGAAATAATCGCTGGCCGCAGGGTACATACACTTGTTTTCTTTCCCCCTTTCCTACTCCTTATCTCGTTATTTATTTTGGACATCTTCCGTTTTTTTCTTCGTCTCCTTCTCCCTTTTTCCTTTCCTCATATCATGTTTTTTTACGCTTTAACCGGCACGTAGCGGCATAGGAAACATCTCTTATTATTATCCAGTATGGTTTCTTCGGGTCTTTTGCTAATTGGATTTCCTTACTTTCCTTTTCCTCACCTTCCCATTTCTGAGCCTAGGCGTCGCTTTTCTCCCATCGCTCTTTACCTTCATGCCATTTCCGTATCATAGCATGGGACTTGAATTTCAGATCGGTAAAATACTCGTGGGAAAATCAGTTTTCAGTTTTCCCCCCCTCTGTTTTTCTCAATGCTTTTTCCTCTATTACTTACTTTTTGTCAAGCGGGGGGTCCCAGGCGCCATGTTACCATTGTTCTTGAACCATGTTTTCCTCTATATTTTTCCTTGCTGTCTCCCATCGCCTTTCTCGCAGGGGAGAAAGCGGGAGAGGAAAAGCCAAAAAGTTCGATTCGCACCTTAGCCTCCTCCTCTCTTCAAAACCTCATTATTTCCTTATTCCTTAATGCTTCTTTCGCCCTTGCGCGCTTTTTAAGCATGGGTGGTATTGGTCCGGACTGTATTGGACTGGATAGGTCGATACCCATCTCTTCCGGTGAACCGGGTGTTTATCCCCGGCCCCTCCCAATTTCATTCCTATCTTCTTAACACCGAAGGAGGAATAAAATGAACAGTAGGATATGGAACGAACGGGGGAAACTGAAGAGTTGTGAATGCTTTTCCCTTTACTTTACTTTTATTATTGACTCTTTCTTTTATTATCTCTCTTCTTTCCCTTCACTCTATCTTATCGCAAAGGGTTATTAGATGTATATAAAAACATTATGGCAAGGCATGCAGACGGATTGTCTGATAAACAACGCTTCTCTCTTCTCTTCGTTTCCTTTCCTTTTTCCTTGGCAGGATGGCATAACCACACGGCATAAAGCACCACTCAAACCCCATCCAGCCCATCCAAACAGGCATATTCCGCCAAATGATACCGGGTAGGCTGATACCCGACCAGCCCACCAACCACTTCCATAAACCCAGACGAATCATTCCCTTCCCTTCCCAACCCCACTTAGCACAGAGCGACTTTGTCGACCAGAACAGCATAACCTAGCCAGCGCAGCGTAACCCATTCTACCATCTCGGGGAATTACTACTTACGAACAATAACCCGTCGGGATTTTATCCCCCTTGCCTGGTCCTTGGTTGCGCGAGCGTGCGACAAGCACGGTAGGCCACGCTACCCGTGGCCAATCAAGCTCGAGAATTTCGCGGGTAGTGATTGGCCTCAGGGTTAGGTTTTTCATGAGATGAAGAAAGAAAGGGTGGTGGCATGGAGCACGGATTCCGGGGGGGGGGGGGGGAGGAGGGGGAGGGGGATGTGAGACGGTGTCTGTGTCTACGTTTTTTCCCTTTTTTTTCTTTTCTTTTCTTTTTCTTTTTTCCTTTCCTTCTTTAATCCCCCATTCGCAAAACGGGGGAGATAGGGCGGATTACGTTAGGATGGTCTGGTTTGCCTTATACCGTATATACAGTTAAATTTACCGGTATGATACAATGACGACGATAGAAAAGTTAGGGCTTAAAAGTTATCGGAAAAACAAAACCAAAACCAAACTCAAAAAATAAAAAACAAAAATAAAACATTTCCGAAAAAGTAACCGTTCATGCCTTTTATCTGATTATCATTATCATTATCATTGTCTCCATTTTGGTATATACCGGTATCATACCCGGTATCCGCGCCCACTTCACTTTCAGCCCTTCCTTTCCCCCCTCCCTCACTCACTCACTCAGCCTACAATAATATCTGGGGATTGTGTTCTTTTTTTTTTTTTTTTTTTTCGGTAGGTTAGCCTAACTCTCTCTCTCTCTTTCTATGGGACTTTTTTTTGTTTTTTTTTTTTTTGAATAATATGATAAATAGACGGGGGGGGTTAACTTGAGTTAACTTCCGGGCTTATCATATCATATCCTTCTTTTACCCTCCTCATCTTACCCTACCGTTTGTCGGGAGAAAGGATTGTGATATTCCCCCCCCCGCCCCCCTCTAAGGCATCATATCATACTCGTACTATCATACCTACCTACCGTACTGTACCCCCTTACAGGCATTCTCTTCTTTCTTTCCTTCTTTCTTTCTTTTTTTTTTTTTTTTTTTAAACTAAGTACTTACTTGTACGGTGTCAAGTTGTAGGATAGAAGGTTTGATGCTACAGTGCAGTAGGGAATAATCCGCAGGAGGAGGAGGAGGAGGAGGAGGAGGAGGAGGAGGAGGAGGAGGTACAGCACTATACATAGACCAAAGCTTGGCGGGGCAAGTACCGGTATCAAAGCTTCCGGGATCCCTCCTTCTTCTTACATACCCAGGGCGCGCAATGGCAGACATGAAAGAAAGAAAGGCAGGGAGGAGAAAGTCTCGCTCTTGAAAAATAAAATACTGTAAAAAGAAATGGCCGAAGGGTGGTTACAGATTTAGTGTTGTGCTGCACTGCATATAATGCTGTACTGTACCATAGTTAGAGTTGTCTGACTTATTTATTCCCCACCGCCGCCGCCGCCGCCACCGCGGTCGCAGCCAAGCTACTGGATAGCACTCGCCTCTAGCACTCGTGATTCTTCTCAAGCATAAATCACGAGAAGAGTCGCACGCATAACCGGAAGATATACCCTACTGGTACTCTGCATGGTAAGAGGTGAAAGTTACAGTGATGTCAAATTTGAGTGAGAGGATGAATGGCTTGATGATTCCCCCTAATTAAATGCTCCACAAACTAACCAACCTGACTGTGGTAGTTAGGTTGGTTTTGGGGGGGGGGGGGGGCAAGGAGTAAACCAACCAAGATGCTAGAAATGGAAGGTGAAGAAATATTTAATAAAGACTTTATGGTACATTATTGAATAAAGCGTACCGGATGCTATCTAATAATATCCCCCCTGATTGATTGAATGAACCCGACACTAGAGCTCCCTAGATTGCGCCTCGTTTTATTAAATCTCAAATTTAGGGAGTTGTGACCATCTGCCTCTGGACAGCTTCCATAATATTTAGGGATTCGTCCTCCTTTACGAAGACTGCAGGGGTAAAAAATTCAGTCAGCTCGTGTGAATTCTCAAAAAAATTCTATGCCTAGTCTATGGATAGACATACCAAGAAAATAAGGCGTAGGGGGGTTTATATCCCCGTGAGTAAAGACCTCTTGGGGATCCGCCACCTCAGTCACGTAACCATCATTATATTTTCGAAAGAGTTTCCGCTGAAAATCGTAGATGTAGATCCAGTAGTGGCCAAAGCTTGCGGATCCTAATATTTATCCTACTGAGCGACAACGCCCATAGAAGCTTTCAGGGGTATAGCTACCTCTATGTATGAAAACTGAGTGGATGCGATAACCCTGCTTGCGCGAGCCTGTAAATTGTTGCTCAATTCGAGACTGGAGCTCTTGGATCCGGGCTTCAATCGCTTTCGCACCATGCCAGCTCACGTCAGTCTTAAGAACGTCAACACTCTGGGCGGAATCATACATTCACTCTCCTGTTGCACAGATACTGCTCTCTGTTCGAGTTCCCTAAGCAGAGCTGGCTGGACCTCTATCTCATCAATATCAGATTTCAGTTCAGAAAGCCACTGGTGAGTATATTCGAGGGCCTCGGGGACACGGATCCCAGCCTAATGATAGTGTCAGTATTGCATTCTATCAACAACTAAGGAATTCTCACAGGAGTCTTCGTCAGCTCCGCCAATCTTTGCTCCAGCGCCTTCAATTCCTCCTTCCATACCCAAGACTCCTCCCGCTTTGCCTTAAGATCGGGCTCATCGGTTTCCATGTACCTATCAAGATATATTGTCTCCGGAAACTTCAAATGCGAATTTGACTTGTATGCGGAAGCCCTAGCCCGATCGTACTGAACTCTCTGGACCTGTATCTGCAAGATTGGTGGCAAATGGCTAATGGATAAAAAACGCTTGGCTTCTCGTCCCTCCAGATCAACCTGTTCAATATCAAAACTGCTATCGAGAGCAGAGTAAATGTCTCTGTCACCTTCTGCAACATCGACAAGCAAGTGAGAAAACAATTCCTACCAACATGTTAGCTTTAAGCGCCGCATAGGGGAGAATGATCACTTATACCTCTTTAGTCCTGGTCTCAGCGGAGTTCGGGAAAGAGAGCGTTTGCTTGGTCCTTCCATAAAACAGTCTAAATCACGTTAGTAAAGCCCTGACTAGGAAGGCATATGGCTTACTTCTTCACCAAATCCATCTGTTCCCCATTTTCGTCAACGTATTCCGGTTTAATGGCAGCTTCCACCTGGAACATAACATTACCAATACACTCCGTAACATCTTGCTGGCGTCCGAACATAAGATTTGTGTCTGGTTTTGGAGCCTGTTTAGCCGGGCGTGGGGGAACCGGAGGTGGTCTATCCGGCATATCCGGCGCATCTGGGGGTGGGGTCAGCGGGCCATATGTTGGGCCAGCCTTGCCTGCGGGAACCGCACTCGCCGCCTGCGGTTCGTTCATATCAATGTCCTGGAGTGGGGAGCGCGGAGCACCGGCAACACCTGCGGTGATATCCTTGAGTGGGGGAAGATTTTCTTTGTCATCGGCCCTGTTTGGCTTTCCGTCGTGATAGACCATCACGTAGTCCTCGCCAGTTCCCGGGTATGGAGGTGGGAGATCTTCGTTCTCATTCACTAAGGTGGCCTCGCTGGTTGTATCATCGGTCTCGGATTGGGGTGGGGGCTTTTCGTCAATATCCATTTTATCATCCGCGTCATCGTTGATGTAAATAACAGGTGGCGGGGGTGGTAATGGTACATCGAAGGACACAGACATTCGTCGCTCCTCCTCCTCCTCATCTTTAGAACTCACAAGAGTCAAGTAAGCTAAATCCCGCTCAGGAGTGACGGACGATGCCTGGGATGTTATGAGGTTCTGGAACAAGGTGCGAAGGTGGCCAACAACTACAAACACAAGACTATCAGCTAATGGCATCTCACAATCATAAGTTGTCTCCCACATTTCTTGGCTCTCTCAATCTCCTTCTTCGAGACTTTCCTGCCTCCCACTCTCTTCCTCTCAACCACCTCATCATTGATCTCCTCCTCTTGGAATTGATCAATGTTGAGAATCATCTCGCGCAGCGGCCTTACAGTGAAGTAAAATTGCAACAAGCTATTCAGATAGCAAGTATTTCCGATGTTTTCGAGCCCAACAGGCCACTCCACAGAACCCTTTGCAATCCCATCAGCATTTCCTGTCTCGAGGTATGATTGAATCCTGGCGCTGTCCCTATTTTGGCCAATACTTCTAAGCGCTGCTCGGAGGTCTCGTGTTTGACTGGGAGTATCATCCTTCTGGGAGATGATTAGCCAGTAGCACAATTAGGGAGCAGGCCATTTACTCTCAACTCGAAAACATGGACTATCAAGTCATCACTCAGAGAGTAATCGTCGATCCCCAAGCGACTGTATGCAGCGCCTATCTCCAACGGAGTTTCATAGAGATTGCCTTCAAGGAAGCCGTACAAAATATTACTCTGTCGATTTTCCGCAATCACTTTCAAGGCATTCCTCGCAACTATTTCGTCATTGGGGTTGTCCCCAACCCGGACTTTGTATGTCGAGAGTATGTATTGATCCTCAGTGTTTTCCAAGACGCGAAGCCACCTGTAGGCTTCTGCTACATCTCCAATAGCTATTATACTTGTTAGCCGCATCGCAAACCCTAATTGAACTTTCTTATTCCAGCCCTTCGCAGGTCTCAAGGGCGTGTTTCCTCAGCTAAATATATTTCCCGACCTGTATTCCACTCACCTTGTTTTGCAAACGAAAGAATCTTCTCACTCCTCCTAGCGGTACCAATAATCCTCATGTCCTCTCTCATTGGTACCTCCTGAAGAGGAGCATCCGCCAATCGGCTCTTAAACACACCAACAATCAAGTCATCATCCGATGTAACAGGATCCACGTCTAGCGACTTGTAGCTATTCTCAAGGTCAGACGCAGTAAACTGCCCTTCGGAACGCAGTCGCCCAACATCGAATTGTAGGGTTTCGCTCTTTCTGCCTTTAGCTATGCTTTCGAAGCACTCAAAATAATACGGAGTATTGAACGGATCACACGCTCGTTGGCGCTCAAACGCCCAATTTATAAGAGCGTCTGACATATCTCCTACTGCACCAAGGCCGGCGTAGTGACTAGTTACCAAATTAGCCAAGTATCAGTTATAAATAGACCTCCACTTACGGATGTTCCGGAGCCGTAAGGTCAAGCCAGCCAAGGGTGGTATCATCTAGGTGGAAATGTTAGAGGTCCGTTCAACCCGCCGTCCCAAATTTCTCCAGAAAACCTACATTTACGAAATCCCAGGAGCCATTTAGCTCCAAGCTCTGCTCTCTCGGTTTTCTGACGAACACGGACGGCTATTGCGATTCGTCAGCATCCCGGGACAAACCTACGATCGACAGTCCAACCTTTCGCGGGAGCACCCCCCCTGCGTCTCTCATCATCCATTAGTATAGTAACTTCCTCCAATAACCCACAAAGATCCTGTCGCGCCTGGGAATTAACGTCGCCTAGCTGAGCAGGGGAGGCCGGTATCCAAGCGTTTGTGTTAGGATCCTGCCGGGTTTAGTATAGAATCAGGGTCGGCAAGTAAGGAATAACATACAAGAGACTTGGTAAAATGCGCCAACCGCATGACCTCATCACATTCGCCTATATTACATAGATACCGCTTGTTTTCAGCAAAGATTGACCGTTGGTCACCGCCCTTGTGATTCTTGATATAGGTACATAGGGTCTCAAGAACTTGATACGGAGTTTGTGGTGCTGCATCCACAGGAACCTCATCCGGATTTATCCTCACCGCCTCTTTAACTCTAGCCTCACAGTTTCCCTCTGAAAGCAACAATTCTATCAGGTCCGGTCTCATCATGGCAGGCTGGGTGGTAACAGTAACAACTATGGGACAATTAGTAGAAGAGCACGAGAAAACCCTCTTGTCCACCCATCTCTTCCGTGACCTCTTGTCGTAGCGAGAGATATCCACAGGCGATGACACTTTTGACTCATACCGGAAGTGGTGCAGTAAGTTATCTCGACACTGATCCCGGCCGCCCCTATTCGGACATGTGATAACTTCGGCGTTAAACTCGACAGGTTTTGTAAATTCAACTTGGATGGTGAAATGCATCCGGCACGATTGACAAACAGCCGCAATTCTGTATGTCCGGTCAAGAGATATTATCCCACCCCCAGGGGAGCAGCTTTTCTCTGTTATAACATCCAGTACATGCTTGTGTTTCGGTTCGTATGGCACATGAAGCTGGGGGTTGAAATGGGGAGGATTGTCGGGCAGGAAATTACGCTCTTTCCTGAGAGGGTTGTAGACAATCAAGTCGGCCCAAAATCTGGGAGCACATTTCCCTGCGCCAAGAAAAAGAAACCAGGCAATCAGTTAGCCTCTAGCCCAGATACCCATCACGGCCCCGGAGAGTTAAAAGGGAGGCTCTCGACACAATCAGCAAACGCACCAGGAAGCACTGTGGGACTGGGCAAGTCCCGTAACATTTCTCCCATCGTTGCGAGATGATGATGATGGTTACCGTGATGGTGTTGATGGTGTTGATGGTGTTGATGGTGTTGATGATGATGTTTGTCTTTCTTTGTGAAATCAGTGGTGTGTGTAGAAGGTAAGGAAGCAAAGAAGGAAGCCCTATGGAAGGCGATTAACCTGGCAGCTTTGTGCCCCACGGTAGGAAAACGGGCTGATCAATCCGTCGCGTGGGTGGGTCAGGTTGCAGGGGAGATGCGGGTTGCAGCTGGGAGCGGAAAGGCTTTACGGTACAGGACGGGTACCGTAGGAGATTGGGGGAGGGATTGTACCGGTAGGTTAGGTTTGTGGCGGGGTCCCAAGTAACGAGGGGCCCGTGTGGCGCTCTGAGACACTGTCCAAGCTTGTCATATCGACAATCGCTCCGGTTCCCGTCACTTCAGCCAGGGTTAATCCTGCAGGGCGGTAGGTGTCGAGCGGAGTGGAGTATCATACGAAAAAGAGAAACGCCAAACAAGAAGAATTGTTGCTATGATATGATACCATATTATCATATGATACCCCTACTACAGTATCATACACTCGAGTATGATACTCTTTTGTACCCGGGTACAAGTGTGGAAGGGGTATAGTTTTTTTCTTCCTTGGTTGTACTTGTATGTGGTCGTGTTTGGTACGAGTACAGTACAGGGAGGGCTCTTCGCCCTATAGCATTTCCTATTCGGGGATGCCTTGACATGCTGTATTTTCCGTATATTGTCCTGCCCCTTCCCCTCTTAGGTGGTGGACATGGGCGACAGCCACCACCTGGCAGACCAATAGATATGCTGCCTCCTGTCTATCCATATTGGGTCCAGCTTTCATCACCTTTTAGCTCTCTCTGCCTTATGGTCACACCACACAGACGTCAGTCAAGTCCATTCTCCATCACCTTATCCTACGATATACAAGGCGGTCACAGAGCAATACCGTACAGAGCAACACTCAACGTCAACTAGCGCAGCCTGGTCGAAAACACCATCCAATCCCGGAAGTCAACCGAGACAGCTTCCACAGTGGTACTCGAGCACAGTACCGTACTAGGGGTATTCAAGGTTAAATTAGTAACCTTCTGGTAAAATTTAGCATAGAATCATGCATCAGGGTACTTTATACAATGAACCAATAGTATTAACAGGATTTGAGTAACATATTTGAGAGTCCCACAAAGGATAATTTGAAATTGAACATGAGAGCTTGGAGAACTAGTATGCTGCCAGTGTACTGGCACTTATATACATGAAAAAAGAAATTTTTGTAACACCATAATAGCAATAAGTAATTGTATTGAATTTGTAGGACCTTTATTACAGCACTCATTTTGACTCCATCCTACAGAATTATTATTACCAGATAGCAGCTAAGTTAATTAGTAGTTCTACCTATATTTACTCATAAAGAATGCTAGAATTGGAGAAGGAGGAGCTGATTCAATAGCATATGATTTACTCTCTTTGCTTACCTTCATTATGGACCTTTCACCATCCATCCCAACACAAAAAACTAGTGTTGTATGATGTGGTAGAGCAACAGTAAATTAACTGTTTTTGAGAGTGCCAAGCTTACATGAAACAGCAAAGTAAGCTAAGGTTTTGCTACTTTTTTAACTTTGAATACCCCTACTGGTAATTAGACTACCGTACCCCCTCTGTCTAACGAGCGACCAAGAAGAAATCCAGATCCCACCACGATAAGACAAAAGTACCAAGAAAATATCTTGCTATCATGACATTTTCACTTGTTCGCCCTACTTACATCTGCCCACGGTTTCTTCCTCGCCTGCCCTCCTGCTGCGCTGTCACGGCGCGGTTCGCACATCCGCCTTCTCCCCGCGCGCGCACACCACCGTATTCCCCCAAACACACTTTTCAAATAAGATATCATAATTATTGTCTCCACGCCTAACCTACCACCGCAGCTTTCACCAGGCGGTCGAGTTTTTTATATATATCTTCCACCAGATCATACTACGCAGATCTGCGGAAGCTTCTATGGCAGCCTTATGCGTTTCTTTTTTTCCCCTTTCAACCTCAGCCTGTTTTTTTTCATGCCGGCCGGTACCAGAGGGGCGCCGGTACCGTACTCGTGTTCTTTTGCGTTAGGGATAGAACACGATGCGAACCACGATTCCATGAACGAGTGATGTTTAATGTTTTGAAGCTTTATGGGTTACCAAACGAAACGCGATTGCATAATAATTATTGCACAGTTCTTAGTTGCTGGAAATAACGGTATGGTTAGGCTGTGAGTTGATCTTAAATCGTAGGGGGGGGGGCGGAAGAGAGGAGTCCGCTTTCTCTCTCACTCACGCACACTCTCCTTTCCTTCTTTCTTCCTTCATGCTAATCCTAGGGAGTCGCAATGCCGCCACTTCCAGAGTTATCACACCCATCTAAAATATTTACTACGTGTTGCGGTACTCGAGCACTCGTATACGGACCGGCATTCCCTGTCACCTGGCTATGCTACATGCGAATAGGGTACTTGACTTTGGTGCTTGGCTTCGGTGCTGTTGGTCGTATCATACGATACTGTACTGGTAGGTCAGTGATGGTTGGTCTCGCACTCCACAGCCTAAAAGTACTCGGACCTCACCTGTGATTGTCAAAATGGCGGGGGATCCACATACCTGACACACTGTAGATTTATATATGCATATATACATGATATCTTCCGTTCTCTGCTTAAGTTAAGCTAAGGATACAAAATATTTATTGTAGAATAGGGGCAAGGATGGTCTTCCTATCATTTCACTTTTACACGGGCAAAATAAAATACCGGTACAATTAGGACTAATAGACCTGGAAGCTCCAATCCGTATGCAAATATAAATTCCCGAAAAGAAATACCATCCATCCCATCCGTAAGCTTCGCGCAAATATGTTAAAGACAAGCAGAAAATATAGCTCCCGAACAACAGACCCCTCCTCGATAAGCTAGATAGTATCCCTTTGTTATGTTAATAGCTTCAGTACAGTAAAGAGTAGAAATGTCAACTTGTCATGGCCCCCATGATCCGTTCAAGTATTACCGGTAAAATACACTTTGCCACTTATCTGCGATACTCCGGCTCCGGAAGTCAGTAAACGGGGGGACGAGGGGAAGCGAGTAAAAGGTGAAATAAGAGAAACAAGGAAACTGCGAACGCCAAAACATAATCCAACATCTAGTTTTACAGACCCCCTCTCCCAAGTTTATGGAATACAGCTAGAAAATGTAGAAAGCGAAAGAAAGAGGAAAATAAAAATCCACCCGAAGGAAACAACTGGACCAGACACGAGCGATGTCAACCACCTCCGGGAGGCTTAGCAAAAGTGGTTTGAAATAGTGTCCTCTCACGTTCTTCCTTCTCCTTCTCCATTCTCTCTTTTTCCTTCTTTGTAAGACGAGGTTTCCGAATGGTGGGACCCCGCGCAGCTGCCGTTCCACGAGTGGTACCGCCACGGCCACGCCCGCGTCCTCTCTTTACCGTGCCATCGGCCCTATTTAACATTGTTAGTAAGGACATCGTGAGCCAATGCTAAGGGCTAGTAAAACATACCTTTCAATTTGTGGTTTCTCACCCTCGGGCACTAAGGGGCCGCTGTAGACGAAGAAGCCGTCTTTCGAGGCGGCGGCTTGCTCTTCCCAAAGCATTTCGGTATCGTCAATGAAAGGGTCGTTTTTGTCATAAATGTCCTGGTGCCTTCTCTTTTTTCGCTTCCCACCTTCGGAGTCCATTGGCTTATCGATTTCAACATTCGACTCCGACTCTGAGCCATCAACCATCATCTCATCACCACTGTCCCCTTTCATCATGTTCTCCCTAGCTCTCGCGAGCTTTGGATTCAAGGCTGCCCATCCGTAGCGCTCCTCCGCCAGCTTAGCAAAGTTGACATATTTGTTGTGCTCCCCATTGAGAGGAACATGAATATAAATGTTGGGGATACACGGCTCGCTACTCGCAGCGGTGGTTCCTGGTAAAACACCCGATAGTAAACCGTTGCCGGAGGTCGAGGGTAGCGACGGTCGAGGTTTAGGAGATGCAGCTGCGGAAGAAGGGGCGGTGCCATTTTTTGATTTCGGCGACCGGTTTAGTGGGTCTCCCGCTTCGCCGGGTCGAGGCAATTTCTCCACCCTAACACCATTCGTTCCGGCAGTGGTGTCCGAGGTGAAAGACGAATTGAATTGCTTGTCCGACGACGAGGCGGTGGCATGAGGTTGAGTTGGTGGTTGCGGGTCGATCAGCGAGGATATAGAGGGCGACGCAGAGGCACGATGGCCCGATTTAGTAGTAGGTCCACCCCTAACGGGGTCGAATGGTTGACCGAGGAGTGACCTATTCCTTGCCGAAGGAGCGACAGAGGAGTTCAATTTTGCCGAGGTGCTATTTGCTTCCGTATCGCTATCTACAAGATCAATAATTTCGCGACGTGGGCGCGATGATTCCGTATGCGACACCGATTTTTTGCTGCTATGGTTGTTGGTGATGTGCCCCGAAGGGTCCACCGCATCATGTGGAAATTTTTGTTGACGATGGAGTGTTGGTGACGAGGTTGACAAGGAATGGCTGTTGGTGTGGGTACCTCTATTTGAATTATTTGCTGACTTGTCGGAAACATTACCAGCGGTTGGCGAGGCGGGTTTAGATGATGGCGACGATTGAACACCACGAGTCATGGCTGAGGGACTCCCAAATGTGGACATCGCGAGAATTTTCGATTTGGAATTTTATTACTCCGAGAGATGCCGGGATAAGGTTACCTCAGCTTGTCGAATAAAGCTTTATGACGAAAAAAAAAAATACTCCCAGGAGAAATTTGGGTTTTTTCTTTCTTCTTTTGCCCTTCTTTCTTTCGTTGGGAATAGAAACAATGGGTCGAGGTTGAGAAGGGGATGATGATGATTGTGAAGGATGAAGGGAATGTGAATGGGAAGATTAGATTTGAGACTTCAAGGGAGGGTAAAAGATGAGGGAGTAAGAAGCGCGAAGGATCTCGTGTGGAATAGGGAGAAACAGGGAAAGGAGGGGGGGGGTGTTGGAAGTTGTGTTGATCGAAGGGGAATGGAGAAGAAGAAGAAGAGAAGGAGAAAAGGGGAAGGAGGAGAAGAATAGAAGACAAAGAGCTAGAGAAAGGAGATGGAGAAGAGAAGAGAGACCGAGGGCTGCGTGGCCGGAATGTGGACTTTTTCAGAACGTCAGAAGGTTTCAACCAACGGTCATTTGGCTTTCATGGGGAAGGAAGGATTAATTTGCACTCATGGCAACAGAACGTATGCGAGAGGAACCGGCAGGCAGTAGCAGCAGCTTCCGTGTCTGCTGTAAGAATGGGTGGAATGGCGGTTGTGCGTGCCAGGTTATGGGCAGCAACCGCCGCGGACAGGAGAGCAACTACAGAGAATGGAGGCAGAGAGGGAACGGGATTGTGGGTGTGTGTGTGTGTGTGTTCCTTCAGAGGACAACGAGCACGGTAGGCAGGCAAAGCAGGGCCGGATGGGGTGGATGGATGGGAAGGGGAGGCAGGTTCGAGTTTAGTTAGTAAGTTAGTATTTTTATGTATATGGTCCACAGCGAGGTAGGTATACTGCAGTATACAACCCTCTCCCTCCTTCCCTTATGATAGATACCCTCTCCCTCCTTCCCTTATGATAGATACCCTCCCCTCCAGTGGCCTCCTTCGTTCAAACTCCCCCGCTCGCCCTTTGTTCACACCCCGTCCAACGCGTCCCCAGAGGTGGTTTTAGTTGTGGTTGTGGTTGCAGTGGTGGTGGTGGTGGTGGTGGTGGTGGTTGTGGTGGTAGTGATCGTGCTATGGCGCTGCTGCTTGCGGTTGTGGTGCGGTTGACGTTGAGTGGAACGAGTCGTATAGTTCTAACCTTGAGCGAGAAAGGCTTTCCTTGCCCGCCGCTGCTACGGCTTTCTACCGCTGCCGCTTGCCTGCCTGCCTGTGGTGCCAGAAGTGTTGGTCTCCTTCTCTTTCTCCTTCAATAGTAGAAAGATGTTTTGCCCCACCTCTCATCCTTATCTGTTCATCAGATCCGATAGATGAGATACGAGTACTTCCAACCAGAAACAAAAAAGCTTCCGTGTTATTATTAAGAATTACCGCAAACCTAAATTCCGGTAGTTGTTCTAGAAAACTCAATCTCCACGGTTTTACCCGGGATGGCACCTACGCAGGCTCTGGCAGAGGAAAAAAAAAAAGGGGGGGGGGACCACCCCTGGCCTGAGATCATGGATCGTAGTGGCTATCAGTGTCATCCATTATGCTCAACATTCCTCCTCGCCTATCAGATTCGATATGGCCCCGTTGATCAGAGCTAAGACTCTCGTGCCTTTGCCATAGGCGTGGCGCTGGCATGCAGTGTCGTGAAGAGGGTTGGCTGCCTCATTGCGCCGTCGGGAGCTCTCCACCTCGTGCTTCCCGTCGTAGATAAAACGACCTTCGAATGTCCTGTAATGTTTAGTGCAAACCCTTTTCAACAGACTGTTCTTCCCAGAGATGAGCGAAAGAATGTTAAGAGGAGGGATTCTTTCTCCGTCGTTCCAGGCAGACGAGGTTTTGTGCTATGTGGTCCGTGCACGCGTGCACGCGCCAAGACTTAGGCTGCATTAGAGTGTGTGCGGGATGTGCTCCAACCCCACGTCACCGCACAGCCGCACCCTTCTCCTGACGTCTTGAATCAGATATCAAAAATAACCACATGTAACCTATGGGGAAATGGAGAAATATATAAACAGACAGTAATAGTACGAGTGCTGGTATCCTTCCTGTGATACTGCTAAAAACCCATCGTTAGCATTGTCGAAGGGCTGTTCCACGAGCCTCATTCGTTGAACCGCGGCCCCTGGCGCAGGGTCGGTACGAGTGGCTCAGGTTCCATTCCCTGGAACCCCGAAATGGTACTGTACGAGTGGAGGACAGCGTCACAGAGAGAGGCTCCTCGTGATTTCGCACAGAAGAAACCGTTTTAATTGGCGTTTAAGGATTCAATAATTCTGGAGCAGAAATGTTTACTCCCTAGATATCACTTACGATACGCTTCAGAGGAGTTCGGCATGCACAGACGAGGACACTGGTGAAAAAGTTCCTTCTCAAATAGCTTTTGTTCTGTTTCTGGGTCTGGAATCATCGCAAAGGCGTCAACCCCCCCCCCCCCTTTCTCTCATATCTTAGGAACTGATAAATTACTCACCAAGAAAATAGAATAGAATAGTGTTGTGATATGGTCCTCCAAAAGGTGGTGAGGCAGTTATTCAGGGTTAACAAGCCAACACTGGTATATCACTTCTATTGCCGTTAATGGATTCCTGCCCTCGCACGATGCTTAGGATTCTCGAAGGTATCTCGAGGGTATCAGAGGTTAGTATTTGCTCGGCGCTTACAACCCCATCGGTTCGGTGGGAAGAATCAATGAGGGTGCAAAGAAAGAGAGTCCCAAAAAATAATATGAGCACCCGAAGAATATTCTCGGAGGCTTTGGTGTTTTTTTTTCACGGTATGATATAGTAGCGTTCGAAAGGTTCTCATACCATTCCAAGTGCCCCTAAGCCTTGGGAACGCTTTCTCTAACTCTTTCGTTCTTATTATCTAGTATGATACGATACGATATGATAAAACAAATTGTGGTGGGGGTTTATGGCCCCCTGGATGTATGTCTAATAGCAATTATTAAAAACTCGTCGCTAATAGGTATAGTTCATGGAGCGTAAGGAAGGGTATGAGAGCCTTAAGAACGCTGCGGTACTCGCTCTTATGTTCGGGATATGGCAGGTACGTATTACGGGAAATGGTGTCTCCGGCTGTGTTGTAGTCGATCCGCAGGATGCTCGGATGCGGTATTACTTGTATTAATATGCAGGCACTCGAGTATGTACCTTGAAAATCACGGGCCCGAGCACCATGGATAGGGTTAGAGAGTAGTTATTTTGGGTTAGCCTGAGAGATAATCCCGGTCTTGCGCGAGAACTCCGCCCTTGGCACTTGTACCATGCTCCAGTGGTACTGAACAAGTGTTTGAGGTTTGAATTCTATTTTGAGGATTTGTTTCCATGACTTCGGGGCCGACGGCACGGTGCAGTACAGTCCGCAGTCACCGGCAAAGTGGCTGTTGTGACAGAAGATGCGTAATCAATGCCTGCAGGGCCGAACATTCCAGCATGAGGAGCTGTGGCGGAGCAGGTTATGATGTTTACCATTGTGAGCTTTCCGGGCTTGGCATATAAATTAGGCTGAGGTTAGGGTTCTCTCACGCCTATGCATCTTCGATCGCCCCTCGCCGACGTCGTTCCTAGCCGCCATCGCCTCTGATCCTCTTCCAGTCTGCTAACCTTCTCCACAAACACATCGCACCGCTTGAGTTTTTTTCTTTTTTTTTTCTTTTGCCGTGTTCTCTTGATCACAGCGTCGCCTCTCGCTCCACATTCTTCTTGTCTCTCCTTTGCTGAGATTCCTGATCTGTCCGTTATGGGTCCAAGATATGAAAGGGTCTGTGTTCCTGAATCCAATCCAAGCCGACTTTGTTTGCTGCCCAATACTTACTCCGTATTTCTTTAGGTCGCTGCTGAGGACGATGAGGACCTCAACATTCATGGGAACATAACAACTGACTCTTCGATATCTTCTGCGTTTCGACCAGCTGTCACACCTTCCGTTCGGATACCCAACTCCCCCCCTCCTTCTTTCCACTCGTGCTCGAGTACACCCGACCCTGACTCTGCCCTATCAGAGTCCTTTGATAGTCCGAGTGATGGTGAGGACGATGATATGAGAAACCTTCCGGGCTCCCAAAACTCGAACCTTAACCATGAGTCAATACCCCTGGTACCTACCGCCACAACCGGATCCTCCGTGCCTGTATCCTCCACTACCACTTTTGCAGCGATGCCAGGAAGATCTGTCGGTGGAGGGCAGACGGATGGAGTATTTGCGAATCTAAGTGCGAAGCCTGCAGTGGCTGGGAGGCTCGAAGAGCATCCTCCTGTAAGTCTGAAAAGGGCTGATTGGAATTTATACCTATGCTCATGTCATTTTGCAACAGTCATACGAGCAAGCGGCAGCCGATGCAACACCTCCGTATTGGGAAACTACGATCCTTGCCCCCGGCATGTCCGCGGATGAGGTTTTCATTGATGGTTTACCGGTTGGTTCTGTTTTTGCTTTTATTTGGAATGCAATGAGTATGAAGCACTCTCCTTTGTTGATGGAGTGGATAGTACTAACTCCTCATCAGTTTCAATGTCGTTTACATTCGTCGGATTTCTTCTCACTTACCTCCTTCATACAACTCATGCTGCAAAGAATGGATCTCGTGCTGGGTTAGGAATGACGCTCGTTCAATATGGATTCTACATGCGTTCCCGTCCGGACGACTACACTGGCGGCGCCCCACCGCCAGAAACTGAGCCGTCAGAGCCGAATTCCTACGACTTTGGGGTTGCCGATATGGTCACCGACACTCCAGAGGACGGCATAGGACGAAATGAATGGATTAGCTATGCACTGATGGTAGTCGGCTGGTTCCTTCTTATCAGATCTGTGAGCAGCTTTATGAGAGCCAGGAAGACTGAACAAGTCGTGCTGGCAAGCCCAGACCGCGGCCTCGGTACTGCTGTCGTTGCTGATGACGAACAACCTGCCCGAGCAGTATAGTATCCCCCTTGGTTGCCGGCTATTCCTTTCCTTCCGCCTCACCCTCTTCCACTTATCCTCCATGCGAATAGGCGGTAGGCCCAGACGTTATCCCTTTTCCTATTGATTCACTTGCCGCTCTCTGCGATTTGGGCAGCTTTTTCTTGTGCGGGTTTTCTTTTCAGGTGCAAGATGGAATAGTACGGAGGGACCGGACGTAGTCATTTAGTTCAGAGATGGTCTATCTTTATCCTGAAGTGTTTCCTTTTTGTTACTCTCGTCGTCACCCTACTCAGGCTCGAGTTCCCCCCCTTTTTTTATGTAGTCTGTTTCACTACTCGGTAATTGCTTTTTCCTTGCTTTCAGAATTATGTTGTAGAAAATGGGATTTGCGTGTAAGATATATCGGAATATCTCTTTGGTGCGTGATGACCATTCTGCGAGGCCCACCACCGAGCAAACCTGTTGTGCATAATGACAATTTACAAGGGCTATAAAGAATTATATCAGGCTGGTTTAAATACTCGAGTACTTTGGAATGTGTTTTGTTATCTGCTTGACGATCTATGGCGCGGGTATCCTGTGCCACGGGGACGGCGGGGTATGCGGCAGTGTCGCACCCACTTTTGCCTGTTGTCTGCGTTCTTACTATGTTGCAATAATGATGTTCCCGCGGGGTTTGATCCATCGCATCTCACCCTGCAACGGTCACCCTCCCACCATTCTTCTCTACTTAGCCGCCCTCAGACGGTTGATGTTGATTCCTTGCTCGAGTAAATTTACCTAACAACAAAAGGAGCTTTCGCCGTCTCATCGGCCGAATTTTAATTATTCCGAGATACTTCGAGTTAACCAATATGAGCTGGAGATGCTCTTCCACCAGCAACGAAGGTCTTATAGCCAATCTGTTTAGACATGGACTTATCAAGAACGATACTGTACGGGAGGCTATGAGAAAGGCAAGTTGCCCGCACATGATTTATGCCATCTATGACTTTGGGATAACTGGAGAATATAATCTAATTATTATAGGTTGACCGGGCCCATTTCAGTCCCATAATGCCGTACGAAGACTCCCCCCAGGGGATCGGATACAATGCCACTATATCTGGTATATCCTTTAACCATGAGAAATATGTTTAAACTCTGATCTGACCACGTACTGCAGCACCTCACATTCATGCAAACGTTAGGCACTATTTCTTTGTCACCTATCAGATCACAACTGGTTCATCAAGACCCATCCCCTGGGACCTAAAGTGTGCTGATATGTGATGAATTTGGTTAGGCTGCTGAGGCTCTCTTAGATCGACTGGGCCCTGGGAAGAAGGTTCTTGATGTCGGAAGTGGTAGTGGATACCTCACAGCTGTTCTGGCGCACTTAGTGGTGGGATAGCCCCTGGATTCTTATGTTGCTCCACAGATGCGGCTACCGGAGGTATTGACTCTGCTAGACCCCCGGTGGAACAATTGTCGGCATAGAACATATCCAACAATTGTGTGACCTCAGCACAGCAAACTTGAAGAAGGACCCCGTGCACTCCGGGATGCTCCAGGATGGGACAATAAAGATCGTTCGAGGGGATGGAAGACTTGGTTATCCAGAAGGGGGTGGGTTACTCTAACTGATTCTAGGAGATTTCTATGGGTTCGGGGCTGAGATCCGGCAGGGCCTTATGATGCGATTCATGTTGGTGCTGCGGCATCTATCATGCCCCAGGCTCTTATCGATCAGCTTAAGGCTCCTGGAAGGTACGTGCCTACAGATCTTCCACTCTGTGGGAGCCCATAGCTTACCTAGTTGGTTCAATATGCGATAGGATGTTTATACCCGTTGGAGGCTTCAGTCAGTATATTTGGCAAGTTGACAAAGACGAGGAAGGAAACGTAAAGAAGGAGAAACAGTATGGAGTCCTGTATGTTCCACTCACTGACGCGAAGGAATTTCGTGACGAAAATTAGGGAGGTGATATGTGCTCCTGATTCTCTCGAATAAGAATTCTTCATTGTCGTGCATCGTGAGGTATGATGATATCCAATAATCAAGGAAACTAGGGAGAGCCGCAGTGAGCCTGATGGTAGCCAATTACTATGGAGCGATCTGCTGCTGAAAGCCCCCAACCCGCAGGCTACGTGGACGGGCAGAGCGGGGTGGGGTGTTGAGGACAGTATAGTGCGAGTACGCTGCCGCACTTAACCTCATCGCAAGTCTGAACACAATTGGCTTTGATTCCTTCTTACCTTTCTTCTTCCTCTCCCTCTTCATCACTCCTCCACTAACCTCCTATTCCTCTTCCTTTCCTGGTTTCATATTTGCGCAAAGCGCGCGTGCCCGGGAACAGCTGACATCTGCGGTACCCTTAATAAACTGCTTTACATAAATCTACCCCCACTCTCAAACGAGCAGAAAAAGGGAAAATGAGCGCCTAAACAAGTTAGTTGGGTAAGAAAAGAAAAACCCTCCCCATGGTATTATTCTGGGATTTGGGGTTTGTAAGTTATACATGTTTGCTTGAATACCGTAGTGCTGTGATGAGAATACCGTACTGGTAATTCAGCATGGTGCCCGCCGGACACGAACGAATTGAGGCTTAGGCAAACCTTGCATGGTTGTTATCAAAGGTTGATGTTCATTCTTGGCACGAACCAACTCGCTCTCACCATAGCTCCCGATGGGCCGGGCGACGTTCATCTCACCATCATCTATCCACCAACGCCAACACCGCACCTACATTAGCCACGACAAATCGTAACAGTTCGGCAATGGTTACAACAGGACCATCTTCAATTTTGGCGCCTACTATCGAAGTATATTTCCCTTTTTTGTCTACTTTCCCCCACAGCTTTTTTTTACGAGGGGGGCAGCAATTGACTTGACCAACGATAGGACCGTCTGCGATCACATTCCAGTGCATTCACCTCCCTGTTGGAACTGATTCCAGCAAAATATTACTATGGCGATAAAGATAATACAGTATGTTCTCTTCCTTTATCCGTGCTTGTTTACTTTTCATTCCAAGGTAGAGGCTTATTAGTTTCGCTATGGTAGAGGCAATGGAACAGACGCAAGCAAACCAAAGCGCAGGGCGTCGTTGTGAAGAAGGCGAGATTGGACCCTGATGCGCTTGGCGTTGGACTTGGGTCTGAGCTTAAGCCAGCGGGTAGGCAGAAGGAAAAGCTCAAGAACGAGGGTGAGACACAGGAGCGAAAAGAAAAGAAGTTTTCTGCTCCCATTGCTACCGGTAAAGACGGAAAGGATGAGGACAGTGACAAAGGCATAGAAGAAGCGCAAGAAATCGCCCTGGATAATTTCACATTTGCCACAGAACTGGATGCTTCGTCTTCGCCACCTACTATTCCTACCTCGGATAAGAAGCATTTTATTATTACCACAACTGCTACTGGCACCGAAGGCGCAACAACAACTCGAAAAACAGATCGGCGTGCCGGCCTTGCTGCGAAAACCCAAGGGCTCAAAGAAGAGCGCGGGGGCCATCCTCCTTCTGCGACTATTTCTTCCAATGGGTCATGCAAGAGGAAGAATGCCCAAGCTAAAAAGCGCAGGAGGGATCGGAAGCGGCAGAAGACCGGCCAATATTAAAGGCGATCGGCGGTCCAATGGGTACAGACCACTGATGGGATATTTGGAAGCTATGGGCGCACTCTACATATTATACTCCTGCAATGTCTGGCCTAATTTGGTAGAAATCTCAAGTCTTTACCTTACCTTTTTAGTTCCTCCGTCGTTACTGTCTGTCATCGCTGTGCCTGTCTGGATTTGTGTAACAGGCTTAACTCCCTATCAATCTATCCATTCGCTCATACCTATTTCCGGCCTGTCCCATTCACGCTTTAGGCTGGAAATAATACCTGGTTTCAGGCGGTGGGAGAGAGGAAAACGAGGGCCCAATCCGTGGTGACCTGCTCAACTGATATTTGGAAGATATTAGAGAAACTATTGCATCCAATTTAGGTGGTATCTTACAGTGAGGGTACGGAGGGGCAGCTGGCATTGAAACCTCAATCAGGCCGATGATGGCCGGGGGCTGGTGTCTGCGATCCTTAATCGAGCTGTTTAAAGCCCTTTCTACACAAAGCCTGCATCTATTCATCGTTAGTGTTAGGCCGAAGCTACTACATCACGAGAACGTTTGATCTTGTGTCTGTCTTGACCTGGTTACCAAGGAAGGTTATGTCGCCTCTTCAACCCATGTGAAAGGAGACACAGAACGAAAAGCAAAAGAGCCTGAACTAAGCATCCATTCGATGCTGGTGTATGTCGTTTTCGCCGGTCATCTCTCGTTACAGATACAATCCTTCAGTCCAATCCCCTATTACCCCATCCCTTGACACCCTATCCTATCCCCATCAATATTACAGCATGGCCGACTGAGATCAAGTCGAAGCAAAGGAAATCGAGGGGGGCCGGTATGAGGTTTAAGAAAAATTGGAAGGGAAAAGGGAAAAGAATACAGACAAGCCAACAATAGGAAAGAACTAATGTATGCTTTTAACCAGCGCCAAACCCATGCTAGAACCCCGGTATGAAACAGAGAATTACTAGGATAAAACAACAAGACAGTCGAGGAGAAAGGAGGAACTATATGGCCGACACGATAGTTTGGCACTCCCATTAATTGATTGGGAACATTGAAGACAGATGTACTTACATCTTTTATCTTCTAAGGATATTATGCTGCTCTAGATAGGCATAGCGCATAGAAATTCCCCAGGCGAGGGCAACAGATCTAGCAACGCTGTTCCCGACGATTTTGAATGCCTGTGCATTATTCCCGAGGAGGACCTCATCATCCGGAAACGATTGCGCACGGCGGGCTTCCATGACGGTAATGAGACGATCCTCCATCGGGTGGAGCCAGGTGCCTGTGAAGGCGCATTGAGGGGTCAACTGGGTAGTCACTGTACGACAGAGACCATCTTCATGAAGTCTAGACCAGGAGCGGCAGTGAGGGGCGAGCTTAGTTTTGTTGGTAACCTTATTGCCAAAGAGCATTGGCATCGCGCCTGTATCCAGCGCTTTTCTCCATGTTCTGTTCTGCCCGAATTTGGGAACGTGGGAGATCAAAGTCCTCGTCAGATTATTCTCTGTGCGGGAGTGGCGGTGGTCGGGGAATGGGATGCATGCTCCAACGTGCCCAGTGCCGAGATTTGGAAGGCCTCGCATCCCATTCTTAAAGGTGATAAGGTTGTATGGACAGGGACCCTCGATCTCTCTCTCGCCAAACTTGTCCCCATTGGGGGCCGTGAAGAGGCCTCTCTTTCTTACGACTACTCCGTGGTCGTGACTGCGAGTTGGGCGCGGTGGCAGACTTACTCCAGGGGCTGCGATGCTTAAGAAGAGTCTACTTCTTGACTGCGCACTCCCGAAAGACCAGCTGTCGAGAGTGAATTGCTGGATCTGATAGCCCATCCCGACGACACAGCAGACAAGCTGAGCAAACACATTAACCTCCACCCCAGTGCTAAGTTTCCTTGTGCTCGCGAGTCCGCCCACGTTCTCGAGCAGGGCGTGCCTGGGACGAAAAACGTCCAGAGCTGTAGCTACTGAGGCTACGAGGGAGCAATTCCTCAATCCGGTATCGTTATTCTTAAGTTGGTTTGCATTCGAGAAACCTTGGCAAGGACTACCAGCACTGATAAAGTCGACCTCGTTCTACATCACAAGTTAGGAACGATAGGAGGGGCTAGTTTGCGTTTGGAGCGGGTAACGTACAGGATGAGGGACCAAATCGCTATACTTCCCACGAATTGCGTCCTCCATATAGTTGTTCACACTTCCCAGATACAACGCGGTATCTTGGTTGCGGAGGTTTGCGCGATATGTAGCCATCGCCGGAACATCGATATCAACGGCCCACTTCATGTCAACGACACCACCCTCTTCAAGACCTCTTCCAAAGCTGCCACCGCCGCAGAAGAGATCCATGCCCTTCATGCGCGGCTTATCGTTGGGCAACGGGGAGTCGATACAATACCCCTCCCTCAGAGTTTTTGGGAAACTGTCATGGGCATACGGCTTGATCTTGCGATCTGTATCTATGACTGCGCTCATGATAAAGCAGTCACCAGTTCCATCACGGCCGTACGGCGCCGGGATCTTCCCGGCTTGAACATCTGTCTCGGAGACAAACTGGACGTGACAACGTCTGTAGATGAACTCTGGACCTACGGGCTTTACGGCCGGAGTCCATAAAATCTCGTTCGGCCTAGCCTTCGGATCGTACCGGCTTTTCCTCTCAAAGAGACGGACTGCAATCATCCCTTCTTTGTCATTGAACGCATGGATCATGACGGGGTCCAGTGAATCGCGGTCCTGCTTCTTGCTTCCTAGCAGGACGGTATCGCCAACTTCAAAGCTTAATCTGACTTCTTCGTAGCAGGTGATTCCTGGACCGCAGGTGCACGATATCAAGTCGGCCTTTGTCAAGGTCATGAACGCAGGATCCGAAGTGCGGTACTTTTGGCGAATAAAGAACTCTTTCCCAGACACACCGGGGCCAACCATGAAGTCTACAGGGACAATTCCGATCAAGTCACTGAGATGTATTGGTTTCTCATTGCAATTACAATGATCACTGAAGAACAACTATACCGCTCACGATCAGTCCCTCTTTTCCAGCTTCAGGGCCATATATCAGCTGCATTTATCTTACCTCATTGTGGTGTGGATATTTTCCCTTCGCAAGAATGGTATCTTCGTGCGCGTACAACCATATGACTTTCAATTCCGGCCCCAGATCAGACTCTTTATCAATCCCGTGCACGTATGCATACCAAACCACGATTTTCTTGCTCCACTCAGTCCCTTCCCGCTCAAGCGCTACGACAGTGCCTGGCTCAACAGAGGTGATCTTTGTGCGTAGGATGTTCCCGGTCTTGTCGCGCTTCATGCGTCTGGCAATAGGGATAGCGACAGCCTCGAAAGTTGCTCCAATATCTTTCGGTGGGGGAACAACCTTCTTCAAATTCTCACCGAACACATGGTCGAAACACTCGTGGACCCAGGGAGTAACTACTGTTTTCCTCTCTATGGTTTCCCGAACGGGGTCGATGACGCCAAGATCTCTCACTTCCTTCCAGAGCTTGCATTCATTCAAACCTGTGGAGCCATTGAAGGCTTGGTTCCATAACCAGTCGCAATGGGCGGCTATGGCCTGGCGAAAATCATCCTTTCCATACATTGCATGCCACTTTTGGAAGGCACCGGATTCCGAGTGGTGGACCTTAAGCCAGTCGATGAAATCGGATTTGAAATCTAGCAAAACAACATCGCGCTTTTCAATATCTGGCTTTTCAATATCTGGCTTGTCAATATCCGGCTTTTCAATATCTGGCTTGTCAATATCCGGCTTTTCAATATCTGGCTTTTCAATATCCGGCTTGTCAATATCCGGCTTTTCAATATCGCGCTTTTCAAAATCGCACTTTTCAACCAGAAAGTCTCTATCGGTTACGCCGCAGATCGGTTGGTCAACAAGCGATTGGATGGACACAATGTGGGGAAACTCACATGACATGCTTGGACAAGTTTGCTAGCCAAACGAACGCTTCCCAGTACTCGGAATACTCATCGGATGGATTCTTCAGCTCGTACCAGGCATTGTTCTCTTTTGCACTAGGAGTCTGGATCCAGATCTTGCCTGAGACGTCATGGGTCTCCTTTCTCTCATAGTTCCCAACTGAAAGGAGGGCGAACGCAACACCTTCTACATAGTAACTTTCTCCAGCGCCGTCGCTAAGCACTCCATCAAACAAGAGGAGATTGTCGCCACGATGGACATTTAAGTTACTGAGCAGTGTCATTTCGCCGCTCAGGCGCTTACGAGTCGGGTAATATATAGTGAAGCGATCAAGGGAGAAACAGCTAAAGTCATCTTCAGACACGGTTTTATCGCCTGCCCCAACTGCCTCGGCTTTCTGCGTGGTGTTAACACGGGCCGCCTCAGGTGACGCGAGGGGTGGGAGGAAGACTTACTAGAAGCTTTGTAAGGACTTCAGGCTCTTTTTCGACGGGCATTCCGAAATCAAACCCTTCATACTGCGATTTTGGAAACATCAATCGCGGAATGGCAACGCCTTTCAGGAAGCACGACTCAGTTACATTGCGAACCACAGTCAAATTCTGCTCTTCCTCTTCGTCTAAGAAATCGTCATTATCCACGGTTTCGGTCATCTCCTCGAGACCTTCTGGTGCGACAACATCCCCGACATCACCTGGTATGGCAGGTTCCTCCGGCACGGCAAGTTTTGCCGCGGGTTGTGAGGCCTTCTTGCCCTTGGCCTTGCCATTAGCCGTCCTGGTAGCCCTGATGGTGATGGCGGCCTTGGTGCGCTTTGCTGGAACATTGACTTCGACCGTGCTCATGACTGTGCGCTTTCTCTTCCCGGATGTCCAGACTTCACAATCGGTTTCAGTGATCTCTGGGGTGGTATCCAACGGCATGGAGTCATTAGAGGACTCCCCGCGCTTCCTTCCTGCATACCCGCTATCGCCAGCAGGCGTTGGCGATGGCGAAAGCTGCGAAGCCATGGAAACCGGTTGGTTGTTTCTGCGATAACAAATTGAGTTTTGAAATGAATGGGCACTTTTTCGTTGTCCGAAAAGAGAGTTAAGGTTGAGGCGCTGGGAGGGAGGGACGTGGTATTAACGGCTATGGGAATGAGGAGAAAGGTGGAACGGACCAGTGGTGGGATACGTGCTGAAGAAAGTGATGAAAGGGAAAGAACAATTGAAGTGGTGAGAAAAGAGGGGTGGCGGCGTAGGGGGGTAGAAAGGCGGTTGTGAAGAGAGGGTGGGAGATAGGGGTGGGATGGTGAGGGGAAGAGGGAAAAGTCCTAACGGGAAAAGGTAAGAGAAAAAAAGAAAAACAAGAGAGGGATGGTGTGGAACAAAGCCACCGAAGGCAAGTACCAGCGCACTTTTGCCCAAGTAACGATTAATTGCGAATCGAGTTGGCAGGGGAGGACTCTCGATGGACCGCGGCGGTAGGAGTAGCAATGACAAGAAGATCCAAGGCTACCGTATAAGCTCTAGGGTGGAAATGAACGGGCGAAAGGAAAGAAAAGAAAAGATAAAAATATGAATCCCGAATCCCACCTCCAGGAGTCACAATTCGCAGCGGCAAAACGTTACGAACCTTAAAAACTTAGAATCCTTTCGCGATCGACAGTCCCGGTGGTTGGTTCCTTGCTCTCTCTTCGCACGAGTACTTGTATCCCCGTCGTTCCGCTGCTGACTCCCGGCGCACAGGCTGTTTTACAGTGGTGTACAGTTTCCGTATCGTCGTAACTTTCGTGATCTCGTCGCGCGCTGAATCCAAGTCAATGCCGAAGTTTAGTATAGAAAGAGGGAGCGCGGAGGAAAAAGAAGAAGAAAGGGAGCAGATGTTGTGGTGTTGGGGGTGGTTGTGTGTGGTTGGTCGGGGGTGTAGGATGTTACGGTGTACGGTGGAGTGGGGGGGGGGAACGCGTCAAGGTTTCGGGTGTCGTGTGGTTGGCGTGTTCTGTATGTTTGAGCGACGAGTGGATCTTATGGCAAGGTAAGCTTACTTGTACTCGTAGTAGTAGTTTAGTGTGGAAACTACCACAAGTGTTTCTTAGCCACTTCTTTTTTTTTATTGCCTCATTTCCCCCCCCCTTTCTTTCTCGGGCGCTGGATTGGGTGACACTCAATTTGGTGGGTAAGCGGAAGGTGCATTGGATCGGTATATGATGCTGTATCGAGCGGGGGTTGAGCAGTGCACTGTCCACGGGAGACAAGTGCAAGTACCGTACTGGTACCTGTACCGGCACTATGATAGAATTGTTCTTTTCTCATAAAGCGATAAAGGCATAAATTATAGAGATAGAATACACTCGATATCAGGAGAGATCCCTTTATTTCTTTCTACCCTGGCTTTCATTTGAGGTGCTGTCTATCGTATTCTTTGTCTTGTTTGTTGACTCGTTCGACCGTAGACTCCTCTTTCTTTTCTCTATCGTACGAGCACTGTGCTCGTACAGTACTAGTACTAGTACATGATAAGACATTAAAAGAGCAGAAAGCGCCGCCTATGAAGCATTGAACGATACTTAAAAAAAATGGCACATCTCCTGAGCATACCGTACCGTACCGGTAGGCCACCCCATCCATCCATCCATCCATCCATCCATCAATCCTCCATCACGGAACCACAACCCACCCAGAGGCGCTTTGTGCACTGCCCGTACCACAGTATCATACACGACCAACTGGGGACACACATAATGTACCTGTACGCGCACACACACCCAGCATTGTACCGTACAGCGCCCTGCTGTACCACCCCGATCACCACAGCAACAGCCATTGTGCCGCTCCAGGAATCATGTATAGATTACAACATATGAACAAAGAGAGTGTACTATAGAATATGATACCATTCATATCATACTGCACCAACAAGAATTAAGTACTCCCCTCTGATCCGCTCAGCTATTCCACTTGCCCACTCACATGGCTCTGTGCATCAGTAAAAATTATTCCTGCATCAGAGGCATGGGTGGCATATCCTGACACATCAGCGAAAATAAATCCTGCATCAGACGCGTGGGCAGTGCGTCCAGATGCAAGCAGGTAGGATTCTGCATCCGGTGCATCCTGTGCGTTTGGTACTTAGGCGCCAAGTCTGGTTGCGTCCTGTGAATCCTAGTGCTTATGCTGGGAGGTGCCACATCCAGATTGCATCCTAAGTAAGCGAGGCCCCCCAGTTACCATCCTGAGATTCTGAGTGATAAACTGAGCTGCCAGCCGATCCCCCTTTACTACCCCCTACCAGCTCCCTGGTTACCTGCCCACCCCATACCAGCTCCCCTCCTACCAGCATCCTGCATACTACCTCCTGCCTTACTAGGTCCCCCTACTACCTCCCCTGCATTCTGGACTTTGTTGTTTACTTTACCTGCTATGCCAAGTTAGCAAGGTTCAGTTAAGTACTGGGTTTGACATGGGATTCCTCAAGGGTCCTTTGGGCCCAGTGTCTCATTCTCGGTGCCCTGATTCTACTCGATGGCAGCTTTCCAATGGTGTAACGGACAGGGTCTGAGGGTCGGGTAGCCCAAGGCACACCACGAGCAGGACAGGCAGGAATCTGGAGACGCGGTCTAGGTGCGGAGGTACAACCGAAGCGAGTTGTACGAGGTTCGGGGTTCAGGGGTTCAGGGTCAGGGTTCAGGTGTTCAAGAGGACGCCAGACAGTAGAGAGTGTAATTCCTAGGTACAGGTGTCCGAATTATATCTAATTTTATTTATACTCGCCGCGCCAAAACATAGCTTATGGTCGAGCGATCATCCTATCATACACCCACCATAAGGGCAGGCGGGCCTCCGGCGGACCACAAGCGGACCGGAACTGCCTCGCAAGTCACAGCCTGGGGCCGGGGTCCCCACAATACACCGGCGCACTCCTCCAAACAACTACCATACAAAGTGCACAAGCCTCCAAGTCCCAACCATCACCACCTCGGCGAGCGAGCAAACACAAAAGCTAAGTACAGAACCCATCACCGACCCTCACCTCCCCCGCACCAACCGACAAAGCGACACCCAACCCAACAGGAACAGAGCGACCGAGGTCCTTGGTCCTGCCAAGCGAGGGGAAGGTAGTTACGGCCCGCGGCCATCACAATAAATAAAATAAATCCAAAAATATCAAATCCGGTCTTAATACCGTCCCGCTAAATCCATATCCTCTTCCACAGTAGAAAACCCCTCACCCCCCGCCAACTCCTCAGGAGAAAACCCCCGGAGAGTAGCGAACAACTCAGCCGACTCCTCTGCCAAAGCCGACCGCGCAGCCTCCGAGGTAGTATCACCCCACTCCCGGCCACGCCCCCTCCCCGATCGCCGTTTGCGCCGCCGACCACCAGAAGTACTAGACTCCCCGCCAGCAACATGCCCAACCCCACCCCGCACTCCCTCCTCCTCCACCAGTACCCGCTTTC